ATATAGTATTTTTTGCACTTCCAAGTTGGATATCGATGATTTGACCACCGCCTTTGTCCTATAGCTGTTCATCCATTTGCCATCACCGTCATCGATTCTAATTATTACTGCTTTACTTAGATTCACCTTGGGGGCACAGACTTCAATTGGTTTCAAATAGTCCATTCTTTTTAGCTCACTTAGTACTTTTGATTGTCCTTTATCACAAACTTTAATTCTGATTAATTAATTTCTCCAAAATGTGTGCACAACAGAAAATGAAACAATGATGAAGAAAAAAAAGAGAAGAAAAAAATTCGGTTAAATGAATAACCGTTTTCGCTTGCGAATTTCCATTAAGCGGGTTCGCCTTTTCGTCTAATGTTTTTCTCTTTTCAAAATTCACCAAAAAATTTATCTCTTTTTTATTTGTTCACTTGACCAGATTCTTGATTAGTTATTTATTTAATTATCTTAGTCCTTTTTAATTATTCTTCTTTTATCCTCAACAATCAATGTATCTAAATTGTAATAATCTTTGCCTTTAAGTGTTTACCTGTTTTATTGTGATTTACTTTTGTGCGACAATCATAAGAAGGAACCAAAATTTGCTTTTTCATTTTCTCTTCTCATCTCAATTGTACAAAAAGATATTTTTTCATCACAATTAATTGTTTTATAAATTAATGTAATTTTTCTAAATTGTTTTTCTATTCTCTTTGAAGCTCTTATTGTGTAACTTGTGTATTCTCTTTCTATTTCTATTTCTCTTTTTTCTTGTGTCTTTAAAATAGACAAATATTATGTTATTAACCTGAGAAGCTTAAACATTTACCGTAAGCTTTTAATCATTTGTTAGCCTAATCTTCATCATAATCAGAATATTTTTTTGTTCCTTCTTCTTGATTCACAATTTTCAATATGATTCATAATAATCAAAATAATTTCAGTCCAACTGGATCATCAACAATTTATCCTACATCGATATTGAAAAAACGAGATGCTAGTGAATCAAAACGGTCAACCAATCAGAGCCAACATAATATTCAATCAATATTAAAACGCCATTCGGTGCCTGATGTTGATAATAACAATTCATCTGAATTTATTTCTTTATCAACCGGAGTTGGAGGAGGAAGAGAAGGAGGTGAAGGTGGAAGATCAACACTCTCATCGTTTACAAACTCTGGTCATCATTCTAATGGTCATTATCGCCGATCATCTGGAGATTTTCATCTTCTTCATTCATCAAATAATCAACAGTTTAACCAGAAAAATGAGCAGCAACAAAACCAACAGAATGAACAACAATCAACCTGCCATTTTGCTATTGGATCTAAATTTGGTCCAACAATCGCCTCGCCAATTATTTTCTCGCACTCACCTGATCCACATCCAATCCTCAAGAATAAAAGTATTTGTGGAAAAAATTTCACCAAAGAAGAGACTCGACCCAAATCAATTCTAAAAAAGAAAACCAATTCAGAAGATTCTTCTAGTATCAACAAGGTTAAACCTATTCTTAAAAAGAATAAAAGTTCAGAAGATTTTCATCATCATAACATCTCATCATCATCATCATCCTCTTCATCATCTTCATTGTCAAACACATCAATCAGTTCACTGCCTAGATCTTCATTAAGGCGTAATAGTGACTCGCCTTAATCATGATTCATCAATTGATTCTTTCACATCACAATATCACCTTAAATTTTTTTTCTTTCCTCTTTCACTGATTGTTGATATTATTTCAATCACAATTAACCAAGTGCAACTTTACAACAAAACCAAAAGAGACAGAATCTAAATTATTTACATCACATCATCAAAATCAACTCAATATCCTGATTATTGCAATTGAACAATGAACCAAAATCCATCAACACCCAACACCACGAAAAAAAAGATGAAGATAAAGATGGCGAAATGAAATAAACGTGATGATCAAGTTAATTGTTAATCATAATTAACTTGCATCTTCAATTGATTCCCATACATATACACACACACATACATACATACATACTTACTATTAATAACCTTATCAGCAACCAGCATATGAATTTAAATTGTCAATGATTAGATGATGAAGATGGTTAATGAAAATCTATGGAAACAACTGAATTGTAAATTGTTAATTTGCTAATTGTAACAATAACCAAAACAATTGAAACCAAATAATCACCATCATGAGCCCAATGAAAATCCTTCCCTTGATTTTACATGATCTGTTTTTTAATAAAAACTATTAAAAGCAAATTAATTGCTTTCTATTTGGTAAGTGTAACAATTAAATTTTTCACCGGTAATTTAACAAAAACAACAATTTAAATTATTGTGACAGAATCAAAATCTTTATTAAAAGTTACTGTCTCGTAGCAAATACATGTACCAAATATAATATCATCATCAATATGAATTAATAATATCAATATAATTATAATTAATTAATCATATATATTATATAAAATAACACAATTAAAAAAGTTACCAGTTTTTTGTTGCTTCTCGTTAATATAAATATTTGGAGCAATTAAAATTGGGATTGACCAAAAAAAAGTTTCTTAAAATGATTAAAACAAATTGATAGAAAGTTAATCAACCAATTTGATTTTTTTTTTGGCTTTTTTGACAATTTGATGACAATTAATTGAGATAAATATTAAAAAGGTTGATTCTGGCTGGTTGATTAGTTGAACAATAATCTCAAATAATCAATAATAATAATTGAAAAATTGTGAAAACAAATTTAAAAAAACTGAAATTACAAACAAAAAGTCAATCAGATTGAGAAAGTTAATCAATAAATTAAAAAGTAAATCAAAGTAGTTGAAGTTGTGTGAGAAGTTGAATTACAATTAATCAGCAGCAATCATCAGAAAAACGGTAGCTAGAAAAATGAATTACAATTTGATTACAATTAGTTAATAGTTGGATTTCAAAAAGGATAGTAAGGAGTTAATAGTAATAATAATAAAGATTAATTATTTGCATTAATATTAATTGTTTAACAAACATATAAAAAAGGTGAGACCACTACTTCATATTATTATTGATTCATCATTAGAGGTTAATCAATGGATAAAGAAACTCAATCTAATCTAATTGTTAACAATTAAATTCAATGAGTTAAGGGTAATTATTGGTAACCATTGTGTCTCCATCGACTCATCATCTATCACACCTCAGGTCCTAAAAAATTGTTATTATTATCAATTAATTGTTTACCAATATATTGATTTAGTTTTCATTTAGAAAACAAAAATTATATATACTAATCGTAATAATTAGTTAATTGTAAATATAAATATATAAATATCGATCATCATCAGGGGAGAGAGAGAGAGAGAGAGAGAGAGAGAGAGAGAGTGGGGTATGTGTGAGAAGAGTGAGAAAGATGCTAACAATAAATATAATTATAAATAGAATATGATAAAAAAAAATAATATATCAACTAATTAGTTAATTAATTGATAGCAATAATAATAATAAATGTATATCATAGTATCAATAGTAATAATATCAAAAATTGATTTCGTTTTGGTGTTGATTAGGTTTTTGCTTTCATGATTTGCCTTTGATATTTTAACGTCTTTTTGTTTTCTTGTGGTAATTTGATGCCCTGAGAGAGAAAGAGAGAGAGAGAGATAGATGATGATGATGATGATAAAGATAAAGAGAGTGAAAGTGAGCAAAAGGGAGAGAGAGTTAAATTAAATTCTCTCTATTGTCACTGAGTAGGTTTTCCAGTTTCTTTTGACTTCTTCTGGCATTGAAAGAAGTCGATGTCACTTTAAATGAAAAGATGAAGATGTAAAACTTTTAAGAAAGAGAGAGAGAGAGAGATTGAAAGATGATGATGAGAAAAAAGAAGAGAGAAGATAAATGAAAGATGAGAAACAAAATAGAAACAAAAAGATAAGTTGAGAAAGTAGAGTTTACAAGTTAAATAATATTCTGGTTTGATTGGTTACGCTGATGTCTGTTGATATTACAAGGGGAAGACTCAACAAAATCAAGTATTTAACTTAATCAGGGTATAAATGTGTGTGTGTAATAATAATGATGATGATGATTTATCCATGATGATAATCTCCTAAATCATCGTTGTCGTCAATGACCTTCAATACTATTATTGTTACTATATTATGATTATTATTATTGTTTATCGCTTTAATTTCTCCTTCTGTTGGGGATCCATTTGAGATGGAGAGAGGGAGGAAGAGATGAAAAATGAGAATCTCCAAAGATGAACTAATTTTTTTTTTCCTTCACAAGATGATAATGATTGAAGAGCGAAAGAAAGAGAGATGGAGATGATGTAGAGATAATTTTTTTGTGAATGATTATAAATAAACATAGAAGTGTAAAAACAACAACCGTTTAAACGTATGTGTGTTGATCTGATGTTTGTCCAATGAATTAAATGGATCAGAGATAAAAAAGAGATCTGTTTTTTGCTTTGCTTTCGTTGCTTTTAGAACGTGTAACTTGAGGTGACTGAGATTTGCCATTTGAGTTTTGACAAGATTTTACTTTTGATGCTGAGATGATGATGGTGAGATGATGATGATGAACTTCATGGTGATGGATTTCACAATTGCTCAAGCCGCAAAAGGATAAATAGGAAAACAAAGGAAACAGAAAAACAGAAACAAAAGGTAAACAGAAAACAAGAGAAAACTTATTAGATCCAAATAGAGAGATTGAAGATAAACAAAAGTTTCATGTTGAAATTATGAAGAGATGGTGAAGATAAGAAGACGATAATGATGAGGATGAAGTAGTGGCTCTTTGTTTGTTGGTGAAATTATTGTCATTTCTTGCGATATAATATGTATATTATAGCAAAACTAAATTTCTTTTTGTTTGTGGTTGCTGTTTAAAAGGATTTTTTTTTGTTTTTGATGAACGATTAAAGTTGTTTTGTTTGTTTGTTTGGATACTGGGACTCAGTTAATTGTTAAGCTCCTGATGTAACTCATGTTATAATAAAATAAAAATAATGATAAATAATAATGTTAAATAATAGTAATAATAATAATAATAATAATAATAATAATAATAGTAATAATAATAAGAGGAAAGGGATAAATTTGATTGAGAAGAGGGTAAGTCAACAAGTGCCACATAATGCAGACCATTTAACAGGGAAAACAAGCAAACAAAATAATAACAAATAAATCAAAATCACAATAAGAAAAAGGTAGAAAAAATTAAGGTGTTGGGAGAACAGGACAAGAGGAAAACGAGATAACTTGTGATATGGGAAAAAAAGTGATAACTAATGGTCTTGTTTTTGCTATGGTGGTGAAGATGTTGGTGTATGTGTTGTGTGTTCATGTGCGTGTTGGTGAATGTTGATGATGATGATGATGATGGTGGTAAAAATTGAAATTGGTGTTGATTAAAGAGAAATAGAGAGAAACGTAGAGAGGCAGAGAGAGAGAGAGTGTGTGAAAAAGATGCATCTCTAGAAAAATTTTGGAAGTTTGGTTGAAAAAAACGATAGTTGATGTCTTGTTTGTTTCTTTAGTGTCTGGTGGGTGATAAATGGTTGGTCGATCGTCGGGTTAAAACTGTATTGTTATTTGGACCATTTCAACAGATACCGGAGGTTGCAACAGCTTGAGCCAGACTTTCCACTCCCAAATATCGATAGATGTAAATTCGGTAATCTTTGGAGGCAAGAACAACCGAATTGTCATCCATAAGGGCAACATCGAAACATTGAGCATGTTTAACTTTACTTTCAAGGGCATTGATTAGTTGACCGTCTTGGCTGAAAACGGTTATGTTAAAATTATTATGATTATCGGCGACCAATATTTCACCTGCCTCATTAATACAAACACCAATAGGGTAATTAGTGAGACCTTCACCACCAATTTGTCGGAGGAAGTGACCTTCATAACTGAAAACTTTGACGCAATGAGCACGATTGTCAGAGATGAAAATTTCTTGTTTATCATTAACCACAACTCCATTGGGAAACTCAAGATGAGCTGAACAACCAAACTTTTTGAGTACATTTCCCATTTGGTCGAAGATAAGTACTCTCATAACTTTGCATTCAACAACAATTATTTGCCCTTTGTTGTCAACAGTAACACCTCGAGGGTGTTGGAGGATATTGGCACCAAATTTACGAACAAATTGACCATATTGGTTGTAAATTTGTATTTGGTGGGTAGGAGATCTTTCAGTAACAATGATATCGCCAGATTGTTTAACCACGGCAACTCGATTTGGATATAAAAGTTGTCCATCACGTTTACCACATTCACCAAATTGGAACTTGAATCGTCCTTCTTTGTCAAATATTTGGATTCTGTGGTTGTTTGTGTCTGCGACAATGATATCGTTCTGTGCATTAACAGCAACGCCTGAGGGTTCAGTGAATTGGCCCTCTAAAATACCAAATTCACCAAATTTACAATGATAAATCATCTTATGACGTTTAATTTGAGATTTGATGGGCAGTAATGATATAGCAGAGTTTAATTTACTTGAAAGGTCGAGCAGAGGATCAGATAGCGAGTTGAATGGTTCTGATATGGATGGGGTACTATTAGTGTAGAGAGATGAATCCGGAGAACCACCTAAACCGCCAATGGACCATTTCTCGTATAAAGTGGCAATCGAATCAGATAATGAAATATTACTCATGGAACGAGTACCATTATTGGAGCCATTACTGATTATTGGACTGTTATTATTGGTATTAGTCACTGTACTGTTGACTGAATTGTTAAATCGTTTCTGAAGAAGGGAATCAACTCCATTAGTATGCTGCTGATTGTAGGAACTCAATCCATTTGGACGACTAATTGGAGGTTGCTTGGACTCTGTTGACGAGCTTCTGATATACCCGTAAGTATTTTTCACACTTGTCTGAATAATGAAGCCATAATTACCAAATCCCCAATTCCACCCCGAGAGCGAGAAACATGTTTCCAATAAATTAGTGGGCATAAAGACAAGTCAAAAACAGGTTCAAGGTGGATGAAGTAGCATTGGGTTATAGAGAGAAAAAGAGAGAAGATGGAAGAGAAAAAAAGAAGAAAAAGATAATAAAATAGAAAAGCAGTAGGAATGAATGAGAAAGAGAGCAGAGAAAGAGGGGGCAATGAGAAACACAAAGAGAAGAAAACAAAAAGTAAAAGTGAAAATAGGATGAGGGTAACAGAAGTGAAAGTGAAGAGAGTAGGAGAGAAAAAGAGAAAGAGAGAAAGAGAGAAAGAGAAATTAATATATATAACTAAGCAAATCAACCATGGCCGAGGTGGAGGGTTTCAATGTCAAAGCTTGTTAAAGAGAGAGAGAAAGAGAAAGAGAAAGAGAAAGAGAAAGAGAAAGAAAAACAACACAACATGGAAACATATTCAGAAGTGCATCGACACATTCTCACTATATCTCCTTGTTGATTGTTGTTAACTAACAACAAATAAAAAGTTTGATAAAAGGGGGAGGCATAATAATTAGCTATAAAATAATAGGCCACTAACCTGTATGGCTTGATAGTTGGACACAAACTCCAATTCGGCTTTTGGTATGTTTATATCGGGTTCGAAGTTTCTTATTTGAACCAGAGGAGCTTCGATCAATTGTTTAAATAGCAATAATTCACAAGTATCGTGACTGGAGGAGAATTTCTTGAAACGATCGACAAACATTGCAATCTGTTTAACTTTGTCAACTCCTTCGATAACTTTTGAGTAAAGATGATTCAAATTGACCAGTTTAGAATTATAAATATCATCCAATTCTTTCAGTGTGTCCGTTTTAACCTCGTCCAGTTGGTTAACATAAAAGTTGAAAGTATCATTAACATCATTTTGAGCTTTGGTGTACTGATGATGAAGTCGATCGGTGATGTGTTCAATTGTTTTCAATGTCACATTCAATTCGTTTGCTTTGACTTTACCCTCTTCAATAAGATTATTGATTTGGTCCATCTGTGTGGAAAACAAAGTCATGGTGATAACGGTGATGATGAAGATAAAGATGAGAAAAGATGATGATGGTAAAGGTGGAAGGAGAGAAAAAAAAGAGAAAAAAAATTTTAAAAAGCAAAAAGTTTACAAAATAAACAGTGATGAGAATTTGTTGTCAAATTGATTAAGATTAATTTAAATGAATGACAACTAGTGATGAAAGACACATAAAATAAAAGTATAACTAATTAATTTAGAAACATACAAATGGAAACAAAATATTAAAAAAAACAAAATAATAATAGAAAACAATGAACCCGAAGTGTTGGTATTAAAGCACAGAAAGAGGATGAAGCTCTTGTTGAAAGGGAAATTATTGTAATACTAAATTGAGACAATGTCAATGTCTCAATTTAAAGACTTGTGATTAAAACCCTGATGGTAAAAGACATTTTGATTACGAAATGATATTTTTCCAATTGATTTGTAGATTGTCATTTAATTGTCATTCATCTAATCAATTGCACATTCATCACAAAATCACTTTAAGATGAAGAAAAACAAAAAGTAGCCTATGAGCTTGTTGTGTTTATCAAAAAAAGACCCCTCCTTGGGATCATTGCTAGGACCTTACCAGAATTAGGAGAACAGAAAGGAAAGAGAGTAAATAGAAAGGGAACAAAGAAGTTGAGCAGTCATTGGCTTAGAGAGAGAGAGAGTGAGAGGGAAAAGCAGGGGACGGAAAGAGAGGGAGGAGAGAGAGAGAAACAGAAGGAGAGAAGAAGAAGAAAAGTAAAGAGAAATTAAGAGAAATAAAGAGAAAGAGAAAGAAAGGAAGATAAATGAAATGAAAAAAAAGAGAGGCAAAACTGGAGAAAAAGAGGAAAGAAAGGAAAAAAGATGAAGAAGGAGAGGAAAGAGCAGGGAACGAGAGAGATCATTCATAGGTGCAAGATAACGAAACTAAAGGCCAATATGGCGGCTTAAAGATTGATGACATTGAATGGATTGTGCGAAAATCGAATGATAAAATATTGAACTATCGAATTGTTATAACAAACTAACCCTCGAATCGACAAGATGGCCAAAAATCGGGTAAAAGAGGAAAATGGGGGATGAAGGTGAAGGTGAAGGTGAAGAGTGAAAGAAGAGAGCGAGAGATAGAAAGTAATAGAAACAGGGATAGACAACGGAGGGAAAAGATTCTATGATGATGCTAATGGTTGATATAAAGAGAAGAAGAGAAAAAGAAGAGGGAGAGAGAAATGAAAGGAATTGAAACAGAAGAGAGATGAGAGCGAAAGAGAAGAAGATTTGAGAAAATTGATACAAAGAGAAATTAAAGATGACATGAAGCACGAAACGAGTGTTTTTGAAACAAAACCACACAAACAAAAGAAAACAAAGTAACATCCGATTATCGACCAGAGAAAAGAGAGAAAGAAAGACAAGTTACAAAGACTCAAAGGAAAACAAAGAAAGAATATGAGAGGCAAAGAAAACCAGGAGAAAAGAGAAAAAACTGTTCAAAACGATGGCGGTGAGAGAAACAAAAAAGCCAATTAGAAAAGAAAAAGTATTGACACTTTCAATTACCTCATTGATACTTCGTTTATGAGATGTTACATCTTTGGTTTCATTCTCATTGTTGTCATTCTTGGTGATCACTTCTTTCTCGGACATTTTTTCGCAGTCGAAATTACAAAGATGACAAGATGATGAACAATATAAAAGATAAAGAAAGAGAGAGAGAAAGAGAGAAAGAAGAAGTAATAATAATATTGACGCGAAAAATTACAGATGAGAGAAAAAAGTGAGAAAGAAGAAAATTTTAAAATCAACAAACAAAATATTAGAAAAAACGGTTGATTGACAAAAAAAGGTTTTCGATTAAAACGATAGAGAACAAGTTAATTGTTATGATTACAATTAATGTCGATCACTTTTATTAAAATTAATAACAGAAAATTAAAATTCTCTTCAAGATTAAATTAAATGTTAACAATGAAAAAGAAAACATGGTAGATTCAAGACAAAGAATTTAGAACAGAGTTTGTGCAAGAACAGAAAAAGCGCCATCTCTAAGTCTCTTTCTTTTGGTTTTCTTTTCTTTTTCTCTTCTCTTTCTCTTTGTTACCAGATTTTCTTTTTCTTTCTCTTCATTAATATCTCGTTCTTTCTTCAAGAGATTCGCAATGTTTATGTTTCTTTGTATTTTTTGTTCTTTTTCCGAACTTGGGTCAGTTGATTACATCGGATATTCGATTTAGAGATCACTTTTATTCTCTTTGTCCCAATTACGTAGTGTTCTTAGGATTTGGTCAACCTGAGGATTGTCCGAGTTTCGGAGTAGCTTCATTATCTCATATATTTGCTCTCTGTGAAAATGGAAATTGTTTTGTTTTTCTGTGATTAATTTAATTCCTTGTTAGTTGGCTAATTATTTGTACTGACCTTGGTTCTTTACCCGCTAGAATTAACTGGAAAAGGCCAACACATGCTCCTCTTTTGCCTTCCCAGAATTCAGGGTTTGTTTCATGTTTTTCCAGAATATCAAAGGCTCGAGCTGAATACAAAAATTGTCCCATCTAATAACATAAATGATAAACAGACAAAAAATTTGGTGATTTTAGTTCAACAATTAGATGAAACAATAAACACTGATTAATGGTTTGATTTAATTCAATTTGGTTCAATTGTTTGTTTTATGTAAACAAGTGATAACTTAAAGTGACAAGTCTAATATTTAACTTGATCTATCTCAATGTAATTGATTCAACTAGAAATTGGGTAAATTACTTACTTTGTAACAATCATTTGCAATTAGATTAAGATAATTGTATGAATCAGATCGAGATGAGTTCTGTTCATATAATTGCCAAGCCTTTTCTGGTGTTTTATTCATTATGTCTGTGGAAACAATTAAGAGAGGCAAACATGATTCAAATCAGTGGAATACAAAATTTTAAACTAATACAAATGATTAACAGAGTGAGAGAGGAATGGAAAGGAAACAATTTAATTGAGTTAATTAAATTTACTATTTGCCAACATTATTGAAATAAACAATCAGAATCAATTCCTAATTCTACAAATTGTCAATACAAACACTAACCATTAATCAAAGTGGGTTAGTGGTGTTAACTATTAATATTAACAATTTACTTCTTAAATGGTCAACATTATTGCGAAAATTTCACAATCAATATGATGATCAATAAATGAAATAATTAGGAAGTCGAATGCAAGAAATGAGAAATTAAGAAAATAAGAAAATAAGAAATTGATACAATTCAATGAATCGTAATTTAAATTGTTGATTAACTTACAGCATCTTATTAGCCAGTTAATATAAACTGGATCAGTTGTGATTCTTTTCTCCTTAATTGTTAAAAACGCTTCTTCAGCTTCGGTATAATTACCGGTTACTGATTGTGCTTGACCAAAATTGAAATTAAATGAGTCGTCCGAGTAAAAGTAGCTCTTAATTGAGCTTAAATAAAGCAAAACGTCATCAAATTGTTTCATCAGGAAAAAGCACGAGGCCATACATTGGCGACCTGGGATCGTGTCTGTGGACCAATAACCAAGCCCTTAACACGCGTTAACAATTTAATCAAATCCTTTGGTGATTGTTAGTATTGCCTTTGAAAAATTTGATCACTTGATTATCAACAACTTCAATCAACAGTTTATTTAACCAGTTAATTGTTAATCTAATTAAATTACTATCTAAAGGTTGACATTAAATTGTGATAAAACTTTTGTGTGGTTAAAGCTTAATCGTTGCTAATGTTTACCTCTATTTATTATCATATCATATTAACCCTCAAGGGATCAGATTGTTACTATTTAAATTGTTAACTAATAGCAAATTAAATGCATTAATATGTTTACCATCATCAATTAATTGTGTCATTAATAACAATTAATCTCAAAATGAAAGTCAAAATCTAATTGAATATTTCCAATGAAAAAGTAATCAAATAATCAAAGCCAATCAACATATCCAAATGATTAAGTTAATCATCTTTGAGATTAAATTTTACCGTCAATCAAATGAAAGCAATCAAACTAATTGAGATAATAATAAGTTAATAATAATAATATTGATTGTTTAATTTAGTTTTGTATTATCTGTGTTTTTTAAAATCCTTGTACATCAATATTTGGATTTGCATTAATTGTGATTAAAAAATGCAAACAATCAACTAACATAATGATTACAATTAAGGTTGTGGTTTGTTTTTTTTTTAATTTGTCAAATTGGTTTATTTTTAATTGTTGCTGATTAACTTGATTAACCTTTTGCTTTGGGATTTTCGTGGTTTCCATAAGTTTTGTGTGTAATGTTTTAACCATCTCAATATGAATGAAGATGATGAAGGATGAGGATGAAAGATGAGGATGAAGTGAGGGAGCATCATCATCATGCATAGTGTGTGTAAGATGTAATATGAGGTGTAACATGAGAGGGGTGGTGATATGATGATGATGATGATGATGAGGCATTGTTGCATGATGTGAGGCCGCTGCAATATTTGAGTAAAGGTTTGCAGCGGCTGCGGTTGGACTGGTCCAATAGGTTGTTGATGGACTGAAGATACTTCCGGTTCCCGAGGAGGTGTCAATGAGGCTGCAGGCAAAATTAATCTTAGGGTGGTTGGATGATGATAAAGGGGAGGCATGAAAAATTCAGCTGATGGATAAGCCTTGTAGGATGAGGTGGTGCGGGTTGATTAGCTTGAGCTAATCCTGGAAAATAATTAAATCAAATAAATAACAAAAAACAGAGAAAATTAAACATCATGATAATCATAGTTTACAATTTTCTTGGCAATTTAATTGCCTTTTCATAAAACACTTATGATAATGGTTGATAAGTTAATCGTTACCTGAAATCAAATTTGTATGCATATCTTTTCCGTGGACTTTGGTCATTATATTTTTATCATAATAATACCTGAGGCACGACTCAGTTTATCATAATTCATGTTTGGCTTTTTCTTTCACCGACGGGCGACCTCATCTGGATCAGTTAATTTAAATTCACCATCATTACCATCCCAGATGATACATTGTTTGGCTGTTGGATCATCTAACAGTTCAAGTAAAAATTGCCACAATTGAATTTGTCCTGATCCTGAAGTGGAAAAAAAATTAATCCATTAATCCTCAACTAATCCAGTTAACCTTTATCTTATCTAAATCTTACCTGAAGTTGTAAGTCGTCCATTTGATGATAAAAATGGATAAGGATCTGAAGATTAAGGGAAACAGAGCAAAAATGAGGCACAATTAGTTAGATGATAAAAGAAGACACAATGAACTCGAATCAATAATCAACAATAATCATTAGCATCTAATGAAAGATTGAGATAAAAGTTCAGATCTGACAGATAATTTCATGATTTTCCACCCCCAATGTTAACCATTATCATCATCTAACTGAAGAGATGGTAAAAATTAAGAAACAAAAAAATGAGACAAAATTGATGAGCTACATAAACATGGACTCTCTCCCTCTATTCAGTAGACTGAGCACTTTACCCACCCTGAAATAACCTCATCACCCTCTTTCCACTCCAAAAGACATTTCAAGACAAAGACAGGTAAAAGAAGAGGAGCTTCGATCAATTGTTTAAATAGCAATAATTCACAAGTATCGTGACTGGAGGAGAATTTCTTGAAACGATCGACAAACATTGCAATCTGTTTAACTTTGTCAACTCCTTCGATAACTTTTGAGTAAAGATGATTCAAATTGACCAGGAGCTTGATTCATTTCTCCAGTGATAACATGGCCCATTCGCACACCGTATAAAAAAACAATTCCATGGGAATTTGGGGAAGTCAGGATGATGAATTGAAATACGAACCAACCAAAAATTAAAAAGGAATCAAAATGTTTATCACAATAAATTAAACGAAATAAATAATCACTGAAAATAGAAAATAAATTCACATAAACATCGATTTTGTTTCAACAAATTCTCTCCATTCAATGGAAAACAAAGAGGTTGGCGATGGAAAATCTCACACAAACATTGAGAAACAAAAACTGAATTCATGTTGATGATCAGGATGAGTTGATTGATTGATGTTACCTGCGAAAATTGCTGTATTATTTTGATCTGGACCAAATGGACATAAAGCATCTCCAGGGGTTTCATTTCGATATCCGTTCACTGTTTGCACATAATCTCGACACTTTGGCCTGTAAGCATGAGTACCACACACAAAAAGGCCAAACCAAATTTTACACTGATCGCCTATCATTGGCTAATCTAATTTAAGCCACACCAGTGCGATCATAACTTTTTTCGCTCTTGATAATTTTTAATTTAATTAATTAGATGCGAAAAAATCGCTCACGAAAAATTACAGATGAGAGAAAAAAGTGAGAAAGAAGAAAATTTTAAAATCAACAAACAGAATATTAGAAAAAACGGTTGATTGACAAAAAAAGGTTTTCGATTAAAACGATAGAGAACAAGTTAATTGTTATGATTACAATTAATGTCGATCACTTTTATTAAAATTAATAACAGAAAATTAAAATTCTCTTCAAGATTAAATTAAATGTTAACAATGAAAAAGAAAACATGGTAGATTCAAGACAAAGAATTTAGAACAGAGTTTGTGCAAGAACAGAAAAAGCGCCATCTCTAAGTCTCTTTCTTTTGGTTTTCTTTTCTTTTTCTCTTCTCTTTCTCTTTGTTACCAGATTTTCTTTTTCTTTCTCTTCATTAATATCTCGTTCTTTCTTCAAGAGATTCGCAATGTTTATGTTTCTTTGTATTTTTTGTTCTTTTTCCGAACTTGGGTCAGTTGATTACATCGGATATTCGATTTAGAGATCACTTTTATTCTCTTTGTCCCAATTACGTAGTGTTCTTAGGATTTGGTCAACCTGAGGATTGTCCGAGTTTCGGAGTAGCTTCATTATCTCATATATTTGCTCTCTGTGAAAATGGAAATTGTTTTGTTTTTCTGTGATTAATTTAATTCCTTGTTAGTTGGCTAATTATTTGTACTGACCTTGGTTCTTTACCCGCTAGAATTAACTGGAAAAGGCCAACACATGCTCCTCTTTTGCCTTCCCAGAATTCAGGGTTTGTTTCATGTTTTTCCAGAATATCAAAGGCTCGAGCTGAATACAAAAATTGTCCCATCTAATAACATAAATGATAAACAGACAAAAAATTTGGTGATTTTAGTTCAACAATTAGATGAAACAATAAACACTGATTAATGGTTTGATTTAATTCAATTTGGTTCAATTGTTTGTTTTATGTAAACAAGTGATAACTTAAAGTGACAAGTCTAATATTTAACTTGATCTCTCACAATGTAATTGATTCAACTAGAAATTGGGTAAATTACTTACTTTGTAACAATCATTTGCAATTAGATTAAGATAATTGTATGAATCAGATCGAGATGAGTTCTGTTCATATAATTGCCAAGCCTTTTCTGGTGTTTTATTCATTATGTCTGTGGAAACAATTAAGAGAGGCAAACATGATTCAAATCAGTGGAATACAAAATTTTAAACTAATACAAATGATTAACAGAGTGAGAGAGGAATGGAAAGGAAACAATTTAATTGAGTTAATTAAATTTACTATTTGCCAACATTATTGAAATAAACAATCAGAATCAATTCCTAATTCTGCAAATTGTCAATACAAACACTAAATCAATCAAAGTGGGTTAGTGGTGTTAACTATTAATATTAACAATTTACTTCTTAAATGGTCAACATTATTGCGAAAATTGCACAATCAATATGATGATCAATAAATGAAATAATTAGGAAGTCGAATGCAAGAAATGAGAAATTAAGAAAATAAGAAAATAAGAAATTGATACAATTCAATGAATCGTAATTTAAATTGTTGATTAACTTACAGCATCTTATTAGCCAGTTAATATAAACTGGATCAGTTGTGATTCTTTTCTCCTTAATTGTTAAAAACGCTTCTTCAGCTTCGGTATAATTACCGGTTACTGATTGTGCTTGACCAAAATTGAAATTAAATGAGTCGTCCGAGTAAAAGTAGCTCTTAATTGAGCTTAAATAAAGCAAAACGTCATCAAATTGTTTCATCAGGAAAAAGCACGAGGCCATACATTGGCGACCTGGGATCGTGTCTGTGGACCAAGTCAACGATTAGTTAATTGATTGATTGATTACAATTCTAGTGGAATGATTAATTACCACATTCGGAAGCTGATCCGCCGACGAGTTGGAAAAATTGTTGAGCCACTTTCAAGAATTCACGTAAACCCTTTTTCTGGCCATAAGAAGCATTTACTACTCCTTTCAGGATATATTCATGGGGAACTGTTGGTTCCAAGTCTTTGATCAGGTTGAAAGCCTCTTGGATATTATCTGATTATTATGATTGATTGGGAAGAAACAAAATCAGAACAATTAATTACTACAATTCTCTTGCTTGTTGATCATCTCTTCACCTTGTTTGAGATATTTAATGACCAAATTTAGACGAGCCTCAGGAATTGCTATGATAACGAGTCACAATTTAAGGGAAGAGTTTTAATTATCACAGATAATTATAAGATGACCAACAATCAGTTTGATTGTTTCACTTTTAATACTCAACTGTCAACGAGATTCGGTAGGACTTGCATGGCACCTTCGCCGTTCCGGAAGACCACGAGGTTGTGTCGGATCAGATCTTTAGCATAGGCAAATGATGGCGATGAATTGTCAATTAATTGTCGTAATTCATTCTAGTCGATTAAATTAAATTATTAGAATAGAATCAAGAATAAGTAAACGAATTGGAAAGAAAATGTAAACAAGGTAAAGGACAATTTAAGGACAATTTGAAATTTTCCTTCGAGTTTGTATCTTTTTACCTCGGCCGCTTTTCCATTATATAAACGGTAATGGTTACAGGCTTTAAGGTTAATTGCTGTCACTGAATCGGGATAATGTTGGAGATAAATTGCCAGAACTTCTTGGGAAACATCGTAATAATCGAGTTTGTAATAGCAAAGAGCTACGTAAACATTAAGAGCGAGAAAATCTCTATGGTCAAGGAGGATCTTCTTGTAGATATCAATTGCCTCCTGGAAATGTGACCTCAGGTAATGAATCGACGCGAGACACAATTGATCTTGAAGTACGTCTTGTAGCTGTTGGTGAAAGTGAATCAGTGTTTTTTCATCGCCGTTTTTATGAGCCAAATGAAACTCTAATCGAGTTCGTAGTTGATTACCAGCGATCGGTACGGAAAGAGATAAACTCTTGGTACACTCGGGATACATTCCCAGAAGGAATTGACAACATCCAATGTAAAGGTAAACCTCATCTCTCGTGATATTGACTGATGATGACGACGATGAACCTCCATGATTAGGATCATGATTAGATGGTAATGAGTTGATTATATTTTCATACAATTCGAGAGCAGATGAATATTCACCCAGATGAAAGTAACAATAGCCAATCCAAATCTCGTTTTCAAGGTTATCCTTTCCAGAGGTTTTATTGTACTGAATTTAATTCCATCGGTGGAAAGATTAAAGAGAGAAATTGGAATAAATTGTTGACAGAGATTATCAATTAATACTACTAATTATTAATAGTTATCGTTTAAGAGATTATTTGTCTGCACAGTTAGTGCGAATGTGGGTAATATAATGTGAAGAAGAAAAGGGAAAATTAAGTCATTACGATTGATCGTATTTGATTGTTGATGATAATTTACCTTGAGAAGAGTTAAGGCTCCGGTGAAATCGCGATTCTTCAGGAAATCATCTAAATTTGGAATTATGCTCTTAGCTGATCCATTGCTTCCAGAATTACTTGCGATTGATTTAGAAGATACCGAGGATTTAATTCGTGACAATAACTAAACAATTCACAATAACAATTAGTTGATTAATAAAGAGACGAAAGTTTAATCATCATGATAATCACTAGACTCGAGAGATATTCAGTTAGTACTAGAGATTCATTTTCAACGGTTTATTGCATTTGTTTAATCACTTACCATTTAGTTGATTTTTAAGTGTCAAAATTAAATCACTGATTAGATTTGAGATTAATTGATAATAATTTTGACAACAATTTACTAGTTAATGTGTAAAATTAATCTTTATCAATGATACTTAATTTTCTGGTTTGTTTTTGTTTTTGTTTTCGTTCAAAAGTAACTATGGAAACTGATTTGATTCAATTTCATTTAATCAAATTGATCAACCAATTCTTTCAACAATTTGTTTATTTAGTACTTTTTCTTACAACAATTTACAAATTTCTCATCAAGAAAAAGTAACTTCTCATTGTATTAATATTAATAGAAAAAGAAAAATATCAAAAATCGTTTCAATGCAAAAAATTACATCTTTTCCTTCATTTCAATAGTCTTATGTATTAGTAAGGAACAACAATCTATCATTAACAAGAAACAATTAACAACAATAATGGGAAACGTCCGATTTCAGGGAAAGATAATCATTTATCTATATTGGTCTTAAAAATATTATTCAACATGAGATTTTGTTGCTTCAGGTCAGAAATTTGCCTCTTCAAACGTTCATTCTCGGCGATTATTTGATTGATTGAAGAGTCATTTTCTGTCACATCGGGTAAATTGCTTTCGGTATAGTCGCTCCTCTCACTTTCGAATGGCTTTGAATTGAGTAAATTATCACGGAATTTCATTAGCTGTTTAAAACCTAAAAGAAAACGAGAAAAGATTGTTATATTAATTCAATTTCCTCTGGTGCTTGTTCATGGTTCGATTCGAACTCACCATTAGAAGTGGACGGTAAAATAAGAATTATAATTGTAATCAAAGTATCTAAAGTTGATGGTTTGAGTTCCCGTTGAAATGTTGTCGCTGTTGTTTGAGTTTTCTCTATACGATGGACTAATTATTCGTTGACAAGGTAACTTTTAAAGGACCAAATTCCTCGTCGCAAGATTTAGTAACGATTCTGTTGGTTTCATGTTGATTTGATGGTCGACGGTGATTGTTTCGAATTCAATATTGATCTATTACGAATAGATTCATTAGCAATTCCAAGTGGTTGTATTCCATAATCATCAGACTTCGCTCCCATCACTCCCTTACTTCGACATCCTTATGAGTGTTACTTCACGACGGATAAACAAAGAGAAAATTAAAATGAATCATGTTTATCATGATGATAGTTGTATATAAATAAGGTATTATGTGTGTGTGTATGGCTTGCGTTTTGAGGTTCTGATGGTGTTATAATTGATGAGCGATGTATTGAATAGGCGATTTAGTTGTGATTTATCTTATAAATTTTGTTTCTTTCCTTTGGGCAATTTAAGGTGATCAAGGAGTAGTGATTGTGTGTGAAAGTTTCTGTGAGTGTTTTTGTTACATCAAACGTGATCATTGAATGTGTATGTGTGTGTGTGTGCTTATGAGTGTGTGTGTGTGTGAGGTGATGTAATCTTGGTGCAACGAGGTGTGTTAACCTTATTTTCATGTGTTGATGAGTATAAAAAGAAGATGATGGTAATGATGATGAAGATGAAGAAAAATTTGATACAATTGATGTTTGTTCCTTTTGTTGGTTGCTACTGTTTTCTTTGATACAAGTTAATGATTCCTCTTGCATAAGTATCCGTACTTTGTATTTTGACATAATTTCATTCACAATTCAGCTTTTTTGGTCTATCCTGCAAACCAGAAACTTGAATCCGCTAGGCAAACATGGTAGTGTGTAAGTTTATATAAGTTGAGTTGATACAAAATATAAAAGGATAATCTAGTGAAGAAGCAAAAAAAAACTGGCCGGTATTCAGAGTTTATCATTACTATTATTGTTTCTTGTGCTTCATTTAACCATTTGAACCATGGCGATTCTAAATAAATCATCACCAATGTTTGGGTTAATAATTTAAACTGGTGATTATTTTGCTCTGATTTTTTACCATGTCAATAGTTCACTTGATTCCTTTTTCTTATGGGTTATTTACAATTCACTTTGAGAGTTGACTTCATTTAGCTTGTTCCTTGTTCTTGTTCTTGATTGTTGTTCGTGTCATTTTCCATCAAGTGTGTGGCTTGTGTGTGTATGCGTGTGGTTTTAAAAAATTTGATGTTTATGTAAATTTTAAAAAAAATGAAAATTGTCTAAGTTAATTGAAAATTAATTGGTAATAATTATAATTAGAAGACACCTATGAACATTCCCATTGATGGGGAGATGGTGGCAGTTCTGATGGATGAGCCACAGTGGAACTGGCAAAGTTTTTAAAAGCTGCTGAATTTGGATTAATACAAAGCGGTACTCGATTGTAACTTCCGCATTTTTCTAGTATCGTTTTGTGCAATTTCTCCTTGACCTGGTGGACAGAATGAAGACCTCTCTCAAAGCCATCATCGAATACGGCACAAGCTAAAGGTTCGAGATCAGATGCATAACGACGCACACCTCCAATGGTATGACAACATCGGCACATACAAGAGTGATAACGTAATCGACCCTCGTCCAGATAAGGGTGAGAAAGTGCATTTGTACAAGAAATCCTTTTATCTGGATTAAAAACCAACATTTGACTGAGAAGATGAACAGCTTCATGGGTTGCCTGGGGCGAGAGAGTGTATAATGCACTGAGCGAAGGTGCTTTATAAGGTCGACCTTGAATATACTTTATGGCACCATCACAAGCATATCTCATATCTTCACAGGTTGGTGTACCCAAAAGACCAGTAATTAGATCAAGTTGTTGAAGGGGAGTCTTGGCTTGGAAAAGAATCCGTCTTCCTAATAATTCGGCGAAAATACAGCCAACCGACCAAATGTCAATACCAAAGGTATAATGATTAGCTCCTGTTAATAATTCGGGTGCTCGATAATATTGGGTGACCACTTCTTGGGTCATACGTTTAGAGGCATCGGTCTCATTGACCCGAGCTAAACCAAAATCACAAATTTTGAGCAAACAGTTACTGTTGACCAGAAGATTGCCAGGTTTAATATCCCGATGAAGTATATTGGCAGAGTGGAGGTACCTGAGACCCCGGAGTATCTGGTAAAGGAACACTTTGACATGGTCGGAGGTAAGAGGTTGGGAAGAGACGATAATTTTATGTAAATCACTTTGCATCAATTCAGTGATCACATAAACCTCTTGGAAGAAATCGATATGAGGAGGTTGAAGTATATCTAATGCCGAAAGGACATTTTCATGTTTGAAGAAAAGAAGCATTTTAATCTCTCGATAAACACGAATACTGGACAATATATTCTGGAAGACATTGGGCATTTTCTTAAGGGCCACTCTTTTCCCATCACGTGGATCAGTAACAGCCCTAAAGGAGAAATGAAGTGAATAGTAAAAAAGGAAGAGAATAAAAAAAATTAGAAAAAAAAGAACAATAATAATAATCATGTTTGAAAGAGAGAATTTTTTTGTATTCAAAATCATTTCCTCTCGAAAAAAGCTAAGAATTTTTATTTTAATATTCGAAAAGGAAACAAGAAAAAAGAATAGAACTTCATTTTTTTGCCTGTTCAATTCGAAAGCCTTAAAGTAGAGAGATTATCACAAAAAAGATGATGTTGGTGATGAAAGAGGAGAGAGAGAGAAAAAACATTATCAATCAATATAATTATATCTTCAACTGACAATATTGATAATATCAAATCGATGATGTTTATTGTTTAGTATGTCATCATAACCATCATAATAATCATCCAAAAAGATGATGGTGATGATAATTGGTGAATGAACATAAGAGAGAGGGAGAGGGAGAGATGAATGAGAGGATTGGGGGAGGTAGAAGATGAAGAAAAGATGATGATATGCTTGGTAAGATAATGTTGATAATAAGAAAAGAAGGTCAGACGAAAATGGAAGTGATACAAATTTTACAGATCAATTATCATAAAGTTATCGAAAAAGAGTTCTAATGTATCTGTTTTTTTCTTCTTCTTTTTGCACAATTTATAAATTAATTCTAAACAATTAACTGATGGTGAACTATCAGATTAACTGTTTAACAGTAAAAAAAAGAATAAAAAAGATTAGAGATTAAGATTTGGAAAGGAACAGAAAAAAAAGATCAACAACAGAATAGATTGAACGGAACTTATTCAATTGAAAAGTTGATATAAATTATATTTTATAAATATAATTGTGATGATGAAGAAACAACAAAAACAACAGTTAATGTATAATATTGTATGACAATTGACTAAATATACACACATCGCTGTCATGGTTTTTGTTGATCGGCAAAACTACAACTTGTTACTCTTCTGGTTGATGGTTTACTGTTAATTGACAACAAATTGTTGATTTTTTGCTCACTATCAACAATTAAAATCGGATAAACAGTTAATCGAACAATTTTAATTGTAACAAATATCGATGAGATTGTTTTTTTTCTCTCTTCGACTGTCATATAACAGGAAAGAGGAAAAGTTATCCCAAAGAAGATGATCTTTTTTTCGCATCTCTCTCTCTCTCTCTCTCTCTCTCTCTCTTTTCTCTTCTCACTCCCTTAATCGTTTTTACTCTTTCATCTTTTAACAAGAGGTATAAACATGATTTTGGTCAATATAACGGGATTGATTAAAGTGGAACACATTGGATAATCATCTTCATCGTCATTATTTACAACTAATAATTTTAATTGATTTTATATGGTTATACTAAAGTGATTTTAATAGGAACATTTTATAAACCTGTTTTTGAGTTAAATTAATCTGATTATTATCTAATTGTGGTTCATTAAATTTGTGTGTAATTATTTAGGAATAGGTTCAATTAATAATAATAATAATTGATTAAGTATTATTATCAATTTTCGTGTGTGTGTGTGTGTTGAGTCATGTTGACCATCGGAATTGTTACCTTGCTACTATATTGCTCATTGTTTATTGACTGTTTACCTCAACCTAATAGTAAACTTGAGGATCATCAAAAGTTTCATCAAAATGGTGACAAATCAATGACACAAAAGCGTCAAGATATAAGTGAATTGTTATTAGAAGGAGAAAAGTTTGAAGGGTCTAGTGGTGGTGATGAGTTGGTCAGTGTTGATAATCTGATGGATTGGTCAAGTGCAACTAAACTAAGATTGACCCCTTCAATCAAACAGTCTCTCTCATCGGATCCTTTCGGTTTGTTTAAACAAAAGATTAAACAAGTAACAGATTCTACGTCACTTTCATCCTCATCTCCATCATCATCAGCAGCCGATCAATTAAAAGCAGCTCTAAATGGAGGAGATTTTGAAGGAGATGGCGAAGAAAACTGGATTAAAGCTTATACTGGACCGGCTATCGGAGGATTAGCATCATTCAATGGAGCCGATTATGATGAAGGCTCTCCACTGAAGGATACAAGATTAACAGTAAATAAAGGAGGTGATGAATCGTCGCCAAGTGAGCATGATAAAAAGGGTGGAAAGGGTAAAAAATCTAAAGCTTGGTGGGCTAAATTTTTTGACCGACAACGAGGTAACATTTCAGATCATCCAAGTGATCCAGTTAACTATGGGATTAACCCACATGGAAGGTATCCAACAACCGACATAAATGTCAAACCTCAAGCTGGAGGAAATGAAAATGACGAGAATCGACCAATAAACAATATGAGGAAATGGTTGACAAGACTTTGGAAACCTAATGGAGATGGAGCTGTTTCAGTAACTGGGACTAGAATAACTAATCAACAGGATAACTGAAAGATAAATTTTTACAAAGTAGAGAGAGAGAGAGAGAGATGAGGAGCGAAAGAAATAAGAAAAAACCCCGAAACCCAAAAATAATCCCAATTACAGTCAACTACCTAATTCTGTCCCTACCCAAATAGCCCATCGCTCGTGGCTCCATCTTTCTTAGTTAGACTGATTATTTTTTTCTTGATTAAATATCAAAATCTGATTTAATAAAAAAATTAAAAGTAATATTTTCACTCAAATTTCGGATTTGGCTCAAGGATTGAAGTTTGATATCTTTTCAATGGAAATAATTTACATCAACCCTTTCGAATTGCCCATTATACAAAAGATGGACTTTTTTAGGTAGTCGATTGTAATCCTAACAGAGGAGAAGAAGAGAAAAAGATGAAAATGATTGACCAAACCAACGATTGTACTGAAAGAGCAACAAACGATGAAGCAAATAAAAGAGGAAGAAAAAAAGAAAGAGACAGGGGAAAGAGGAAAAGAAGAGAGAGAGAGACAGAGAGAAAGAGAAGCAGGTAGAAAAAAGAAAGAGAGAGAGAGAGAGAAAAGAAAAAGAGGAAAAACAACAAACTTACCAAACTACACCGAAAGCACCATAACCAATTGGCCGATCGGGAACAACATATTGTAAACTGTAAACTGTTCCTGGCGAAGAGGATGAGAGACGCAACATATTTTTCTACAAAACTTAATTGGAGAAGAGAAAAGAAAAAAAGCTAAAAATGAGCCAATTATGATCCACAGAGTATCCAGAATTTTAGGAGAAAAAGTCACACATATGATTTGGGGGTGAGAGAAGAGAGGAGAAGATGAAAAGGAGAAAAGAAAACCCAAACCACAGCACCAAACATTCAACAGAATTAACCATGAACATACAGAATGACAGCAACAATCAAGACAAGATGAACAAGTGAGTGAAGAGAAAAAAAATCTGAAATCCAAATACAAAAGTAACCATGGTAACACAAATTCTTCTCTACGATTCACAGTGACATCTATTGTTTCTACTCTTCAACAGTAATGACCCAGTTTTTTTTCTTCACACGGAATTTGAAGGAAAACGAGGTGAGGGCAATTCTCACGGTGTGTCCGTCGGCTCAACAAGTTCCCTTTTGAGCTGATTCTCTTTCAGCTCAATAGCGGCGACTTTTCTACTCAACAATTAGAGTAATTAAAGAGAGATAATTAAATCGACAATCGAAGATCATGTGACACATTTTGGACATAGAAAATATGAATTAGTCCTCATTCAGATTCGATGGAAGAAAAAAAAAAGTTGAAGAAAAGGTTAATTAGCTGTCGACAGCTTTTCTGTCACTGAATTTGTGATGGTTTCATTGCCTTAGGCCTTGGGGCTTTCTTTCATCAATAGTTACTCTTAATAATGAAAACCTAATTAGTCTGATTGAAATAAAACAATTGATTGAATGATTAAGTTCATTTTCATGAAGAGCCGGAATTGTTAGCCGGAAAATCAGCTTGAAGTAAAATGTTGACCTGATGAACAGTTCTTGAGACCCAATGACACATGTTGAACCTTACCGACTTACCCAATCACCGATGGGGCTGTTTTTCTAGATGAAAATATGGATCCGGTGCCTGAGGCTCTTTATTTGGAAAAAATGCGCGAAATTTGAGTCAAGTCATTTGAGAAAATAATTTCGATTGGAAATTTTATTGTATATAAGATAAAGTGATCAAGTTAATTTTGAATTAAAGGCAAACATATTTATGAAAAGAGAGATCTATTGATTTGTTAAGAGAATGATTGTGTGTCAATCAATTCGATGAATGGATTGGTGAAAGGAAAGGCTCGAATTGGAAAGGACTAAGGATGGAAAACACGGAAAACATTGGTTATTGGTCGACGGCAAATGGGACAAGCGTCTTGTCGTTTGAGTAACAATTTACCACAATTTACGCAGGTACATAGATGATGACATGGATGTAGAACACAATCTCGATCAGTGTCCATGCAAACAACGCATTCTTTTTCTTTCCGTGCATTCATCGCTTCATTGGTTGTCTCTTTCAACGAATCGACATCAATCGAACCTGTTTGAAGATCTGGAACAGGTAAAGTCAATCGTCGTCCGATTCCCTTTTTCTCGGCCATTTGACGGATAAAAGCTGTAAAATTAAAGAAAAATACACAACTCATTAGCTAGAGATGAGAATTTGCAACAATTAACTATCATCTATTAGGTGAAAATATAATAATGATTGTCTACCATTTTTCCGAGATTCTCTTTGCTCTTCACTAAGAATTATTGGTTCAGGTCCAGAACGGAAAAAAGCTATTCGTCCCATTTGTTCAAGAAATTTTCGAACTATTTAAATGAGAGAGTAAGTTAATTAACAATTAACAAACAGACAACCATAATTACCTTTTTCAAGAGTAGCTACCGATGTGTAATTAGTTGTGATCAATTCAACTTCAGGTATTGGATAAACGGGATACAAGAAACGTATTCCAATGCACCTCTAAAAGTACATTTTGACTTACAATTAACTTGCGACAATTAAAGATCAGGAAATTGACTAATTACCTCACGATTTTTAATATCCTCAAATATCTCATTGACAGAAAGTCTCATTGTCCCGGTTGAGAGGACAGTGTCCTCAGGGCAAATCGTTCCGATCTCTAAAGTTGAAAAGAAACGAAATTAATTATTACCAATCGATTAACAATTAAATCCCAATGAAAGAGAGATAATTACTTTTAAATATGCTCTTTTTGATCTGAATATCCTCTGAAACTGATTCGAAAACGAATTGAGCACCACGAACAGTATCTTCCAATGAACTGAAGCAAAAAACTTCACCCTAATAGAAAAGGAGAAAGAAAATTAAACCCTGAGAGGAATCAGTTGATTGGATTAAAATTAGAAAATGAAAGAGATAAAGATAAAAACGCCTAATCACCCGATGTATTAAGAATGAACATCAACAATTAACTAACCACAAATTCATTGCCAATCATAAAGCCCTCTTCTCGAAGCATTCGCCGATCCTCACTCAATCGTAGGTACACTTTGTTCAACACGTTGGCATCGTTGTCGTAAGCTCTAATCTCGTGCCCATAATAAGCCAAAGCTCCTGATAGATAAACAACAATCAGAACAATTAAGGAAAAAAACAACGATCATCACAATCAACTTACCAATTATTTTAATCCCAAGAACACCACATCCAATTACAGCGATTCTCACCATTCTGATTTTCTTATATTAGTCTTGAAATGATTGTAATTAAAGTTGAGAATAATTAGCCAAATGATTGAAAACAATAGTAATCAACATGAAGAAATTTATCAAATCAATTGAATCGATTTCGTATCTGCTTTTTATTACTATTTTTCTGTTTTGCTCTTGATCATTTCTCTTACTTTTCTTTCATTTTTCATCTATTCCTTGTTTCCTTGGCAATACAAATTGTTGATATAATTGTAGCTCTTTCATCATCATTCTCATCATCATCATCATCTCTCTCTCTCTCTCATAATCATCATTATCATTATATTACAAAAAGATATCGCAATTTGTTTTGTTTCCTAATTGATTTCTGATTCTTTTAAAATCGTTCATTGAATGTTGATTGCACTGATCCAGTTGATGATTAAGCTCAAAAATTGAATTGCTGGATAGTATAAACTTTAATTTAATCGTTGAAAGCGATTGCTATCTCAAGTTTATCTTGATCATTGTTGATTATTGTTACACATTAATAATTTTCGTAAAATTAGTTTTGAGATCTAAATAATCATTAAATTGTTTTCACATAAACATTAAGCGGATGATGATCAACAAGGATGGTCCTTGATTTTGTTTGATTTCAATGCAAACAAAATAACATGACACAATAATTACAATTGTTGCAATTAAAAAAGAAGAGCATCAAACAAGGTTAATATTAGTTAATTTAAATAGTAACGTTGAAAAAAGTTGATTACGATTGCAACCAACTCTCTTAATTGTATTGGTTCAACTAGTTTAGTGAAAATTTTTCTTTGTGAAATCAATTGTTTGATCAGGTCGAAGGAGATCAAATAAACGGGCAATTGATCAAAAGTTTATCGACTAATAATTAAGTTAATCACTTTTTAGATGGTCGGCTAATCGCATCTCATGGGATAAACAATTAAATTCAAATCACGACTAAATTATTAGAATACAGTCTTTTTCCTTTCGCTGATATTGATCAACTGAATCAACAAATGTCTCTGAATTTACTGACCTCTTCGCAATCAAGTAAAGAGATAATCATTTCAACTTCTTAATCCGATAAGTTCAACTAATTCAATTCGTCCTGGTATCTGAGAGGCACAAAGGAAAATATTGATTCTCAAACACATCATCAAGCTCATCCAATCGTTTTCTAATTAATCCAAATTCTAATACAATATTAATCTTTTCAAAAAATCAAATGTGACAATTTAAGTTGATTACAATCAAAAACATTAATTTTTTTACCTTACGAAAATATTTTCGTTCTGTTATTTTTCAACAGCCCCTTAAGACTTTGTTTTGATTTTTCAATTTTGTTACAAAATCAAATTCAATTGTCAATATAACAGTTTAATTGGTTATATCTATTTCTTGGATTTTGTGATTAATTTGAATTAACTATCTGGTTTATATTATGGCTTCTGATGACCAAGATGTGTTAACAGTTCTTAAGATCTTAATTGTTGGAGAGAGTGATGTTGGTAAATCAAGGTAACAAATCATTTTCCAATAATTTCCCTTGTTAAATTGTCTATGTTTCAGTCTATTGGGAATTATATTTTTCTAATTGATGAATTTTTTTTCTTCAAATTTACATCTCTCTTTTTCCCTATTCTTTGGTTTAATTAAGTCTTCTATTGCGGTTTACTGATGATACGTTTCATAATGAAGTTCCTGCTACCATAGGTTTGTATTAAAGTTGCTCTTTTCTCTTGGGCCTCATAGTCATTGATGAATGATTAGCTGATTACGTGATTTCTATTAATATCTTAATCTGTGATTTATTGGTTTTCTTTTAATTACTAGGAATCGATTTCAAGTCAGCTTATATAACTGTTGATGGAGTTCGTGTTAAACTTGCTATCTGGGATACCGCTGGTTCAGAAAGATTCCGATCATTAACACCAAGCTTTTATCGAGGAGCTCATGGAGCCATTTTGGTTTATGATGTTACGAAAAGAGAAAGTTTCCAAAAATTAGAGAGCTGGTTCAACGAATTAGAAGTTTATTCTACTCGTGATAATATGATAAAAATGGTTGTAGGAAATAAGATCGATAGACAAGATAAACGAGAAGTGTCACGAGAAGAAGGACTTCGATGGGCTAGAAAATATTCTACTCTATTTATCGAGGCGAGTGCTCGAACCAATGAAGATGTTAAAACAGCATTCGAAGAGCTGGTTGAGAAGATCTTACAAACTCCTGGTCTATGGGACGAAGTCAGAAGGAAGAGAAACATTAATCTCGAAGAGGAAGAACCACAATCAACTGGTTGGTGTGGTGGTTATTGTGGTTAATTGTGAACAATCAACACCATCTTTATACATACAAATCGATCATACAAATTTGCAATGTTATCCAGACCAATTCAACAATCAATTGTGACACAATATTAGTAATCTGATTACTTGTTTTCTTTTTTGTTTCAATCAAAAATGAAATTGTAAAAAAAGACTTTCAAGGAAAAAGTTTTATATCTTTACTATTTTATCAGAAAAAAAAGATTTTCTTTGTAAATATTTAAAATTAATTCTAATTTGGATCAATTTAAAGCATAATCTAACCATTTATGAATGTAAAGATTAATTTCCATTTGATTTGAGTCCAAAAAATTTGATTTGTTTGAATCTGTTGCAGTTATCAAAATTCTGACACTCCAAAGGAAACTTAAGTAGGTTCAAGGGTCAGACTTTACGATTTTATAATGAAACAAAAGCCCTAAGGCAGAATCCTTGTTCCCTGTGAAAGTTAATTTCACCCCAGAAAGATTATTGGTCAGTAACTGGTGTTGGTCATTAATAAAATTGTCTTCAAATTGAAAAGTTCACTGGAAAAACTTCAGCCACGTTTTTTTGGAAAATATTTCTTATTTGTTTCATTCTAAAATCTTTGTTTTAATTAATAATTATTGTCATCTAATTGTGATTCTCAACTAGCCAATAATGAGCCAAAATATCTTTATAATTACTTGTGGCCAAAATGGTACTGGTAAATCCAGGTAAGTTTTTCATATGAACGATTTTCATTCCGAATTGATTCAGAAAATTTAATAATGTAGTCATTGAGTTAACTATGATCGATGGAATATGATTGTGATTAAATTTTCTAATTATCAAAATTTTTTATTTATTTAGTTTTATATTGCAGGAGCAATTGCATACTTTTGTCGATACCACCAGAATTACGCTCGGTATGATTTTATCAACTATTTTTCGACCAACAATTAGCTTTTTGAACAATAACATTTTACGATAAAATTAATTCTGTCATTTCCAATAGGTGTCGATGCGATTAGATTAAAATATTCAAAAGACAGAAAGCAATACAATGTCCATTTCTGTGACACTTCTGGCCAGGAAATATTCAAATCAGTACCTAAGAATTTTTACCGATTAGCTCATGGAGTCATTTTATTTTACGATATTACGAAACGAGAGAGTTTAGAGGTTCTCGAAAAAGTTTGGCACGAAGAGGTAATGATCCATTCTAACCGAAAAGAGCTGATTAAAGTTGTTGTTGGGAATAAAAGTGACCTGGAAGACAAACGACAAGTATCAAGAGAGGAAGGACAACGATTGGCCACCAGACTTTCAGCTTCATTCTTCGAGACAAGTGCTAAGAGCGGGGAAAATGTCTCTCGTGCTATTTACGATTGTCTCGAAAAAGTAGTGAAAACTGCTGAATATCAAGAGGATATCGCTCCAAAAAAGCCGAAAGAAACTCGTTCTTGCAAGTAACACAAAAACCAAACCAAAAGAGGAAGAGTCATATTGTTGTTAGAAATCAATTGATTGAACAGTTTGAAACCAATCACACAATTTGATTTAAATGCCTTTTCACTTATTAATTACACCGAATAATTTTATTGAGGAATCAATTTGACTTGATTAACTTGTTAGAGAAAGAAGAAGATGAAGAAAAAGAAATCAAGTTTATTGTATCTTTTTTGGTGCGTAATTATAGCAAATGATGATGACAATTAATTTATTTGTTTAATTATTAAATGATGAACTGTTTCTGAGAAATTGATTCGCTCAATACAGATCTGTAAGGGAATCACTTACAGATCTGTATCGTACCAAGCGGCCAAGGCATTTTCCAATGATTGACCTGAAGGATTAATCACTGGCCCTTGATTACCTTGTAATTGAGATTGACCATTGGTCATTAATGGGTCAAAAGTAACTGTTGACTCCATGTTTGGGTTTGTTGAATAATGTCCTGTTCTTGTTAATGTAGTGGTCATCAGATCACCAGAATTACCTACTGGTCCACCTCCAGTGGTGTAATGATTTGATCGAGATAAAGTTGAATGGACTGAAGCTGAACCCGCCGTTGGCTCTGCAAAGAGATGACTTGAGAAACCGTCGTCAACGGCAATCAGATTCATGTCCAATTCACCTGGTCCATTGACCCAATTACTTGCGTCTTCCCTGAATAGAGATGAGGTCAATTCCATCGATAGTCTCTTTTTGTAATCAGATGGTTTATCTTCCGACATTCTGAATAGAACCGCGGCCGCATAAGTCGCTACTCCGTCGTTCCTTGAATGAAGTAATTCTGTCAGAGGTGCTGTCGCTGCTTCGGCCTCAATCATTTCTGCTCCCTCCTTGTCACCGGCTAACTCACAAAGGACACCAACAGCGACTCGTTGAAGATTTTCAATATCACTGTACAATAGCTGAACAAATGTCGGAATGATGTTTAAGCTTCGGATGATAGCACGATTGTGAGCATCTTTGGCCAGAACATGAAGAGCACCAACCGAACCCTCAACAATCTCGTCCATTTTAACACCATCAGAGTAAAGTGAATTGTTTGCTGCCACATTTCCCGATGTGCCTCCGCCACCTCCTGGCCCAACACCACCACCGGCAGCTACATTCGCTTTGTGTCTCTGTGACTCAGTGAACGCTTTGGACAACAATTGTACCAATCTTTGAATTACATTTTGATCCCTTAATGGCCCATGATTAGCTGGACTTAAGGCTAAATTTCTGATCAATCCAATCACGGCTTTAATCAGTGGCCATCGAGAAGGAGGATTGAGTAATTTGACGATAGCTGGAAGTCCATAATTGATTCGAACCGAGTTTTGAGCAACCTCAGCGCCAGAATGTCGATTAGTTAAATGTCTCAGCGCACAAACTGCGGGTTCAATGGTTTCTTCCGAATCACCCGCTTGAATGACCGCTCGAACCAGAGCCTCAACTCCACCCACCTGACAAACTATTGCCTTATTCACTGGATTATTACAAGTTAAATTGGATAAAACTCCCGCTGCGGTGATAGCATAACCTGGGTCATTCGTGGATAAAAGGTGGACCAAATTTTGTAGCAATCCTTCCATCCCGTCCAATTTGGTCGCCGCGTCGGATAAATTTCGTAATGTCCACAAACAGTTGGACACATGACGATTAGACTCTGAGTTGAGGTGCATCGCCAAGGCTTGGATTCCACCCGCTTGTACAATAGCCGGTTTATTGGATGAACAAACTGAAAGCACTTTCAACACTCGAGATGTTGTCCAAAGTAACTTCTCGTAATTATAAGTGGTCATTATATTGACCAATAGTTGAGGGCCACCGGAAGCAAGGATAATCAGTTTACCTTCTTGATTACCATAAGCCAGAATTTGAAGACAATCAGTGACCAGGGTAAGAAATTTAACATTATTACGATTAAGAAGAGCGACCATTTTTTGCAAACCTCCTGCCAATCGAACCGCCATCTTGGATCCCTCCTGATGAAGGAGTAAGTTGTGTAGGGTGGTGATCGCATGAAAAACAACATGTTCAATAGGCGATGATAGTAACTTGACCAGAGCTGGAATCCCACCCGATTTGAAGATGGCCAAAAGTCCTTGGCGATGTTGAGATAAATTTTGCAAAATTCCAGCAGCATTTTTGGTCACTTCGATATCGGTTGTTGATGCCATGGCTCGAACAAGAGAGGAAACCATTTGAGGTGAGTTCATTAACGCGTGTCGAGATGCCTCTTTTTTGGACAGTTGATGGACCATCATGGAAGCCTGAACAACCACCACAGAATCCTCATCGTTCAATAGTTTCATTAACTCGGGTAAAGCTCGAGTGGCCAATTCAGCGTCATCTCGATAATTGATTAGATTTGTTACTGCGTGTTTCAACATTTGAGCGGGTTCCGCAAGTCGACCCACCACGGAACTGGTTGAATTATTATTATTATTATTATTGGAAAGAGTTAAATTATTTATATTAATTGAATTTGCATCATTGTTTGGATGATTGTTCAAATTACCACCATTGGTGGTTGGACCATTGCTCCCATTGACCAGGGACAATTCACCGGCTTCATCAATAGTCTCAGGAAACATTGCTGCACGAATCCGCTGTGCACGAGATGAATTGATTGCCCTGGACATTTCCTCGGCGGACATTTGATGACCACCCCCATTGGAATCACCACCATTCCCATTAAAACTCATTACATTCCAATCGTAATTAGATAGATCACCATTTCCCCCTCCATTACCACCCATCATTCCTGAACCATCATCTCCATTTTCATGTTGACCTTCACGTCTATTATGCATGATTAATTAATCCAAATGATTAACTAGAGACCAAATAAACAAATGAATAAAACAATTTTTAGTCCAATCAAATCAACTCGGATTAACTAAATTTCAAAAACAAAATTGAATCTTTTCAATGTCTTCACCCAGAGTCAAAAGATCACTTCACTCCAAGTCCAATGGAAGTTATTGTTATCAAGATGATTATTTTGGACAAATTTTCTTCGAATTTATGAAATTCCAACTCATTTGAAAACGAGATTATCTTAATCCTTACACTAAGATTAAAGACAAACTCGTTTTGAATAAGTTTCTTTGAAAAACATACCCAATTCAAGTTGAATTGATTGAATTCACCACTGAGTACTATAGATAAAGACACTGGGATGGGAGGTTAAGGTGTGGGTTGAGTATTTGAATATTACACTGGGAGTGAGAATTTGAATTACTTGTTAACCATTATGATGAACAGGGATCACCCATTTCTCAAGATTAACCAGAAAAGTGGGTTAAATATGAGAGGAAATTGACTTTGATTTAGATTAAACTTCCGCTCGATTTCAGCTCAAGGTAAATAAAGAGATAAAGAGAAAACTGAATAATGGAATCATGAAGATGAAGATGAAGATGAAGATGGATTAATATGAAGATAGAGAAAGAGAGAGAAAGAGAAAGAGAAAATAGGAGAATCTCGATGAACACAATCTATCGAGAGATGAGCAAAATATATTATCGATTTTGTTACAATAGGAAATAAATATAACAAATAGTTCGCGATATTTATTAATAAAAATAAGAATTTTGAAAGAAAAAGTGATTTTTTTAGTCAACTGCATTTTATTTGTGCATAAGTGATTATATTGACGATGGCGATAATTATGCTTGATTCTTCTTTGCCATCGTGATCAATTTCTTACAACAATTTATAAAATTTCTCCTCAAAAAAAGTAACTTTTCATAGTAATATTAATAGAAAAAGAAAAATATCAAAAATCATTTTAATGGAAAAAATTAAATCTTTTCCTTCATTTCAATAGTCTTATGTAGTAAGGAACAACAATCCATAATTAACATGAAACAATTAAAGATGATCATTTATCCATATTAGTCTTTAAAATATTATTCAACGTGAGATTTTGTTGCTTCAGGTCAGAAATTTGCCTCTTCAAACGTTCATTCTCGGCGATTATTTGATTGATTGAAGAGTCATTTTCTGTCACATCGGGTAAATTGCTTTCGGTATAGTCGCTCCTCTCACTTTCGAATGGCTTTGAATTGAGTAAATTATCACGGAATTTCATTAGCTGTTTAAAACCTAAAAGAAACAGAGAAAAGATTGTTACATTAATTCAATTTCCTCTGGTGCTTCTTCATGATTCGAACTTACCATTCGAGGTGGAAGGTAAAATATTGATACAATTTTCTTTGGATCTTTGAACGAGAGTTTCTTTTAGATTAACAGTCAACGGGGGCGTTTTAAGAGTACAATCAACTAATTTGAATCCAACATCTTGAAGGTAAATGAGAATTGGTAAAATTTGGGTGGCATCGGGATCGGTAAGAAAATCTAACAATTGTAATAACGTCTCGTTGTTGATTGTTTGTTTTAAATGGTCAATATTAACAGAACATAAATCACTTTTTTGACTAGGATGTAAAATACTATCAAGGCGAACGGATAAACATGAATCTTTCTGAGAAAATGAATCACCACCACCACACTGAGCGATAGCCGATTCAGTTTCATTGTTCCCGTCACCATTTTCATCGTCGGTTTTCACATTTGAGGTCAACCTTTTGTACTCTTCATAGGATATCTTTTGAAATTCACTAAAATCCAATCCAGAAATGAAAGCAAGTAAAGAGGATTGGAAACCGTGAGCTTGCTTGACAAATGCACAGATATCCAATTGTAATTTAACCAATGACAATGAAAGTATCTCGATTTTTGGTTGGTTAACATTATCCGAGTCTGAGATGAGAATAGCTTCAGTTGCTTCCATTGCCTCTTCAATTATCCGAGGGGAACCATTAGAGGTAAAGTAAACATCGTCATCAATCGTAATACTATCGAGGTTATTTGCAATATGATCATCTGAAAGGTCACTTCGGATAGAGCGGTCATCATCATCGATTGGGGAAAGATCATTTAAAATTTCAAAACCTGAGATACTCTCATTTATACTTAAATCAGAATCTGAAAGAAATACGAAAAAGTAACAATTAGTAACCACAATTGATCAATTCTAATTCTGGTTATTATTCAATTTGACTTTTACCTCGAACGGAGTATGATCGATAACCTGAACTTGATCGATCAGTATTCAATCCTGATGGATCAAGGGGCACTTCAGAAAGCTCCATAATTGATAATCGATCTGATGATTGTTTCGACGAAGCCAAATTTTGATCCGAATAGGATTGATTAATCTGCTTCATTGGTGATGAATGATCACTTCCCATGGACGATGAACAACCGGATTTATTGTTTTTAACTTTTTCCTGTTTATCTAAAATCACTTCAATTGCAACATTTTTAATTAATGAGATCAAGGAGAGTCTTGGTGAACCAGAAGACTCAATTCCATGGTATTGCTCAATTTTACGAGAATCATTGGTCAGGTAGTCATTGAATTGTTCAAATTTTTCCAAACATCGTAAAAGGAAAAGGTAACCCTCATGATCTAAAACAATCTTGAGAGCTGTGGGAATACAAAGGACAATATTTATATCAGACTCTGGATTTTGCTGGTCAACCTCATGGTCAGTTGATTTTCTTTTGGCAGTTTCATCATCAAACAGATCAGAGGAAAGGTATGACCATATGGTAACTTGGAAAGGGTCAATTAAAGGTCTCGTTCGTCCAGAAGATTTTTTCTCAACAAAATCACACCAAACTGGATCACAATCAACAACCCAAATTTGATTATGATATTTGATATTCTCAGAGCCCATTAATTGTAAAAATCCATTAGAAATTGGCTTTGAATGAACTCCCTTAATCCATGGGAATTTTTCCCTTTCAATAAATAATTTGCAGCTTCCCATGGAAACCATTGAATCATTCAATCGATTAAGATAAGTTGTTTCCTTAATTGAATTGGTAATCACAACTCGAGAACAATTTAAATTTATTGATTCAATATTGTAGGCATCCGGTGTGAAAGAATCTGTTGGTAATGGTTTACCAAGATCGAGGATAATCGTTGGCATCAGTACTTCCAATCGAGTGAAAATGGTCACATTAGATTCACTTCGAGGTATAATTTGCTTCAATTCTAAGAGAGGCTTATGTAGATTACTTTGTAAGGCATTAAACCAAATGAGTGACGGAGTATCAAATAAAATCTTTACTGGAGCAACATTCGCAAAAAGAGTTGGATCTGGTACTGGTCGAGTTCGGGAAACTCGGGTAGATCCAAATTCATAATAATAGAATTGATTAAATTCCAAATAAAATGCCGGAATATCACGAGGAAATTTACCCGTAGAAATTAATTTACGTTCATCTGAATCAGCACCAAATTTTCTGCCTCCTCCACGACGAGAGGTTGAAGTTGAAACACATTTAACAGAAAAATCGCCAACACGAAGTAAAATAATAGAAGAAAATAAATCCGCTAATCGTTGATTAGGTGATCCTTTAGGTGGTCCACAGGATAAACTTTCGGCGAATTCAAATAGATGAGCTTTCATCCAAGAGTCTCGGTTAGCTGATGGATCTCCATATTTAAGCCAATTGTCACGACTTCCGAGAGCTTTTTGATAAGGATAAATGTCTAAAATGAATTTATCTACGACAACATGAAGAGCACCGCCTTCGGTAAGCGAGGGTAATGAGCTTCGTCCATGTTCAGGATCAAGATCATCACATAATTGAACTTGGAGACAATTAATTACCAGATGATACGAAGTCTCAAAGGAAAACAATTTACTGGCGTCGAGGTGTTTTTTAACATCAGCACTATTTGTCGCCAATTTAACTTTGGATGATTTTGATAGAGAAGATGGAGTTGCCTCTTCGATAACTGTCTTAGTGATTGGTGATCTTTTAATCAGTCCATTTATGTAGGTTGTGAAATGAAAAGCTGAAACCAACATGGCATCAGTTAGAACCCAGAGAAGATCATTGAACATTAGGACAATTCGTGCTCCCATTACTTGAGAATCAGAGATTCTTTTCTTAATCATCAGGCGACATGAGCCTTGACAGATAAGTCGCAATGGAGCAGAAGATGAAGTTGATTCAGTCTTTGCCTCAAATTTCATTGTTTGCCATTCGATGTGCTTAAAGTTTAAAACTAATCCTTTCTCTTTATCCTTGAAAGTGGTCGAACGAAGATCGGGTACTGGTTTCCAATTGGGAGAGCGACTTTCGACCTCTAATTGGGACAGTTGGAAAGAGGCACGAATAAAAGGTGAGGTAAATTTGACAACAACCGAACTAATTGTGATCCGAATGCCGTCAATTGTTCTCGAAATGATTCCATATTTAGATGCACTGATGACGACGACGATGATGATGTTGATGAAAATGAGAAAGAGAAAGAGAAAAAAACATTAAACGTAAACGAAAAGATAATCACCAATCACCTATAATTAAAGGTGATGATAAAATTATTTGAGAATCAAATGAAGCTGATTATTTATAATAAGAGAAAGTGAAGGATAATTTCAACAATCACGAAGCATGAAAATGATATTTTTTTCCTCAAAAACTGTGACTACAGATGATTAAAGTAAATGTAACAAAAAGTTGCGAGAAAAATCATTCGAGTGAGAGATAGAAAGTGTCACATAATATCATCTCTTACAAGAGATTATCCCTTTTATCAATATTCCTAATTGAACAAGTCCACAGGTGATTGATCTCTTACTTTTCGTTCACTAAATTGTGTTTAATCATCTATAGCATCAAATCAAATGTATTTTCCATTTTCTTGCGTCAATTAATTAGTAACTAATTCAATTAACTGGTGTTGAAATGATCAATCATTTTCAAGATTTAGCAAATAATTGATTACTTTTGACTAGAAGCTGCTTGATTCTTGAAGGTACGGAAATTTTCACAGACTTCAACAGCCACATTGACCTCATCCAAACCCAAGCAAATTGGGACCCAGGGCATTTTTGACCATGGAATCTGAATAATAACAATCACAATAAGAAAATGAAGATACGAAAGATCAATTTTTAGAAGGGAAAATAATGTAAACCAATAGTTTATAATGAAATAAGGCCAATCCGTCAGAACGAAAGGTTTAGGGCCAACCAGCGGTTGTAATATTTACCTTAATTGCTGCGTGACTACAAGTGGCCTTGGTTATATTCAACCAAACGGGTAGTTCTAGTAGATCCATTAGAACCTCTTCATTTAATTCAAGATTATGTAATTCACAGAAACCTTTCATTGCACTTAATTTAAAACTATCGGTTGACAAATTTTTAAAATATCTGTAAAAACGATTTGGTGAATGAAGGGATTAGAATTAGGTTTTACAATTGTTCACATTAAATGATTGGGATTTAATTTAATTTACTTACTTGGCGAGATGTTTAAAAACTTGGTTTTTTATTAGATTTGCCATTTTAATTGATGGAAATGTTTCCGTATGGAAGAAACAAAACAATAAAACACTTCGGGTGTAGTTGATTAAATGTAAGACTTTGTAAGTATCAAAAAGAAAACAAATTGAAATGAATGAAAAAAATCGATTCGGGTTAATCGATTTTTCGATCAAATCTCTCAGCGATTAAATCGCTGAAAAGCGAAATTTTCAGCGAAAATATTAACAAATCCATGGATATGAAATGTGTTCACATGAAGTTTTCTGAATTTCGTGCCAAGCTAATTAATTAATTTTCCATTAAAAGAAATGTTCAATTAGGGTAGAAGAAAATTGAATAAAAATCTTTCAAAACTAAAACTTCGATTGCGCCAAATTCAAATTGCAAATTTCAACTAATCAATTTAGATGATTAATTTTGAATCGACGAAATTTTTTTCCAATCATTCAAAATGTAAATAATTATATGGTTGTTTCGATATTCTTAGGAAAAGAAAAAGTGATCTTTTACTATCGGTTTCAGATTCGTACTGATCACCAAGTCGAGTGATGATAAGTTGAAATGTTCAATGAGACTTTCGATTGAGAATTGATTGAATTCACTTGATTTGATTTGTTCAGTGGTCAAAAATCCTACAGATAATCAATTAAGTTGAAACAATAGTAGCAATTAATTGCAATTTATTTTATTCAAAATGCGTCAATAGCAAAGTTAAACGTTGAATGTTCATATGCATAATAAACAGCCAAAGACTTTGAGTTTTCAACAATTTGTTGAATCATTCACACAATTAAATATAATCAATGAATGAGATAAAGTTAATCCAATCATACAACACTCTCTCATTCAAACGGTATAATCCCTTTGAATGGTCATCTGATTAGATATTAAAAGTAATTAGTATCTTTATTACCTGATTACCTGAGCAAATGATTAAACAAACTGATTGTAAACTTCAATCCCTTGGCTGTGTAACAATTTATAAAGTTTTTGTTAATATAAAATAGTTTAAAATACAAAGATCGTAACAATTTTTTGATTATCATGATTTGGTTGTTAAACAATTAAAAAAAAATGATGATTACATGTTAATTGTTAAAAAGACAAAACCAAATCAATTAGTAGATACAATTGGAATCCTGTCCGGATAATTTTAAAAGTTAATTATCAGGAGGAAACAATTGATCAGTTGATTTAATTAAAATAAAAAGAAAATCTTATAACTAAAATTGATCAACAATTAAAGTAATAGGAAATTTGTTATTTAATTGTTCCGTTAATCCTTCATGATCAATTAACTGCTATTTGCATTTCAATTATCAAATTACTGTATCGGCGCTCTCAGTGTAATTCAATTAAACCAGTTAACTGGTCATCTTTGTAATGAATAAATCATTGTTTGAGGTTAAATTGTTGTTGTTATTATTAATTGTATTTGTTACGATTGAGGCTTTGCGAGGTCTGGTCAGTGATAAACTGGACATGGTCATTGAAGGTAGTTCATTAGATGGTGAAGATGTTGTTGTTGTTGGTGATGACATTGTTGAAGATAAAGGTGATGAATGGTTGTGATGATTATGATTATGATTGTGATTGTGATTATTAAGATTGTGTGAATTTAATGACATTGATCCGGTAATTAGGGAATGAGGTCGAATGGAGTAACTTGAGGTTGAAGATGAGGATAAAGGTGACGATGAAGATGAAGATGGTGATGTCAAAGATGATAAAGGTGAGTGTGAGGGAGAAGCAAAAAATTGTCTCCTTGCCTCGTAAAGTGAATTCCGAGAACCACCAATAATATGATTACAATTATGATTATGATTATTATTGGACCGATTTAATCTATCATCTGAATCATCATAATTACCGCTAAGATTTGATGGTCCAGTGATTATTTGTTGACCAGATAATTTGATAACAGCTGATGATGAATAAATTGATGGAGTAGGTGATAACCTTTCACGTTCGAGGCTTCGGACTTTACCATCGATAGTAATATTGTTATGGTCAATGATCATTTGGTCATTCATGTTATTATTGTAAACATTATTACTGTTGATCATTTTTCTGCACTTATTTATCAGTTTATCATTTTCTTTATCCTTCCCCTTTGACGATGAACAGTTATTACCTTCTAGTGTAAGAGTAACTTGTGTCCGATTTGTATTGGTCATCATTGAGTTTACCTTATTGTTTTCATTATTTTCACATGGATGTTGTTGATCTTCATCAATTTCATCATCATCCGGATATGAAGGATCGGTCAGTGGTTGAGGTGATGGTGGAGCTGGACCGAAAATCTTTTCAACATATGTAATCAGTATTTGAACAACTCGAGCCTGATGACCAGTATCGACCAGTGAGCTCAACGAATCTCCTTCTGACGATCTTAATAAAGTTGGTCCAAAAACGATTCCCAAATTTGATGAAGGCATGTTGTTGATTTTACTCTGATCAGCTACTCTTTTCAAATGATAGCACAAAAAGGCAAGAGTTTTATTATGAACAGAGGGTAAACTTGAGGTCAATTGTTTATACTGGACAACCAGTTGGTCAGCAATTGAAGGATCGTCCAAATCTGCTCCTGAACCATCAGCACTTGACGGATATTGTTTTGCGATCCGTATAAACTCAGGGTATAGTTTATAAGTAATTAAAGGTTCAGGTAACTGACGAAGATAAAGTTTCAATACATTAGCGATAACATTTGGATGGACATCATTTAAATCAACAGAATCGACTGGACAGGATTCGAAAAGTTGACAAAGTTTTTCCACTCGAGATTTAACACCCGATACACGATAAAGTCCCTTAATTAAACTGCCACGACGATCCAGTTCGTTGATACATTTAACCAGAACCGGAGGAATCTCATCACCCGAACATTTCAAATCAACACCAAAAGTTGTCATTGTTTTCTTAGTTGATGAACCTCGATTCCGTCGGAGATTAGTACTATTATTGTTGTTGTTATTACTACAATTAACGATTACCAATTCGGTTCGACACTTGTTATGACAGGTTAATCCACACTTTGATTTAAAGTATAATCCATGTTAATATATGTGAGACAAAAGACAAAAAGTTACAGTTAGTTGGGTTGTTGTTGTTGATTCAATTGTTGAATAAGAACAAGAATTAAATTAATATTCAGATTGTTATGTTATTACAATAAAAGGTAAAAATGATTTGAAATTATAAACCAGTTTACTTTTGATTGTCTATTGAAAACAAATTACTGTTGAATTAATCAAAACTCAACGGTAAAGATTCAACAAAGCAATTAGCTTTATCATAATTAACTATACATGTATTATAAACATGATTATATATTTTTAGTTAATTATTATCACTATTGTTACCTTTTTGATAACAATAATATCATAAAAGAAACAGATTATTAATATTGAATTGATTTCAAAGTTAGTTATTAAATCCTTGACTGGTAGAGATCAAAATTAAGTAATTAACTGAGAATTAAATTAAACCAACAATCACAACCTAATAGAAAATAATGAATTGATTGAAATTGGACAAAATTTACAATTACAATTTACTATTATTTGAATTGATTGTTTACTCAGGTGGACTCATTATGATTACTACTATTATTAAAATTAGTGTTATTATCATGGCTGTTTGAAGGTAAACGATGAAACCATTTTCAGACAATTAAGGATGTAATAATGGTGCTAATTAAGACATTGAGAGGATGATTAAGTTGATTAAGATTGATAAAAGACGTACATTGATACATTCAAGACCTTGGAAACAAACATAACCATCACAATGCCGACAGCGAGATGGTGTTTTAAGTTTACGAAAATGGTGGCTTGGTGTTAATGTCGCAGGAAGAGTTGAACAATTAAAACCACTTTCAACTGTAAGAATCGAGAAACAGAAAGGACAATTAACAAACAATCTAAATAGAGGACATTTTTTTCATACATTCATGTACATTAATATTCATGTAATTAAGGTAATCAACTTGATGGTTGATTATGATTAGTGTATTACTTACAGTTTGAATCTCCATCAACCACCATTTCACTTGAAAAGGTAACTGGCAATTCAATATCTTTGCAGGATTTTAAATGGTTTTCATTTAAATTGTTTGATCGTTTAATTGTTGATCGTTGATTACAATTACCAATAACTTTACCTGTTGACATTTGATTTGTTAATGAATCAAATTTATTGTTGTAATCAGAATTTTTCAGAATACCATTGTTGTTACATTTTCTAAGGGTTTCTGTAAATTCTGGTAATTGTGATATATAATCAGCGTATTTACTTCCAGGTTGATACAATTTAGTTAAATCACTTAGAGATCCAAATTGTTCAACAATTGGTTTGTAAAGGTTATGTTGACATTCAAAGTAGCCAATGGTCACTGCTTTCAGGGTTTGATCGCACTGGTAGATTAACTCCCGAATCCGGATTAAAAGTTTTCTTTTCAGTTCTTCACAGTTTCGAGTCCTTGAGAAAATAGATCAACAATCAAATTATTATTAGATGAAATTGACGATGAGAACAATTAAAACTTGACAATTACATGTACAGATTAAACTTGGTGTATGATACAATCATTTTATCATCAATATATTGAGAGGAAATTGATTCCTTGTGAATATTTAGATGTCAATGTAATTCAATTCATCGACTAATTTTTTTTCATGGTTATCCATAAATCGTGAACAATAATCATGGTGATGAAAGTTAATTGTGGCACTTTATGTTGTCATAACTAACAATTTGCATTGAGAAAATTTAATGATAAATGCTGATTGTAACACACAAAAGGAAACAACAATTATACACTTATTAGAAACAACAATCAACCAACCATCACTTCATTATGATAACTAGCAATTTATGATTACCCTTACTCGCCTTGATAATAAATCAGAGCTACAATTAACCACAATTTAACCTAGTTTATCAGCTACAATCAACGTCATAATCATAAACAACGGATATGTCACATGTAAGTTATGAGATTGTAAACAAATTGAGCAATTAAATACAAAGAAGTGATTTTAAAATGATTAACTAAATTAAGGATTCTGATGGGTTTAAATTTACTTTATGATTACATCATTAATAATTTGTTTATAATCAAATCAAACTTTATAACTATATTACGACAGTCAACATAAAAGGTTACAATTATTATCAACAGGAAACTAATTATGATTACTGCTTGAAATAAAACTTAATTACTGTTAATCAACTTCTCACAATTTACAGGGCTATTCAGCTTTGTCGATATTTTTTGCGATTTTCTCGGTAACTATGAGTCCTAGAGACTAAAGACTTGAACGATTAATTTGAACAATACTAAATTGTCATAGAAAAATATCAAGGTCATTGAGGTCAATCCCAAAATCACGCGTTTGAAGGCCATTTCACGAAAATACATGTTAAAATAAATTGAGGTTCATCAATTGAGAAAATAAAAATGACACTTTCAGTGTTGATTTAAATACATGTAATGTCCATCCAAATGCTATCGCTAATGTATTGAAACTTAATCCTCGACAATTACCTGAACCTTAAATTACTATTAAATCAATTGATACGGATCAACAATGACCCAAATGACCTTGATATTTCAATATGACAATTCAGTGTCGCTCAAATAAATCATGAAATCTTTAAGACTTTTCTATGACTTATAGTTACCAAGAAAATTGCAAAAAAATAGTCAAGTGCTCTGTATTAATCGTTAATGATTAGTTTGAATCAATTATTAAAATTTAGAATTGAGATAATTTCAATTGTAATTACCTGATATTTGCTTCGTTGATTGTATTTCGATAGACTATCTCAGCCTCTTGAGCTCTTAAACAAGCTTCGTCTTCAATTCGCTTTTTTCGTTCACATTTACTGACTGGATCATTTCCACCATAACAACCACCCACTCCACCACCACCACCACCACCACCACCGCCAATTGGTCCTCCATATTCATTTGTATTCAGTTCAGATGATAAATTGCTTAAAGTTCTAAGTCTCTCATATTCTTGATTCCTTTGAAAATAGATGATTCGAGCCTTGCGAAGATTGGTCAATGATTCGTGAGTGCGTTTCAATTCTCGATTCCATTCTGATTTGATCTGTTTTCGAATTTTTTCATGTTCAGTTCGACGAGCAGCCAGTGGTTCGATAAATTTATGTCCTAAAAGAAGTGAACAATTAGCAAGTGTACTACAACTATTGTCCAAATCATTGTCCAAGGCTTTCAGGTAAACCGATTGAAGAGGAAGATATTTCTTAGAGAGAGAAAAGAGAACAGAATAATTAGCTAATTGTTCAATTAAATTAAATTATTCTAATCAAATTAACCTTTAAAAGGATTATGCAAATGGTTCAACTGAAAATTAGAGGTGAAAATTAAATTTAAAGGTTAATCATGAAAATATTTACCTCTTCCTTCAGGATGGGCTTAACTGATTGTGCTAATTTAGTTAAATTGCGTACATGGTCAGCTTCTGTTAATCATCGGATTAAATAAATTGGAATAGGAAATAAATGATTAGAATTGTTGGTGAAAAAAATCAAATTATATCCCAAACAATCAAGTGTAATGTTATTGGTCAATTATGATCAACATGAATGTTATTTAAATAAATGGTTTGCATTTTTAATTCAACTGTGATTATTGTAATGGTTAAGGTTCATCAATAATCATCAGTGTTTTGTTGTATTAATCGTGATACAAATTGTGAATTGTTAAATTGTTCAACAAGAGACTCGTTGATTAACTTGAGTGAAAACTTGATGATGATCATCATGATTATCACAATCAACAAGTAAAGTGACAAGAAAAGGTTACAAAATTGTTTATTAATTTTGCTCTTTAAATTGATTGTATGAGAGAGACCATTGATTTTCAATGATCTTTCAACTTGATTAGATTTTAATCATTTCCTGATTGTTGATTTAGATTTTTACAATAACAATAATAATATGAATACATTTGATAACAATTTGAATTAATGGTTGGTTGTTGTTTGGTAAGAAACATTAAATTGCTTTGGTTAAATGTTAAACAATGATAATATTTAGTTAATAACAAGATTTACAATCGTAAAGTTAAATTGTTTGATCAACAAATCAAATTGACAGTTTAATCAATATCATTGATTTGATTGGTGAAAAATATAATCTAGTCAACTGAACATTGAGTATGATTGGAAACAGGAAAAAAAAATTAAAGGTAATTTTCAATTGATCTTGAATTATTTTTTTTCTTAATCTACTAAACAACAATTTAAATCATTGACTTTGCTTGTTAACAATCAAAACAAACAACAATTAAGGACAATCAGGTAAATGTGAGTGTGTAGGGATAATAGATTAATTTGATTTTTACAAATCAATCTTGATAATTAATTTAATTCACAACAATTGTCCATAAACAAATATAAAGATATAACCAAAAGTTAATTAATATTGATTAGTTCAATTGACTAAATCAAAGGTGTAAATAAAAAAGTTTACAATAAACTTGATTAAAATAAATCCTTTTAAGGTGAGGTCAATCAGCTTAACTAATTGCAATCAAATTGAGGTAATTTAATCATTTCAATTTTGTGATAAACAAATTGTTGATAATTTGATGAAACTATTGTTGAAATAATTGATTGATTGATACAGAGACTCACAGTGAAAACGTATTTGAATATTTCCCTGTATTTAGTAAATCATTTTGACTAATCAACATGAGATAATTGAAGATGATTTAAATCAATCAGTTATATGAACAATTGAAAACCCCCGTTGAGTGTTTATTGTGATTTAATGTGATGAGAGTGAATTAAGTTAATTGTTTACAGTGAAACAAAAATAACAATTATTATTAATAGATTGTAGGTTAATCAAAAATTCATAATAATGATGAAAAAATTTGATATTATTTATAATTGATTTACCAATAAGTTATTTACCTCAATTTAATCAAAAGTAAATTGATGATTGATATGATTTGATTAGCTAAATATAAAGTTTAATGATTGTTTGTGATAAGTAAATCATTAATTGTGATCATCATGGGAAAACAGTAGTTAAGCTGATTGTTGGAAAGATATTATCGGAAGTTCATTGAAGATAAACTAATGATAACGGTCATCGATAACTTTACCTTTAAGTTTGAATAAATGCTTGACCATTAGGATTATAATGATGATATTTAAGATACCTGAAGGTAGATTGAGAGAGTGAGGGAGAGTGAGAGATGATAATGATGACGATGACGATGATGATGATGATGATGATGATGATAAAAAGAGAAAGTTGTTCAATCTTCTTGAGGTGGAAATTTTCATCTGCTTTTGTTTTCACTTTCATTAATTTGCTCGCAGGTCCGTTAACGGCAATTTCATTGCTACTGATTATGATTAAATCATTTGATTAAATGATGGACTTGATGGTTAACATAATGTGAACCATTAGTTACCTTCAATCATCACAATCGGTTCACAATAATTCAACTATCAATTCCTATCAGAGCTTAAAGCAACATCGTTCAAACGATATTTATAATTACAAGCTGATTGTGTTAAAATTTTGATTACAAATTGTCAGTTAATCATCAGAGTCGCTGATAAAATGATGATAATCAACGTTATTTGTTGATATTTAATCAGTTGGGAACAAAATAAAGGTCCGTGATTAAAATTGGAAAAGTTTCATTCACTTGATTGTTTACAATCAATTTCTCTAGGGTATAATTTAAGTTGATTAACCTACTAAAAGATTGAGTCTGAATTGATCATCGTTTATCACTAGGAATCAATAATTGGAAGTTAATCATTTAGATGATTTACTTTAAATCAATTAATATTATTTAAAGATATTTACGATAATATCTGAAGAAATGATTTCCAATCAATCACATAAATTAATTTATAATTAGTCTGAAACTCGGAAATGCCTTTAGTTAAATTGTTAATAATAGAAAGTGATTCGTCCAACAATTAACAGTATTGTAAATGAGACTAACAATTAAATGATTTGCTGATCACTCATTTCGAGTGAGTGAAATAATCATTTTTAATCACGATGTTGATTAGTCAATTAACTAAATATTTATATTCACAGCTATTGTTGAACAATAATTGACTTGTTGATCTTTAAGCAATTAACTAACAATTGATTACAATTGGTTAACTTCGTAGCAATCGGTCATGATCGTGATTAACAATTTTTCTTCATTTTAATCGTGATTTAGATGAAAATTATATTCTGATTAATATGAGATACTTTATGATTTGATCACAAATAATAATCAAATTAATTCATGTCAATAAAACCCATAATTGTAATAGTAATTGTACTTGACCATGATCATGAGAATCAGAAGCAATTAATTATCAAATCATCATTAAAAAAAACAAAAGAATCAGCTCATTTGATTTAGATGATTAATCAACACTTGAAAAGTAATCAAAAGGTAATGATAATAATGCAATTAAATCAATCAACAATTCAATTAACTGTTTAAACAATTCAAATGTAAATGATAGTCACAAATTTCATAGTTTACTCGGACTAATCGATGATTAATTAACAATTAACTCAAAGAAATGGTAAAAAAAAGCTTAAATTGTTAGAGGAAAAAAAGGTAAATTAAAATTAATTGCTAATTGAACTTCACAATTTAACTAACAACCAAAGTAGAGCAAATGAATGACTTGATTTAATCTTGTCTCATAAATTAGCTTGACACTAATCAGGTAAAAATTGAAAGTTTTACCTTTTTTTTAATTGAAATTAAGGTAATATCACAATCAGATTAAATTAACGTAATTAAAATTATCAATTTATTCAATTACAGGGGCAATGATTTAGAAATACAAATTGATGTTATCAAACTTAGGAAAAAGTTACTAAGTTTTTATTCATTGTGATTAATATTTGTTGATCCAATTGATTTACAATCAATGCGAAAATATTGATTGTTGATTGATCATGATCAACGTTTAAATTTCTATAATTACCTTGACTCTGCCAGGTAATTATTATTAATTAATTAATTCTAATCATCGGGTCGATCATCATTTTCATAAATCCCTTCCTCATTTAATTGGATTCACTTTTTCCTAATTATTGGATGTTGTTGAAATTATCGGAATGTTTGATTGGATTCAGCAATTTAAGAAAGTGATTGTAATTAGTTAATTGATATAGTTTAATCATACATACAAATCCTTAAAGCAAAAGTTAATTAACATCAAATGAAAGTGAAATTATCACAACAATTTAAAAAGTGTTACTCTAAATAAATTTAACAAAAATTGCGAAAAACAAATCAAAGGTAATTTAATTATTTTCACCAGTCCAACAATTAATAAATAATAATGGATCACGGTAACAATTTAACAATCTGCTATTAAGATTAAATTGTTCAATTGATGGTTTATAATTAATTTAATTGTAGTTGTACTCAATTATTGATATTATTGTGTCTCGATTAAAGTTGATTATCATTTAACGGGACACGGAATCACATCAATATCAGAAACTTAATCATCACAATTAATCATTAATTTTTTATGTCTTTTTTTTCATTCAATTATTAATAATAAATTAACTAATTGTTTTAACTTATTTCCTGATTTAACTTATGTTGGTTTCATTAAGGGTTGACAAGATTATTTGACTGATTGATTTAAACTAATTTCTAGGATATTTTAAATATTATATTATATTAGTATAATTAACGAGAATAACAATTAGAATGATGATCAGCAACAATTAAGATTTAAATTAAAAATATTTAGTTAATTAGTATAGGAGAAACTTTCGTTAATAACTAATCAAGGTGTTGAATTGAAAGGTTAATTGTTAACTACGGTGATAATTGTTAATCCTTTGATTGACTAATTCACAGTTTGATTTGTCCTTTATATCAATTATAACTGGATTTAATTAAATGTTGATGGTTTACTTTTTAACAGGATTAAGTTAATTGATTAACTGGTTGTAGGAAGAAAATGTTTGATTACTTTAATTGTCAATGAAAAATTTGAGAATCGGTGAAACAATTAAAACAAAAAAGATGAACAATTAGTTATTAAATGACGATGAGTCTCATCATTATGATAATTGTATTTACAAATGATGATCATCAGTAAGCAATATGATAATCTGTTGATTTAATTAAGTTAATAATGGGAAATTGATACACTCACACAAACAATCATCAACTATCATCATTTGTTTATTGTTGTTTCTCAACACCTCTTAATTTGTAGATATAATTAAATCACTTTGAAGGTAAAAATATAAACACAATTTACTTTTCTGAGTAGGTGTTAATCAGATTGTTTATCATGTTAATTGCTGAAATTTAAAGTTTTTCAGCTTCATGGTAAACCTAACAATTACAATGCTAAATTGTTCAATAGTTTGGTATCCAAAATAATTTCCGGTTAACAATGATTAAGTATTAATATATAATCGTAACTATAATCAAATTGTTAATTGCTTAATTGTAATGCTGCTTACACAACATCAACAAGGTGATTGTTTCATTTGACAATTTGACAATTAATGATTATCAGAATTTATTATTATTAAGGAAACTAAACAATTGATTGTTTCAGTGTAATTTGATTACATCACCATGATTATTGATTAATCATCCATGGCTCATGTAAAACAAAATGATCAATTATAATTAAAATATTAATCTGATAATCTACTAGATCTAAGTTCAATGGAATCAAATTATTTCAATCAATTCATCGTTTTTATCATTAACATGATTGAAATTGAGTTTTAAGTGTTGATTATGTTTAAATGAACGACATAAAAAATTATGTCAATGAATGTTAATTGCTTGTTAATTATAATTCAAAATGCTACGATTTCCATTTACAGGGTTATTCATTGATTTTCGCCCAAGTTTTTTTTGCGATTTTCTCGATAAGTATGAGTCTTATGAAGATGAGACTTTAATTGTAAATTGTAAATGTTTTTCCGATACTTAATTGTTATAGAAAAGGATCAAGGTCATTTAGGTCATTGGTGGAATAAGGAATTGGTAGAAAATCGAAAAAAAAACATGGGCGAAAATCAATCAATAGCCCCTGTATTAAATACTTATTAGTGTTGAGAATCGATTATTAATTAGCAATCATAATTACACTTTGATGAGAAACATTTGGTAACACAATTTAACCTAATTTTACACAGAAAATGTTGATTGTTTGAGAGACTTACCTAAATTGCTTCTCTTGTCGATGTAGTTAATCAAATCTTTGGCATATTTGGACCATAATTTAGCCCGATGAAGAGCTAAATCAATTCCTTCAGGTAAATGGAGAAACCTATTGTCACAATCATTAGGTGTCAGTGGACTTCTTGCTTCAGGGTCAGTAAGTTCTGGCGGAGTTAATGATGAAGATGATGGAATTGTTGTTGATGAATCACCGCCAATCTGATGATAGAAGAGAAAATAATCAACAACAATTAATTTAAATCTCTCAAGAAACCAAATGGAAAGATTAATTAAATAAAGAGAAATTGAAATTAAGGCCTGAAGGGTATAGTAGATAATCAAGTCAACTGTCAAGTCAATCAAACATAAAGTCAAACTTTTTCTCGTTATAATGGTCGAGTTATAATCGGATGAAATACATGATAATGGTAATGGTGATGATGGAGATGAAGATGAAGATGAAGATGAGGATGATTTATTCAACATGATGATGACAAATCCAAGAGAAAAAAAAGTAAAGTAAATTCTTTTTCGATTCTATTGGAAAATTCAAGATGTAATCACAAAGAAGATAAATTAATTTGACGACATTGGAAATCAATTAATCGCATCTTCAAAAAATCGTCGTAATCAAACAAGATTTTTGATTGTTGTCAAATTGTGATGATAATCAAAACACAGAAAAGGAAATTTTGATGGAAATTTGATTAGAAACGAAATTGATCTGTAACAAGAAGTTCTTTTTGTTTGATGGACACTAAGACTGTTGATCGTTGATTGTTGATTGTTGATTGTCTATTAGTGATAATTGTTGATTAAATAGAATTTTTTAATTACCATGTTAATGTTTCCATTTGATTTACCTCCTCCTCCACCACTTTCCATGAGATACTCAGAGAGTCGGTAGTTAATTGGATCGGCTGAGGAATTGATATATTTGCTACGACAGAATAACATTTTGCTTTGTGAAAACGATAATTGATTGTTGATGATGATTAGGCTAAAAATACAATAGAATAGAACAATTCAAATTGGTAATTAAAAGAAATTGATTAACATGATTTGTCTAAATTGTTTTGTTACTTGTTGATTAACCACAAAGGTTAAACAATCTATTCTTTAATTTAATAGTTAACATGTCAATTGTGTCATTGGAAGGACAATTAATCAATTTTTTCAATGGTCACTTGATTTAAATTAAAATGATGATGTTAAGCAACAATAAACAAAAGGACAGTTGTTGATTAATTCACTTTTAATGAGAGTTGATTATCTTAATGTGATGATGATTAGATAATGATGGTTGATGAGGTTGGAAAGTGATGGTTAATCTGTCAGGTAAAAGTGATGGTTAACAAAGAGAGAAACTAAATTTAGGTAATTGTTTAGTTGATAAACGTTCATCTATCAACAATTAACATTGTCTCCCTCTAATCAACTGGTGGTGTTTATCAATTTTTCACTCAATACCTTCATCATCATCAGATTTATTCAGTTTTCAGTTTAGGAATTGCTATCAACATAATAATAGTGAGAGAGTTGAAAGCTTACCTGTTGTTTATTATGAAATAATTTGATTTTCACTCTTAATCAGGTAAACCCACTGATTAAGTGTAGATGTTGATGATTCAATCCAATAGTTGATTAGATGTTAAAATTTGTTACTATTTCCATTGGAAACGCGGCTAATTAATTGTTATCCATTTTTAATTAACCTGTTGATCAGAATCATTTGATAACCAATGAAATTAACAAATAAAAACGAGAGTTGTAAATGTAATAATAATTAACATTTAAGTGTCTCGATTGATTGAAACAACAAGTAAACAAAATTCACAGAAACAGCAAAGAAAACAATTAATTAGATGATTCAAATGAAGACTGGTGATTGAATCAACAGGTTAATTAAAGGTAATTAATATCAAACTGTTATATTGATGATGAAGATAAAAAAAAATGATTGACAGAATTGAATTACACATGAAAATAGTTGAACACGGAAACAATTAAGGGAGAGGAAGACACGTGAAGAAATGAGAGATAATTAATCCATAGTGTTAATCCAGATAAAGATTAAGAATTTTTTTTTCTCTATCATGAAAAACATGAATAAAGAATAACAATTGAAACTGTTAACTGAACGATTAGAGTTCTAAGTGAACAACATCCTGCTCATTGTGTTACAGGTTCTGACAACAGCGTGCGAATGAGCTTCATGTTGGTTGATGATGAGAGAGAATGGGAGAGCGAGAGAGTGAGAGAGTGAGAGAGAAATGGTTGAAAGAGAAAATAGAAAACACGAAAACTGGTATTCGTCCTTGAGAAAACTTGAATTCTATGAACACTCATGATGAATTTTCTACTCTCTCTCTCTCTCCCTGATTATCTTCGTATCAAATTTACCTTTTTCTCTACGGAATAATGATTACAATCTAATGTTCATTTAATTGTTAACAATTAAACAACAATCACCTTTCCATTGCCTATTTAATTGTTACTCTAATTGTAAACACTTTTGACCTAATCAATGAGTTACGACGTCGATTCATTTGTTATGTGAAAACTTTTTTCCAACAGTTTTGTTTAGATTTTGATTCTAGTTGGTTTTTCTTGATTGTTTACCTTTTTGATTGATTGTTGTTGATCATTTTGATTAAAATGATTTGTTAATTTAGTCACTTTTACTTACCTTTAAATGTAAATAATTTAATTTGATTTGGTTACACTTGATTTTGACTCGAGTCGTTTTGATTAACATCTCATTTTTTACCTTCTCATTGGACCATAATAACAATTAACTTTTAATTGTTGATGTTTTTTGTTGCTGTTGTTCACTGTTGATGATCAAACAATTAACTAGATACATTGAAGGACAAACTATTTGGTATAGATGGTGATTAGTAGTTAAATGTTTAATTACTTTGATATATATTTTAATTATGATGATTAAGGGAAAAAGTATCAACCATCATGTTAATTAACAATTGAAGAGACGAGAAAAAAATTATTCTAATTGTTGTTAATTAACTTTGTAACAGATCAACAGTGATCATGATGGTTGATCTGCTTTAATCAATCATTTGATTATCCAATAAAATCTTGAAAGTTAATTGGTTTAATCATGATAATGATAATCATTGTAATCAAAGTTAAAAATAAATATTAATTCAGATGTAAAAAAAAACAAATGTTAATTGTTGTAACTACAATCAAATTAGAATCAAATCAACGAACCAAATTGTTTTCCGGTTTAATCATAACAATAAAGGTTTGGGTCATCAGAATTACAATTAAGGGCTAGTTAATCTTGACCGTGTCCAGTTGGTTAATAGAAATCATAATGAATCAAAATTATGAACTGAATTAACCTCATGTTAATTAGAGCAACAACTGATCATCATCATGACGATAATTGTAATCAACAATTTATTTTGATTCTCTCGGCGATTTATGATCAGTGATTAAGGTGAAATACTCATGAGAAATCAGTTTCAAAGGAAGATGATTAACTCAATCAGTTGATTGTTTCATCAAATGAAGATTAACCTTGATTGATTAATATTTTGATTTGTTAAGTTGTTGCTACTATTAACTGCGATTAATTTGATTACTTGATTACCTTCAAAAGTGATGATGATTATTATTAGTAAAAACGTTTAACATACTTGTGGTAAATAATAATAATTTAGTGTAGGTTTTAAATTGTAATTACTAAATCGCCCATCAGTTAATTGTTAACATCATCTGGTTAATTGTTACTTTCATTATCTCACGTTGATTTTACTTTCACATTTGAATTACCAATTAAACATTATTCTCTAGACCTGTCTAAAGACAGAGATAATCAGTTAACTGATTCAAATCATTTACCTTCAACCTACACTTAAATTGTGAATAAGAAACAATTTAATTAATCCACAATTAACTCTCATTGTTTCTCATGTGGAACAAGAGATGGCGCCAGTGTTGCTTCAAATTCTTCAAGTTTGTTTACATTTTCAAGTGAATGTTTTGATTTTGTTTTCTTTGTTAATTGTGATTCTTTTTTAATTGTTTGTGTTTTTTTTTTAATTTTCCAATTTATTTTACGTTAATCTCAAAGTCTAGGTGATTAGTGAAAGTATTGTGATGACTCTGAGAAATCGAGCGAGACAATTTATTGTAAATCTTTTCACTTCACCAGAAACCAAACGAAAAAATGAATTGAAAGCTAAATTGTTACAATCAAAACGATCAGTTTTCGGTTCTGGAACTAAACCTTTAACACCTTGGTATTCACTTCGTAATAATGAGATGCAAGTGGTTCTCGTTTTCGTAGTTTGTCTACTACCATTAACGAATCTCTTTGAAACAGCTTATTATGATGGTTATTATACGATTAAACTCTGGTCCGAGAAGATTAAATTTAGAATGGAACTTGATGAAAATGAAAGATTAGTTGAATTGTTGGGTATGAATGAATCAAAAAAGAAGGATTGATCACACAATTAATTTGTTGTAATTTCGTAAATTTAAATAGTCACTCTAACCATTATAATGGAAATGTAAAAATTTTAGACTGAAATGATTGTTTTTGTTTTGTAAATTGGGCAATTGAAACAATTAAACCAAATCATGAAGCAAATTTAAATTAAATTTCAAATTTCAATTCTATTGGAAATTAATATTTAATTTAATCAATTTGAATGTAAAAAAGTTTGTTTATAAAAACTATTGAATATCGAAATTGTTTTTATATTAATTTTTTAATTCGAAAAAAGTGAAATTTTTTATATTTCAAACCATTGATTATAATTTTCCATTTTGTTTCGTTAATCAATTTGAATTATACAAATTTGTCTACACAATACAAATGATCATCTTGAGAATTAAAGAAAATAGAAAAGTGAACAAAATTAACACTTTTCTTACTCGCTTTTTGTTGGTTTTCGGTACAAAAATGATTGGTTTGAAAAGATATTGGCAAGAAAGAAGGGAGAAAAAAAATCAAAAAAAAATCAACAATTAGAGAATCAAATAACCGGTTAATTACATATTATATCCCAAAGTTAAACCAAATGTTTGTTTTTTGTTTTTTTACTAAATGGCCGAACGTTAATTTATAATATGAGTACACAATGGCGATGAAAAAAGGGGCAAAAGTTATGAGAAGTAGAAGAGGAAGATATCAGTAAGAGTAGAAGTGGTAGTAGCAGTAGTAGTAATAGTTAGTAGTAGAATTGGTAGTAGAATTAATTGTAGTAGTAGTAGTAGTTGGTTTTAGTAGTAGCGGTAGAGGAAAAGGAGAAAGACGGACGATTTACAAAGAAGAGGGAGGAAGGAGCGATCGAGAGAGAAAAAAAAGGGTGTAGAGAGAGAGAGAGAGAGAGAGAGAGAGAATAGAGGAAAAAAAATTCAAAAGACAAAAAGCTCCTTTAGGATAGGGCACATTTTGCTTTTCCTTCTGGTTTATCGGTAACTTCATTCCGAACCCTTTCAATCATCATCAACAAAGATGTAAACAGGCTGCTTACGTCTGCATTTGATTTGGCACTGATTTCCATGAATTCTGCTTTCATATAATCAGCTAGTCTTTTACCTTCCTCGTAAGGTACAACTCTTTCAGATTGAAGATCCAATTTATTACCAACCAATACAATTGGAACTTGTACCTTTCCAGTCATATCCAATAATTTGTCATAGATTATCCGTATCACTTCAAATGATTTCAAGCTGTTTATGCTGTATACTAGACAATAACCATGGTTATCTATCGCATACGCTGGAGGGAAAATTGAATATTCATCTTGTCCCGCTGTGTCAACCAGTTTTAGAAAATATTCTTGTCCTTTGATTTTTACAGTCTTAGTGAAAGCTGAAAACAAAGAGGAGAAAGAAAAGAAAGAAAAAAAAAAGGAAACAAAATACAAGGTGAATGTTGGAATACATAAAAAAAAGAAGAAGAAGAAGAAACAGAAGAAAATGATCAAACGAAAACGAAGGCAAAAGTAAAAAAGAGAGAAAATAATAAAATAAAATAAAATGAAAAAGGAATAACAAGGTAAATAGGGAATAAAAGAATCTTACTGTTTTCTACTGTTGGGTCATAAGAATCAACAAATTGTCCTTTTACATATTGAATAGTCAGTGATGATTTACCTGGAAAATGAATAAAAAAAGATACATAAATGAAAGAAAAAAAAAATAAAAGGAGAAAAAAAGAAATGAAAGAAATAAGAGAAAAAAAAGAGAAAGAGGAAAAAAATAAAAAGAAAGTAACATTCTACTAACCGACTGATCGGAATCCCATTATGGCGATTTTCCTTTGTTTCTGAGGCATCTGGTATCACGTAAAAACCGAAAGAAATTTAAATTAACCAAAATCAACCAAAGATTATTAATTATTTTTACTGAAGATAGAATTTAAAATAATTAATACCATCTGATAATAAGCAGCTAATGAACAGAGACCAACAAATTACCAGATGATTTAATTTAAGAGAAAAAAATTTAACAAAAAGAGAGATGAAAGTATGAAAAAAGAAAAAGAGATGGAGCTACAATCGGGGAGCGTTTCTTAAGCTCCGATCGAAAGGATAACAAGTTGAAGAGAAAAGAATTTCAAATTTACCGGTTAACCTGAACGCCTGTTGGAAGTCAATTAAATTCAAGTCACTTTGGATCGGACATTTTTTAATTGTTTCTGTTTTTAAATTTATATTTCGTTAATTAATTTCGATTGATGTTCATGCAAATTTAATTTCTCCTGTGATTAGAACTACAAATTAGATTAATGTCACGAATTGAATTGTCTTCTCATTCGTTTTGTCTCTTTGTTTAACTCAACATTGTTTTGAAAATTTTTCATTTCTTTTTCTTCATCGGGTAAGTTTCAATTTAATTGTTCCATTGGTTTTTTGATAAATTCTTTTGGCATTTAGTGAGTTTTGTGTTTTTTGGTTTACAGTTGAATCCATGGGATACTAAATAGATTAATATCACTTCAAAAACAATTTAAGTCATTGTACATTCATTTTGAAAACAATCAGCTGATTATCTCATTTTGTTTACTTTGATCCGTTTAATTGTTTAACTTTCATTTCTTATTATTTTCTTGAAACATCAATCAGCTTGTTAATCATTTGATTTTTGATTCATTTGATTGAACAAACATCAGCCCATAGATTTAGGCCTATTGTTTATGGTGTATAATTTTTAGTTCAATTGTATTTTTGTCAAACTTGAAGAGGAAAAGGATGAGAAAATTATTTTTTTTTCTTTTTTTCTCTTTTTTCTCTCTCCATCTTCTCATCAATAATAAGCTTCGTTGTTTATCAATAGAATCAATAATAGTGATTATCTCACTTATCCTGATCAATCTAAAATTTTCTATTCTCATTTGTCTTGTTGTGTGTTAATAACAGTTTAATCATGTTCCGTTCTTGATAACTGTAAAACTTTTCATGATGACCTTTCAAAGAGCAACAGGTCAATATTAATAATCTAAATTTTTATTTTGACAAATTGTTGATTTCTAATAACCATTACTATGATTACCTTTGTTACCTTTGATAATTTGTATCATGGAATAAGAATGGAATGAATTGAGAAGCTTAAATCATTAACTTGATCATGAAACATCAATATCCAACAATTGAGATTCTGAGCACACTTAATACTCTTCCAATTGTTAAAATAGTTATTAAACTAACTTTTCATGTGTGCATATTAAACAGCAAAAAAAAATTAACAATCACAACAATGAAATATCTCAATTGACTCAATTAAACTTTGCTATTCTGCTATTTAATTAATCAAAGTGAACTTTTCCCCATTTCTTTTCAAACAGAATTAGATGAAATTAATGTCGAACTGAATTGTACAATCAAACGACCCTTTTGGAATTGGATGTCAACAGATTGAAACGTGGACTCGAAAAAAAAATCGACAGGTACGTAGATAATTACAATTAATACTAATTGTCATGTTCTTTTGTTCACATTTAATATTTTCTTTCTACTCATACAATAGTAAACTGACTTTGTAATGGACGACGATGAGTTCGAGGATTTCGGTGATCCAATGACTCTCAATGATTGTATTGATTGTATTCAACACAGTCTCACATATGCCTTTCTTAACACCTTCAAGATGATGTTAATTGTTAATTTAAGTCTTAAAATAGTCCTGAAAATGGTTAATTGGATGTTCACCTCAACCAGGAAAGAAATCGTTGGACGATACTGTATATTGTTGGCGGGATTGATTCTAATCTTCAACAATTTCCTCGACAATCTTCATTTAGCATTTTTATTTCTTCTTTACTGTGTTATTGGTGTTTCTCTGTTAAGTTTACGTCGATCACTGACCAACAATTCTCTATGGCTATTTATAGTGGTCACCATTTCTCTAAACGAATTGACCTACTACTTTGGCTATGGAAATGGTATCAGATTGAGAATTCATCTCATGTGTTCATCGATGAAGTTAATTGCCCTGAAAAGTGTTCTAAAAGTCATAGTAATCGACAAGGAGAAAAGTTTACCCAATTTTCCTTTTCTAATCACCTACTTAATTCATCCACAGAGTTTACCAATTGGCGGTTATTTCCCACCCAATTTAGAGAAAACAATTGACCAATACTCTAAAATTGATTCATTGAAACAAACTATTCTACCTTTTATTCAATCGTTAATTTTTCTCGCATTTTCTAATTGTTTCATGTTAATTCTAATGAGTGCCGGTGAGATTGTAATTGTTGATATTCTCACAACAATATTACCTTCCGCTCTTTGCCAGTTAATTGGTAAATTGTTCATTGCCTATTGTACGGCTTTACAATTTCGTACATCTCATTATTTTATTTGCCATCTAATTCAATTTAATCATGCTTTTTGGGGATCAAAGTAAGTGTACAAACTATAACACAATTTAAATCATTTCAATCTACTAATGTTAACTATCGATTCTTTCAATTAGTTTAATTGTCGCCAAACCATTGATGGTTGAATTACCTCGGTCATTAGTGGATGTGGTCATTGCCTGGGATATTCCGATGCACCAATGGCTTAAAGAATGTAAGTAATCAACAAAAATTATGATATAAAATTGAATAACAATTAACACAAATTATTCTTGATTAATTTTCTTCTAGATGTATATAAACCTTGTAAAAATAGATTCGATTTTGCCTCTTCAATTCTTGTAACATACACAATTAGCTCTTATATTCATGTAAGTAAATTTAAACTTAATTGTTGGAAAACCTGTTAATTTAATTTCTTGATTGTTGTCTGTTATTTTCTTTAGGGTTTTCGTTTCGAGATCTGGTCAGTACTCCTTTCTCTTGGCCTATTAACTTGGATCGAAAGTCTAATCAGAAATTTATTGGCATCAACATTTAATTCTTGTATTGGTGCTAAATCGTGTTCTTATACGAAGAAAACAAAGATTAATTATTTTACTATAATTTTAAATCATTTAAAATCATTTTCTGGCTATTCAATTGATCAACCTGAATGTACTCGAAATCATAAACTTACACCTTTTAATTCAGTTTGGGTGATAATAATTAACATCGCTTTCTCCTTATTGGCCATGTTTCATCTCGCCTATTTAGGCTCATCTTTTGATCTCAACGAAGAGGTAAATCTTTTTCTCTTTCACAATTAACACTCACCAACAATCAATTCTAATCATTAACTATCACTCTAATTTCCAGCAATCATCAACAAAACATGTAATCGAAACTTGGTTCAATATTGGTTTCTACTCCCATATAATTGGTTTTGCCACCATAACATTTTACTACCTAATCAAATGAACTACTTTCGTTATTTTTACAATTTGTTTATTATCATTTAAAAAATAAACTACCAATCAAAATAAAGAGAAAAACAATTAACATGATTGAGAAAAATTGGATTGAATAAAAAAAAGAAGATTGTTATTCGTTTCAAAAAAGAACACTAGATGGCAGTAGTTTTTTTTCTCTTTTGGGATCGTGTCTGTGTTTAAATCATCTCCTAATTAATTAATTAATCATTGTAATTAAAAAACATTAAAACCTCAAATTTAATCACAAATTGATCAGTGAGTCTCAGCGAATCTGTTGGTACCCTGATTGTATCTGAAACGTTACAAAAACTCGTACAATTAACCCAACAATCATGTGTCAAGAACACGTGGATCTTGTTGACAACATCTCAGGCGACAAGGTAGCTCTATTGAAGAAGAGCATCAACATCTTATTTCTTGACCTGATGGAAAACACCGTCCAGGCGGCAAAGAAACGCCATCAACAAAAATGGAACAACCAACTCAACAACATCTTTGAAACACTGGAGAAAACAATGGTAAATGTTGAACCCGCCATCCAAGATGGAAACTGTTTGAAGATATTGGAGAAAATTGAGAACTTAGAGAAAAGGCTTGACAATGGAACGAAAACCTATGCACAGGTCGCCAAAGCCAAACCATCCTTCTCAACGGTGATCATTAAATCCTCCAAGGTTGATGTAGACATTAGCGAAGTTCACAACAGCCTCAAACAATTAACCAAGGATGATACCTCGATAAGGGTAATCAACTCAACCTCCAACTCAAAATCGATCAGAATCACCACTGATGATAGCAAGTTGATTGAAAAGTTAAAAACCAAATTACCGGGAAAAGAGGAGAATGAACTCGAGATCGAAAACCTGAAAAAGTTAGATCCTCAAGTATCATTCATCATTGATCCTGATCAACTTGAATCAATTGAAAAATTCAAACAACGTAACAATATACCAGAGGAAATGGAAGCAGCAATTGTCAACACCCTAAACTTCAAGTCAAGGAATAAAGTCGAGAAGATGAGAGTAGTGGTTAGACTTAGCAAAGAGGCTCGCACAATCATTGCGAGGAAATCCTTTGTATTCATGGGGTCACAAAGCTCTGCTTATAAGGACGATTTTTACATTAGATCCTGTTCGAATTGTAATCGTATCGGTCACTCGACCAAATTCTGCAACAATCAACCTCAATGTTTTAAATGCCCGGAAGGAGAAAATAATCATCAGAGCTTCACATGCGAAAATAACAACAGAGCAATTGGTTGCTTGATCTGTAAGAACAACAATCAACAAAACATTGATCACGCTCCTAAAAGTAGAGACTGCCCCTCATTCAACAATGCGATCACCCTTTTAAAGTCAATCACTGATTGGAATTATGAGGATTAAAATAATAGCCAGAAATTGTCAAAAAATGGTCCATAAGACACAGGAAATTGTTGACAAACTAACTGAATATGATGCAGTCTTCATACAAGAACCCAACTTTAACATCATCTCCTCCACCAACACCAATTCATTAATCAACATCAATGAGGGAATTGTCCTGTCACACCTGGTAGTAGTACGATATCAACCCTGAAAATCGGTAATCACTCGGTCATTAACCGAGTTAAAATGGGTAATACCAACATCACCTTTGCATCATCATACTTACCTCCACAACTCTCCATCGGTCGATACAAGGAAGAGATTGACAAATTAACCAGAGCGCTAATGGGATATAAATCGTCCACAATTGTCTTCGAAGCGGATGTAAATGCGACCCACCCCAACTGGTCGAATGAACTATCAAGTCATAGCTCTTCAGTTGAGAGAGGACGTATTATTGCATCGATGATCAACGCGATCGGATTGACCTGTCACTCACCGAACAAAGACAACTTCACCTTCATATCACATAAAGGCAAACCATCGTGGATCGATGTGATAGCAACCAACTGTCACGACCTCTACAACAACTCGAACATGGAAGTAGTACTCGGCCACTGCGAGAGAGATCACAGACCAATTTCCGCTGAAATTAACTTTCATACCAAGAGAACGACCCAAAACAAAATTCGAGTGGTAGATTGGAAAAGGATTGACACAGGAAATGAATTAATAGCGAAGGAACTTGGTGACCCTCTAAAACTAAAAACCACTGTTGATCTCGAAAACTACATAACCGATTGGTACAGGAAACAGCTCACCCTGGTCGCCACATCATGGACCGAGATAACGCCTAAACCCTTCCTCATTGACAATAATAATCGACAGTTGATCAAGGAAATAAAAAACGCTAAACGAGCCTGCAAGTCCAATCCTTCACAGTTCAACCTCCACCGCCTAAAACTCAAGAAAGAGAAGCTGTCAACTGACCTGGCCAAGATTATCAATGAAAAATTCAATCAATCAAGTAGTAAAGACAAGTGGAGAAACATCAAAAAGCTCATCAATCAACGGTACGAGCTTCATGATGATTATCTCACTAACCTTCATCTATCGGAAGCCGAATACACACAAATCAAGCTAGAAGATCTCAAAGCTCCGGATAATCAGTGTAACAATCTAAAACCACCAGTCCCATTAGAGATCATCCCTTTACTGGAGACTCTAAAGGACTCCGCCCCGGGATTAGATCTACTAAAAAAAGAGTCCATGAAAAAGTTAATCAAAAGTAATGAACAGTTATTTCAACAAATATATGGACTACTGATCAGCAACAATATGATTCCTTGGTCATGGAAAATAACCAGAGCAGTAATGATTCCTAAATCTGATGGAATCAGAACCAGGACAATCCAGTGTGCCTCCTTCCTGCTCAAGATTATTGAAGCACATATACTTGATACACTCTCAGGTAAAATACCAAATAGTATGTTTAAGTATCAATATGCCTACCAACCAAGGAAATCAACCTCAGATGTGACGTGTAGAATAGTAGATCATGTCCAATCGAAAGGGTCGACTCCATTCATCATCCAATCGGACATCATCGGAGCCTTCGATCAGATTCATCATGAGCCGATTCTGAGAGCTGTTCTCAAAACAGACAACTCATCGTCCACTATCAAAATGATCATCTCCTTCCTCTCTAACAGGAACACCGCCTTCCAAAAGTCAGAAAACATCTCGATAAAAAGAACGGTGAAAGGTGTTCCACAAGGTTCAGCCCTGGGACCCATTCTATTTATAATGGGAATTGATGAAACAATATCTCAATTCGCTGATGATTATCTATCTGAGTTCGCGTCCATCAATCTACGCCAGAAATCACATCTTCTCTGCGTTTATGCTGATGACATATTCATTAGCTTGGATATTAACGTCAACCTCCTCAAATTAAACAACTCCATCAGCTACTACAAAGATATAATCAGTGAATTGAATATCCGACTCAGACCACTTGGGTTGTCAACATCTGAAAACAAAAGCCTACTAATCACCACACACCTGATAGGAAACCACATTAGCAACCAAGGAAAGATTAATTGGAAATCTAATGCCAACATTCTTGGCTTCCAATTCACCACCTCACATCTCTCTCATTTCATAAACTCATCAGAAATAATCAATAGTCTCGAAAAACAAATCAACAAGATTGACCTTCCTAGTGGGTTAATTCACTCCCTTCCTGTTCATGTTATCACCACCATCACCCAGTCAATGTTAGAATCAAAAATAATCAGTCACTCACCAATAATACTAGCCAACAAATCGATAACATCATCAATATTCCAAGATATTGAAAGACTAACTGGCAAATTAATCAGGAAAAAACTTAGGATCAAAGGAAGAGACTCATTAAGTCTAAGCTACAAAGCCCTGAACTACTCACCAACACTGGACAGGATGGTCAAATTCACAGTTAAATTCATGTTACCCAGAAATCATCTTTTACCATCAATCACTGAACATCTTTGTAAGAACTGTCCAGAATGTCTTCCATCGATAACAAACAACAGGATATGGTGGGGACTAAACTCGATGTCCAAACAAGCCAACATGAACATCAAAAATAGAATCTGGAGACAGAAATACAGTGATAATGTTGCCGCCTCTGTAGTGCTACAGTTGAAACAAACACCATGGAAAGTAATGAATAAACAAATTAGGTTAACCCTCGGGTTTTATAACTTCCTCTTCCCTGAACGGTGTGAATGTGGCAGTCAAGTCAATGACCATATCCACAATATAAGTCACTGTGAAAAATTCAAGGAAACGAGACAATTTATTGAGAATCAACGAGGAGGCGAAAACATCATCAAATTCATAATAAGAAACAACTGTAATTCAACAAAGTGCCATCTAAATGCCATCAACAAAACCTTATTCGATTCTCCAATCTTTGACTTGACCGAAAACATCGATCAAACACCATAATGAACACTCATTACCACCAACATCAACACCAACCTAACAAGATCATCAAAATTAACGAAACAATCATTACTAATTATACAACAATAATCATCAATTTTTACCTCATTTACATTTATCTTTTATTCCTTTTTGTTCTCCCTCTTCCCATACTTATAATATATTTATATCAAATTATTACAAAATAATCGATAAAAGTTATGATTACATGAACACCAAGAGCTGGCGCCTCATAAGCTGCTCTTACAATGCTGTAGAAAAGCAAATACAAATAAACTGGGATCATTGGACTTTTCTTTCTTTTGCTTCTCACTCGCTGTTTCTTCAGTTCTCTTTCTTTTTCTCTTTAATTCTTTTCCTTGGTTTAGGTTTGGTTTGTTTTCCTTTTTAGTGTTAATTAACAATTAGTGTTTTAATTCATTGACATTTGTGATCATGTTTCTAATTAAAACATTCTAATTAACTTAGTGTTTCGATTATCTTCTTTTCCAAAGATTATCATCTTTAAAAATTAAAACATTTTCTCAAACAAGTGATAATCTTTTCCTCTTTTTCTTCATTTCAGAATTTGTGTAAATAAGGTTTGACTTCTCATCTTTCCTATTGTCCATCTTTCTCTCAACATTTCTTAAGAGTCCTGACCTGATCTTTTTCTGTTTCTGTTAATTTATTCTCTTCCTTATCTATTTTTTTTTCTCTCTTCTCTTTCCTTAATTTGGTTATAATTCCTGATTCCTGGTCATGGAATTATTCTAATTCGATTTAACTAGAAATACAAAATTACTTCTTGGACTTGTTGTGTGTTTCGCATCTCTTACTATAAACCTGGTTTTGGGTTCTCAAGTACCCATAGATCTGGTTCTTGTTTTTCTTTTTGGACTCAATATAGTGTAACCATTACATCAACTTAACCATTGGATGTGTTCAACAAAAAAATTGTGATACTCTCAAAAGGATTTATATTTATTGTCAACGGAACAAGGATTAACATATTCTGGTTAATTTACCGCCACATTGTGATTTATCATTTATCTAATTTCCTCGTTGATCTTGTTAACATTTTGGTTTCTTATAAACAATTGTCACCTTTAACACAAATTGCTCATCCGGATAGTAATTGGACATTTTATCCACTTCTTTCCTCTCAGCCTCTCACACATACATCTCTCAATGATACCCAATTAAGTTTTCTACACACTTTTCTCCCTAATAATTAACTGTACACACAAATTTAACCCACTCACTGAAACAAAAATCATGAATCCTTATTTTGGTTTAATGATTTGGTTGTTAATTGGCTCAATGGTCATCACATCGGGTATCAGTGTTGAGCTTAGAGAAGTAAATGATAACGATGGAACAAATGACGATAGAATATCATCATCATCATCAGAAGATGATAATCTAGATCAGCCATGGCTACAGATCAATTTTATTTCTCCTCAACGTGAAGTTTCCCAAGCAAGTTGGTGGTTTGATAATTCAATTGGCTTCTCTGCTAAAGGAATGGACCATTTATACTTGTTAACCCAACTTCTGATGAACTGGATTCAACCACCAGGAATGCCTCCAGGGTTCATTAAAGAGGAACTCTTTGATCACCCTGTGGAACATGTTAAAGAGAATCAGTTAAAGGTTAGCATTTAACAGACACAATAACAATAGAAAAGAAAATCTTATTTAGATAAACAATCATGATGATGATGTCCGAATATCATCAAAGTCACAAACCCATCACCTCGATTGTTTATAGTACCACTCACATCATCATGAATATTGGTCAGTCATGATTGTCTCTAATAGTATACATTTTCTATTCTATTTCAACAATTCGTGATTAACCTTGACCTAAACTTTTCTTTAAACTAAATGTTTTGTTTTTATGCACAATCGATTGATTATTAGTAATTGATGATAATTTATATTATTCAAATTTAAAAGGTTCATTCAAGTGACGAATCAATTGTTTCTTAATTTGTTTTGTCAGATTGTTTTCCTTTCAAAATACAATTGAAACTATTATTTATCTCACTTTTTGTTTAATCCATTCATTGAAAATCTAAATAATGGTTTTATTTTGTTTCTTATTTGTTTCAGATTTTCACTCACTTTTGGGGTATAATACTCACCTCAACCATAGCAATATGTTTGTCTATCATTGTGCCATTATTAGGTTTTTTACTATGCTGCTGTTGCTGCAAGATATCATCGAGCAAACAACGTGCCAAACAAACACACAATCGAGATCCAACCCTGTACATCACTTCATCCTCATCAAGCTCCGGTTCTCCGGGTCATCATGCAAAGAAAAAGAAACCCAAATACAAGATTGATCGTGGACTAGATCCATGTTCAAGGTCACTTTGTAGTATTACACTTTTCACTCTTCTCCTGTTGGTATCATTTTTCGTCATCTGTGCTTTTGTCACCAATGAATTTGTTCACAATGGTATCAATCAGTTACCCAAAACGCTTAATCACAGTTTAGATGATATCAAATTGTATCTCAATAAGACACAATTTGAGGTAAATACTTTACTACGAACAAATTTCCGCCAACTTGAACAAGAACTGGACAATAGTTTGGATAAAAGTGGAATAATCGTCAAGAATCGTTTAGCTCAACATACTAAAGCGATTGCATTGGAAAATTTGACCGCGATTGTCACAAGTAAGTTGCAATCGAAAATTTTTATATATATAATTAATATAAAATATAATCAATTTGGTGAAAAATTTTAATCTTCGTTTATTCATAACACGTATAAAGTTGAGGTGATTCAGTTTTATCTTTTACAGTTATGCTAATGTTTTCAACCCTTTTTTAGTTACTAAAATCAGTAATTATGTTAGAGTTTTGTTAATCACGTTCGAATCACTAATCAGACTAATATTGTTTAACGTTTTAAATCATTTTCGCTTTTACAATTTTACTACTATTATTACATGATTTTACTATCTTTTCCAGTTAATCTATTTACATGTTATTATCAAATTTCGTTGTTTATGCTTCTTTGCAAAATTTTCTCTCATCTTTTTTTCTGAGTGGAATTCATGTTTTAAACCTTCTCATTGCCTATTCATCTTATCCTCAAGAAATTTGATTACCCTGATTCATGGATGATTTAAGATTACCTTCTCATTTTACTGTTTCCAATTCTTATTTACTAGTTGATAATTAACTTGTTTTCTCAGGCATTAACCAGAATATATTTCTGGTTTCTGATTATTACTATTTTTCTTACTTAGATTCTATTGATTCATCAAGTTGATTGTTGGGATTTTAAAAAATTCAAAAGCAATCATTCAGATAATGTATTGATTGTTATTAATTTACTGTTAGACTCTAACTCTTTCATGGGTTAGGCATAAAAACAGTTTCCAGGAACTGATTGATGTTGATTTTCAATACCTGTTACATGCATTTCATTTAATCAAAAATATCAATATAATATTTAATTTCTCAAAGTCATTTCTCTAATTTCCATTAATATGTTTTTATCCTGAAAATTGAACTTTTCTCATCAACATCAAATTAACATTTTTCTACACGATAAAGACTGATGATTAATTTCATATGTTCACCATCCGTTTTAGTTGAGTTAATCCAAATTCAATTAGATTAACTATTAATACTTTGTATAAGCTTATTTGTATTGAGCAAAAATGGACATCAAGTACTGAACATGTTATTTAATTGGTATAGTGCCAATTTTGGATAGATTTTCATAATGATTTCAAATAATTAGCTAATCATTTCATTAACTTTTGATCATTTTAATTTGTATCAAATTGCTTCCATAAATAATAGGCCGACAATTGATTACTTTTTCTATTATTTTGAAAATAATTGAACAATTAAATTGTAGTTTATTAGCTTAACCATTCATGATCAATATAGTAAATCTACATTTCTAATTGAATCAATATCCTAATCCGAATTTATTGTTTTTATTTCGATTATTTTCTTACAATTATTTCTCCAGAACTGTAATGTAATCCTCGAATTTTTTTTTACTATTAAGTCTACGGTGAATTCATACTCTTTTAATTCAATGCATGATTGTAAGTTGCTGGAAAATCAATCTTGTTTAATTGCTTAGATATCAGTAAAATTGTATAACTAATCACTTAAGGGTAATCAAGACATTCAAATTAAGAAAGGTAATGATTGATTTACACTTTATCTTGATTAATGTTTCTCTTTGTATCCATTTAAACCATAATTGTTTTCACAATGATCACAATTAACATGAAATGTAGAAATTAATTTGCTGTATTCATTGATTTTTTTTCTCATTTCCTATGTTTTTTTTATCAAAGTTCATAAACTTTTCAACTATTAACTGTTGGTTGTTTAATTATACGAACATCAATAAGTTTATGAAGCAAATCCAATTAGTATAACTAATTAATTTTTTATCTTTAATTGTAGTTAATTACTGTCTGAATATTGTTTCATTATTGAACTCGTTTTAATATGTTATTGTATTTGAATGTTATTCTTGAGGTATATTTATTTTGATTCATCTTTACAATGAAAACTTGCTACTAAACGTTTATCCTTCTTGTCTTTTTCTATTCTCCTTTCTCTCTTTTGCTCTCTTCCTTATTTTTCATCATGATTATTACTCCCACCTAAAGGTTAAGATCTAAAGGAGTGAATCAAGTTTTTTTTTCTCTTTGTTTTCCCTTCAACTTTCTTACATCAGATTCACAGTAAACATTAGTTTCCATTTGAAAGTAGCTACACTGGTCCCTTTGTTATCCTTTTGTATTTTCTGGTTTCAGGTTCCTCTATTTAATCATCATGCTCTCCCTCCTCCTCCTTGAAGTTCAATTCTGACTTGAAATTATCTAATCAGTACACTCACTTTATCCTGCCAATCTGTCATCCCTCAAATGAAATGGTTACTTGATTGTTGTTTCTTTTTCGGTGACAATAATAGTTAAGCAAATTAGGATGATACTAATTTCACTAGAACTTTCATCAATCTCTCTCATGTTTGTAATCACCTTAATCAATTCATCCTTGATATATTTGTCTTCATCCTGTTCCCCAATGTTATGTTGATAGCGAAGAAAAACTTGAATCAATGAAACAATGTAATTTCCAATTAATTCATCTAAAATACCATTTTATTCAATACTTTTCCTAAAGACTTCCGGTCAACATTGTAAAAATTTCGCAATTCTCTCTCTCTCTCTCTCTCTCTCTTTGCTGAATGCTTATGAATTGTTATAACATCTACAAGTTATCCACATCTAAGCTTATTAACCTTTCTCATAATTTGCTCGATACTTGTTTCTTTGCATGCAAAGCGGAAGAAGATTTTTTCATCTTTAGCCTTTATTGTCCTGTTTGTCCTACTTTCATAATCTTTTTTTCTTTACCTGTTCATTATTACATCATCACCTTTCTCTATCTGTCTCTCTTAATTCATACAATTTGTTACAGTGATAATCGAATCTCATTTTAATGCAAATACCTGAATTTGTGTAAAATCATGATGAACTAATTATGATTTGCATTGCTTAACCCACTCGAGCTTTAGTGTTAATTAATCTATTTTAGTGTCAAAAATATAAACAATATCTTTCAACACTTTTTCACGTTAAATTTTCTTCCTTTTCCTTTTTTTTTATTGAAAGAGAGGAAGAGGACGTTGATTCTGTTATTTCCATGAATAAGATAAAAAATAAAAGCATCAGAATCTATTTTGTCATCATTTTCTTTTCACTGTTTACATCACTCATCAAGAATGAAACGTTCATCTCTATCAATCATTTGCTGATTTCATGAAACAAATACTAACATTTTTATTTCCACACCAATCAGTTCATATAATTAAGACCATAAATTGTGTTTAAAACTTAAATAATCAATTGATAAAAATTACAATTGAACATCTTAAACTAATTGTACTCTACGCCTTTGAAGTTGATAACCTTATGCAATCTTCAGTCTCCTTGATTATCTGATAATCTGATTTTAATCAATTTGATCTCACCTTCAGCTAATTACTCTCTGCTGTTTAGATTATAAGTATCTTATCAATATTTCACCAATGAACAGTTTCAGTGTTGATTTTCATCGAGTCTTGTGGTCATTCAATGATCGACTGAAGTAGCTCATTTTTTTTATTGTTGACATTGGACTGATTGTTTCTCGCTAATCCACCAAGGTTATTTAACTCTGACCGTGAAAACAAAGTAATAATCAGTTACACTTTGATTCTCTTCCTTTCCTTCCCTCTCTTTCTCCACTGCAACAATCAAGCAACGAATACAATCATCACTTTAATTATGATTTTTGTATGCGAAAAAGGTTTACAATTAAATCCATGCACTACTGAATACATTCATTTCGCTTTGTTCAATTTAAAAAGAAAGCAATTTAATCAAATTAACAAATTTCAAGTTGATTTTGAAAACAATCAGCTGATTATCTCATTTTGTTTACTTTGATCCGTTTAATTGTTTAACTTTCATTTCTTATTATTTTCTTGAAACATTAAATAGTAAACAATGAAATCGGTAACACTTGATTAGACGGTTTTCTATTTGATCGTCAATCAATTAATTGAAAGAAAACTCTCACCAATTCTTAATTGTTGTCATTGACTCATTAGCTCATCAATAGTTAACTATATTTGTTACAATTTATCATGATTTAATTATGATAACAATGAGAGAGTAAAAGTTACGATTGTAAACCAGATTCACCAATAAGCGAAAGCCTGAATCTGTTTTCAATGGTAAACAAAAAAAACCGAATCCAATAAATTGCTCCTCTCGAAATGATTGACGTTATCATCATGTAAAAATCTTCATCATCATCAATTAATTATAATCTTAACAATAAATATGAAAACTTATAGAGAAAGTGAGATAATCACCAAGATGATTATTTTGTTTATATTGGATTATGTTTATCATTAATTTTCTCATTGATTATTATATTTCATCTCCAATATTATTAACAGTATGAAGCATGATAATTTCATAGTTATCATTCAATCTCAATTAGCTCTATCGATTGGCCATCATGTTGGTCATTCTTACTATGTAACTTTATATGATTATAGTTAATGAGGCTTGAAAACAATGTTTATTTAATTTCATTTTCGCAACAGTTTCTGGCATTTTGTTGATGATAAACGATGAAAATGATGATTTACAGTTAATCTTCCTTGTAACTGGTAACTCGGAAACTTCTGGGTGCGTCTCCAATTTACATCATTATCATAGCCTTTTATTTCACCTGAAGTATTCAATTCATTTACCGGTTATCTTTCATCTACCCTGACCTCAACTCTACCACCCCTGCTTATAGAATCCACTCCGCAACTTAATCATCTCAAATATAAACAAACATCAGCCCATAGATTTAGGCCTATTGTTTATGGTGTATAATTTTTAGTTCAATTGTATTTTTGTCAAACTTGAAGAGGAAAAGGATGAGAAAATTATTTTTTTTTCTTTTTTTCTCTTTTTTCTCTCTCCATCTTCTCATCAATAATAAGCCTCGTTGTTTATCAATAGAATCAATAATAGTGATTATCTCACTTATCCTGATCAATCTAAAATTTTCTATTCTCATTTGTCTTGTTGTGTGTTAATAACAGTTTAATCATGTTCCGTTCTTGATAACTGTAAAACTTTTCATGATGACCTTTCAAAGAGCAACAGGTCAATATTAATAATCGAAATTTTTATTTTGACAAATTGTTGATTTCTAATAATCATTACTATGATTACCTTTGTTACCAGGATAATTTGTATCATGGAATAAGAATGAAATGAATTGAGAAGCTTAAATCATTAACTTGATCATGAAACATCAATATCCAACAATTGAGATTCTGAGCACATTTAATAATCTTCCAATTGTTAAAATAGCTGTTACACTAACTTTTCACGTGTGCATATTAAACAGCAAAAAAATTAACAATCAGAACAATTAAATCTCTTAATTGACTCAATTAAACTTTAATATTAATACATCTACAAATTTTTACCTTGAATGATCCAGATTCAGTTTGGTTCGGATGACCTTTACCTCCCATTGCCAATTTTGTTTTTTATTTACACCAATCAACTAAATTGATGAACTTGAAGAATCAATTAGATTGAATTATATTTTCTGATATTATCAATAGTTAAACTAAATATAAAACTCAATAGGATTGATCATTTTCACCTAAATAATTTGTTGTATCCTTGAAAAAAACTTTTGAATCAAAATCTTTTATTAATCTGCTTTTCAATTAATCGAATCGATTTTTTTTTCTCATTTCTTTTCAAACAGAATTGGATGAAATTAATGTCGAACTGAAAGAATTGTACAATCAAACGACCCTTTTGGAATCGGATGTCAACAGATTGAAACGTGGACTCGAAAAAAATCGACAGGTACGTAGATAATTACAATTAATACTAATTGTCAGGTTCTTTTAATCAATCCCAGTTTTTTGCTTCTTTCACCATGATAACAGTAGAAACTTTTTTCTTCACATTTACTATAAAAATCAATCGATTAACGGGAACCATTAATCAGATGACTATCTAAGAATGAAAATTATTACCTACCCACAAATCTAAACATCATTTGATTAAATACTATGACCCAAATACTGAGAAACTATTATCATTTTGGTAACAATTAACCTTTTATTTTATCAATTGTTACTCATTTACCATCATCATTATCTTAATCGTAACCATTGCAAACTATTCAATCAGTTTTTTTTTCTTGATTGATTGACACTCATACTTATTTCATCTCTCCCACTTTGATTATCACCAACAATTTGACAATAACAATTTATTATCAATCAGATAATGTTATGTATTGTTTAATGACTTAACTCTAATTGGCGTGATTAGTTATACTTTTTTTTCCTTAATTTGATTATTAACCTTATCCAATATTTTCTTAATCATATATTTATCTAAGGAAGGAAACAAAGTTCCACTAATTAATTGTCTTCAAAATAAGATTATCTGATTACTATTACCATCACTGATTTTAATGATATGTATTGAAACTTTAATTTAACTGTTAAATTGATTACCAAGATGTTGATTTTAATCGAGAATAGGTTAATTCAGAGATTTAACCTTCTCGCAATTACTTAATTTGACCTGATCTGATCTTTGCGGATGATGATCATGTTATTGTTGTTAATAATGATGCTCATGATGATTTTAATGATAGTGATAAGGAAGATCAGCTAATTAGTTGTGCCTCAAGTCATTAGAATTGCAGTTTTCGGTTCTTTCTCCCTCTCATTATCCGAATTGGTCATATATTCAGTTGCTCAACGAGTTTTCTTTTCTTCTTTTTTTTCTGTTATCATCTTTCTCCTTCATCCTTCATCCTTTTGACCTTTTCTTTTCTTTTCTCTTCTTTCTTTTTTTCTCCTACAGAATCTTGAAAATATTCTGAAAAACTGTCGCCATCCAATTTGTATTGATTTGGAAGCCAAGTACCGGCGTAAATTGCCTCGATTCCAGATCTCCAATAAATTGGATAACCTTCCTAACCTGTTCCCCGTTATTGCAAACATTTCCGACCTTCTTCAGGCCGGTATAGTGGGCGAGGTCAGTAAGGGTAAATCAGCATTCGACCGGATTAGCCAAGAGATACAGAATGCTGTTAATGGGTCAATTCCCGAAATTAAAAATCAAATACGTTTGGTTGGTCGTGATTTATCAGCCACTGCCGATGAATTAAATGGGTTGCTTAGTTTACCTTCAGAAGATATTGAAAAGGGTAAACGAGAAATTAACCTTGGATCACAATTTTTGATAAAATATGATGTTTATCGTAATTTGGGCTGCCTTGGGGGCACAGCGATTATTTTCACCATCATGTTGGCCTATTCTATTGGCTTACTCTGTGGGGTTTGTAAAAAACAGCCCACTTATCATGAGTATCGAAGTCGTCGAATCAAGCCAGTCACATCTTGTCCTTTTCGATTTGGTATCTTTCATGTTTTCCTTTTGTTTGCTGGTCTTATGATTTCCACCATAATCTTATTCATTACTGGATCAGTTGTCGATCGTGTTGGCTGTTATTATCTTGAGCATCCAGAGGAACCACAGACTCGACAATTAATTGCAATCCTTCAGAAAAAATTGGATGATGGATCAATGTTCAAATCAAATTCTGATCATGTTGCCCTTCTCAAAGGAATTAAACCAAATCTTGCCGATGTAATTACTCGATGTCATCAGAATTCCAGTTTATATAATGTCCTTCAACCCAGTAAATACAATTCCATCCAATTGCATAACAATAAGATCATCGTTGGATTTAATATCAGTAATATACTTGAGTTCAAAGGACGATACAAGATCGAAACTGGTCTAAGAAGACTTCTGGCTAATGTGAACTTTGACCCATCGTCAATCGTCATCCTTACTCAACGAGCTATCCTGCTTCTGGAAAGGCTAAGAGAGACCAACCTGGATAGTCTTAATTTTTCATCGTTTTCCAATTTAATGTATCAAAAGGTGATTCCATTGGATTTGCATAATATTTCCCAAGAGATCGCCCAAGAAGCCAAAAAACTGCCCCCCTCGCACTTTAATTTCAGCTCAGAGCTCCAAGATGTCGCTTTCTTGCTGGAGGGTTATCATAATAGACTATTGAAAGAGATTCAAGAATCGTTGATTAAATTGAATAAAGCAGCTCAACGGATTAAAGATAAATCATCATTTGGATCTCGAGGACTTCGAGAGGCCCTTACGATACTTTTAAAGCAAGCAAAAAGTGCACAGAGTTTAATTGAACAGCGAGGTAAAAATGTAATCAAGGAAGATGCTGAACACTTTATTAATGATTTAGGTTCTCTCATTGATCAATATGCTCAACATGTTGTTGATGAGGTAAGTTTAGTTTGATCAATATTCTTGTATGTTAAACATTAATTGATTCAATTATATTTTCTCTCACAATTAGGTTGAGAATCGATTGGGTAAATGTGAACCCGTTAGTCGTGCAATCAACGCAACAACTATTGGTATTTGTAAAGAGATTGTTTTACCATTTGTAAGTTTTAATTTAACATGATTCTCATACAATAGTTGGCTAATTGCTCCTTTTAATTGTTGCTCTATTACCTTCAGAATGGATACTGGTTCAGTATGGGCTCAGCGATTCTCCTATTATTGCCCGCTACAATCTGCGCATCAATATTGGCCAGACTATTTCGTAAACTGAAAAGACCTCAAGCCCGTCGTCATGCTGATGCAGATTCGTAAGCATTTTACTTTTACGAATGATAAATTATCCGTTTGATTGATTATTAACATTCTTTTATTTTCTATTCTAGTGATCTGACTTTGGAAAATTTTGACGAAGACGACATTCCTCTCGCTCAGTAAGTGACCATTATTTAGATTGTAAATTGTGAATTTGATTTAGAATTTAATTGACTAATCTTTTTTCATTCTATCATCAAATTATCTTCAGGGTCGTTAAACAAACCGATTTACCATTTGAGGCTCGGCGAAACCCACCAATGTACCAAAATTCATCAGCACCCAGTGCTCCTCATTCCGAAGAAAATTGGATAACCTCAGCAACATCCCCACCGCACATGTATACTCGTCCTCCACCCTACAATTTTCACAATTAATCCAAACCAAATCAACTCTTAGAGTTCGTAAATTGTCAAAAGAAAAAACAAAAAACTCAACTAAGAAAACAAAAGAGAAAACAATTGACAGAAAATCTCGCCAATTCTAATGTACCTCCTTTATCATTTCACCCAATTCATTAATGATCCTTAATTAATTACCTTAGTTCTCTCTTTATGTCTTTTTTTCACTTCTTTTTTCACTCTCTATTTAATATCATTTTCATTATATTCATTTAATCTCATTGTAAACTCTTATGGACTTATGGTTGGCGAAAAGTGTATAAATAAAACGAGAGAAAATGTAATGTGATTTAATTCACTTTTTTACTCTCTATTTTCTTTCATAACTTTAATTACAATTAAAGAGATAGTCACAATCCTAACAGTCGATAATTAAACTCTTCTCCCCGATCATTTCACCCCAGAATTTTACTAATCATAATTTACTCTTTGTAACAAATACTTGAAGCTCTCTTAATCCAGTATAACGATCATTAGATAGCAAAATGATTGTTAATTGTGACAAAAGTTAATTGATTAACAATTAAAGACGAAAAATCGAGAGACACCTATTGGAATATCAAATAACTAGTTCGATGTTGACTCGAAATTGATGAGCGAAGATGAGAATGAAATCTTACTCAGATTATTAATAATAATTTAATTGTTTTCGTAATTAAATTTATCATCAGTTTAGTTTTTTTTTAATTAAAGTGTTTTAATGAATTAAATTTTTCCTGTTTGGTCAATTCTCGTTTTGAATCATCAAAAAGTAACATAATTTTTAGATTGACTGATGATCTTTGTTATGGATTATTTGTTATTGTCTTGGTGATCCGAATGTTATTCAAATTATCAATTAATATATATGAATTTGTTGAACAATTAATAGTACAATAGTTGTAAATTGTTAAAATCTAATGTGATTGTTAACCTTTTGATCATCTGTAACCTTTTCTAATTGTTTCTCTTGGTCCAATTTTCCTTGTTACCCTTTGATTGTCAAAGGACAAAATTAAGATGCTATTGTTTTGTTGCTCTTCATTCACAGAATAATTTTGTTGTAAATGTATTTTATTGAGAAATTGTGATTTAAATCAATGGGAAACACTTAGAATCTCTTGTTTTTGTTGATCAGATTCCAAATCTTTTTGTAAACATCTATGGATAATTTAAAAGTGGCCGAGAAAAAAAAATCTCTAATGGAAAAGGTCAATCCTGTTCCAGGTATCGGGATAATTATGGCGATGATCTCTGGTGTTTTTCTAGCCACTGGGAGTTTAACTGTTAAACTAATCACATCTCTTTCTGGAATCGAAATTGTTGTTGCTCGGTGAGTACAAGAATTATGGAAACAATTAGCAGTGAATTAACTGTAAACGCGTTTTCTATTCGTCATTATCATTCACAGGGCGATATTTATGATCTCCGTTATTTCCTTGATAATTTTACACCAAAAGGATTCGTTGATTCCTCCAGTGGGTGAACGGTTTCCGTTGATATTAAGATCGATACTTGGATGTGGTTCGCTAATTTTATCTTACTCATCGATTAAATTGATTCCTCTTGGTGATTCCCAGTCGATTGTATTTTCATCGCCAGTGTTTATCTCGATACTTGGATGTTTACTTCTTAACGAGCCCTGCGGTGTTGTCCAAATAATCGCCGTTTGTGCAACCATATTAGGAATTTTTCTAATTTCAAGGCCAAGTTTCATATTCCCCCATGACGGTATTCCAATCAGTCCAGCATCAGATCGAACCATTGGTATTACGATGGCTTTGTGCGCTTGTATTGGTGCATCTCTTTGTTTCATTTGCATTCGAAGGTTACAAAAAACCTCGACATCCGTTGTCGTCTTTTGGTACTCATTCTTTTGCGTTATCGGCGGTCTAACGGTCTCTTATATAAATGGTACACTTGCCTTACCTGCGAAACCAATTGAATATGGTTACCTGTTCATCTGTGGATTAGCTGGTCTTATTGGCCAAGGTTTACTTACCTTTGCACTAAAGATTGAACATGCTGGACCCGTTTCATTGGCTCGAGCCACTGAGATTATCATGGCTTTTAGTTATCAGGTCATTATCGTTGGTGAAAGTGTTTCAATCTATTCAATTATCGGTGCTACAATCATCGGATGCAGTGTTATCCTTGTAGCTTTTCATAAATGGTATTTAAATGACCAACTGAGATTTAAACGTATCTTTTGTTGTCAAAAGCAACAATCAGCTGAGAGTCAGTTTGATTCATGTTGATCAATTTTATTATTTAGAGAACAAAAAAAAAGTTATTTTAGTTTATTGAATCAACTACATTCTAATGATCATAAGTCAGTTTTGTGCCTTATATCATATTCACAACTGACCATCAAATCTCAATCAAAGATCTCAACTCGACAATTAATTTAGTGAGAAAGTATTTATTTTTCTTTCATCAATGTTATGTTTACTTTTAATGGACAAATAGTATTGTCTCTCTCCTTGTAATTACTAAAAACTCTTAAAAACCCACATGTAAACGTAATTATCTTTTATAAATGAAAATAGAATTAAAATAAAAAGTGAAATAATTGTTTCGATTATTAATTTTCCGTATCATTAAACTAACGATTGATGGTAAAATATTGATACAGATTCGAAGCCAAGGAAACAAATATTAGCATTTAAGAAACAAACTAGATGAGCTATCATTATCTATCGATTTTTCCGTCTACTTTCAAACAATCAATTCGATAAATCAAAACAATTAACTTACTCGAAAAGTTGATCGAAAACTTTTCTTTCATATCAGTTTATTTTCAAACTACTCCCTCTCTCTCTCCTTCTCTCCCTCTCTCAATCCATCATCTTATCCTCTTTAAAATCTTAATCACACAAAATCTTATTCACAACAAGTCGAATTAAAATCAGAATTAATTACAAATCGTATTACGATTAAGCAGAGAACGAAAAACTTACCGCCATCTGTTGGAATATCGAGTAACCATGTTGTAGGAGTTTTTCTCTCGAAATTGATGAGCGCAGGTAAAAGTAGAATCTCAATCAGATGGTTAATAATAATTTAATTATTTTCGAAATTAAATCAGTTTCTTTTTTCTAATTAAAAGTATTTTATTACGACCTTTCTTTCAATCCAAGTTATTTTATCTTCTAACCTCTTTTGATTGAAAAGTGTACCAGAATCTTGTTCCTTGTGAGACTATTGTTTTGGTTTATTGTTTCTTCCCTTTGGATTGATTGTTTGATTAATATGTCATTTGTTTAATCATTGAGTTTTAATGGACCATTTAAATTGGTTAGTGATTTCAACGTTGTTACTTTAATCAAAAATGTAACATTTTCCAATAAGCAACCATTGATTACAATTAGGTGAGATATTATCAATTTCTAATCCATAACATTTTCCATTTTCTCGTTTTTTTTGTCACATTTTTTTCTTCATTTTTTTCTCCTAACTGTTACCTGATCTCTTTATTATCTAATCCATTTTCAAATACCTCTGATCAAATCTCACAAATTAGCTCTCCAACTCCTTCTCTCTGCCCATTGTCCACTCAATTACCATTAGTATCTTTGGTTAAGCCTCAGAATTTATGCTTGATCTGTATTGTCTCCTTGGTCTTTCTCTTTCTCTCTCTTTCTAATTTCCCCGGTCGCCATTTTGATCGTGTTTACCTTTTACTATTTCAGTGAATTTTATGTCCTCTCATTACCCATAGATCACCACCAACCCTTATTCACTCTTCCTACACTGAACAACCCGCACAATTAACTAAAATTATCAATTCGATTTGTCACATTTTTCCCTCCTTGGACATATCAATTTCTTTAATAATTTTTTTTTCTATTCTATTTGGATCTTCTTTCTCCTTTCTTTTAATTGCATCGTCATTTTAATGACTATTTTATTGACCCCAAACACTTGGAAGTATTTTCATCACAATGATTGAGAGAAAAAGAGTTTCCCAGTCGCCGCCATATTGGTATTTTCGTCAACATGCAACATCATTGGTCTTTCAGCTTTTTCTCAGTAATTCTTTTCTCTTTTTCTCTCTCTCTCACTCACACACTTTTCCCCTTCTCTTTTCTCTTTCAGACTGAAAGAAAAAGTGTAAAGGTTAAAGTAAGAGTGCGATGATCAAATAGAGAAAAGAAATAGTAATAGAATTTCAATGAACAATTTCATCTCTTCTGTTTCTGCGCAACCCAAATGGTTATTAAAGTGCAAGCTTGTGATTTCTTATGTACAGTTTTCCGCTTCTTTCTCATCCCATTCCCTTCATCACTTTTATCCCTCTTTCATTTTAATCCAACCAAGCCCATTACAATTCTCCCTTGTATTTTACTTTCTTTTCTTCTTCTGTCTTTCCCTCTGTCTTTTTTCTCTACCCAACAGTCTATTTAACTGTTATTGCTCCTTTTTCCTTCATCATTTACCTTTGTCGAAAATTATTATTTTCGATTTCTCTCTCTCTCTCTCTCTCTCTCTTCTTCTATTTTCTCTTGTTATCAATTATGACATTATTTTCTCTTTTCAATTTCTCTTTTTTTAGGTTAATTTTTCCAAAAGATTCGATATTCGTTGATCTTGATGACGATTCCAATGTAGGTTCAGAGATCAATCTCTTCTCCCAGTTAAAACTCAGAAAAGTTGAAAAACGAAAAGTCATCAAACAGAACCAACAATGGAAAAGATTCCAGTAAGTTCAAGACAATCAAGGTTAATTGTCCAAATGAATAAACAACTTTCACAATTAAACAGTAAAAAATGTTCAACTCCCACACTCTGGTGTCTTTTCTCCCGCCTCTCTATCCAAACTCACGCGCAAAATCTTTAAATTAAATTGTTTCACGTCACTTTTGAATAATTTGTGTTCACTATGTGAGAATCAATCATCTGTTTAAATTGAAAGGCTGGTTAATCATTGATCTTTATGATGATTCACTGATAATGATCAATACTATTATTAATATGATATGACCATTTTTCAATCTAATTGACAGCTTTTCTTAAAGTTACAATCAAAAGCAATTGCGATGTATTCTGGTGTAACTAAAAATGTAATGGACAACGAGGCGATAATTACTCAATCATCAACAACAATTAATCCTTTCAGACAGGGTCCAGTAACACCATCAAGACGTCCACCTCCACGTGCACCTCCCAAAACCCGACGAGCTCGACGAAAAAATTACCTACTCAACCTTCAGAAACCAACTAGTCAATTTGAACTGTTTCGAGATGTTAAATTTTTACGTCAATTCTTTTCTGTCTTTTCACCTATCGATCGATGTGTCCTTGCACAGGTAAGTTCTCATTTGAACGCCTACAATTTTTTACCTTCCATTTTCGATTTACGATCGTAATCTTTTAATTTGATTTCTTTTTCTTCTCTCAGGTTTGTTTGAAATGGAAGGATGTTTTATACAGTGATCCAGGATTTTGGAGAGGACTTTTACCTGTTATTTATTATAACGATCTAAGAAGGATACCCGATAAACCTAATTTAGATCATCTTAATACTAATTGTATTTCTTATCATTTACGAACAAAGTTACGAACTCAGGAATCTAATGAGTCAAATGATTCCACTCGAAGTGATTCCTCTTTTGATGATTCCTACAGTGGTTATCCAACGACAGTTCGAGCCAGTTTATATGCGAGTATTGAGAAAAGAGGGTTCGATTGTATTTGTCTCTATTCTGCGTCCGATGCCGATGTCTTTGATTTTGCCAGTCGAGTTTCACCTTCTACACTTAGAATAATTACTTATGGGTCCATTAGATGTTCGACTATCACAGACAAAGGATTGGATATTTTTCTAGCTTCGCTTAGTCAATCATTGAGAAAATTTGAAATTATTGGTGAGAATTGAATCAATTTTGACATTTCTCTTTTTCTTTCTTCAGTTTTGACAACAAGAAAATTCTATTAATAATATATTCTTAACTCTCTTCCTATTCAGGTTGCAATGAAATAAGTGATTCTGGACTATGGACAAGTTTGGTACCTCATTTAGACAGTCTGACCATTCGCGATTGTATAAACGTTGGCGATGAGACTATCGCTGCAACCTCACAAATGTTACCAGAATTGCGAGAACTGTGCCTTCAGGTGAGTAATTGAATTGAATTTGATTGATTAAATTCAAATAAATAATCTTTTGTAATTTACTTTTCAGACGTATCATATGTCCGATGCTAGTACTACCTTTTTTAGTGCCGTCACAATGAGAGGAAAACTTCGAGCCATTCGATTAGAAAATTGTTGGGAAATGACCAATCAAGGAGTTCTAAACATTTGTTCGAGTCTTCCTTATCTTGAGAAGTTATCACTTCTAGGATGTTCTAAGGTATTATTTTTAGTCTACAAACAAACAAACAGTAAACTGAACATATGCTTAATATTTTATCAATATTTACTCTATTTATTATTATCTTCAATAGATAACCGATGATTGTGTTGAATTAATTTCGGAGAATTTAAAAAACTTGAAACTTCTCGATTTATCTTGGTGTAATCGGATAACCGATGTTGGTATTGAGGCCATTGCTTGTGATTTTGCTCCAACACTTACAGATTTAATTGTCGACAGGTAAATAAATCATAATCATCTAATCGATAATTACTAATCTATTTATTAATTTTGCTTAGATGTCAGAGTATTTCCGATCACTCGATGAGTTTTGTCTCTGCGATGCCCTATCTACATACATTTACTTTTCGTTGGTGTCCCAATATCAGTGATTATGGTGTTCAAATTTTGAGCACATCGAAAGCAGTCAAAGTACTTTCACTGGCGGGTGAGTGTTGATTATATAAATTGTCTGGCTTCATTACGAACTTAATTTCTCGCCCACTTATTCGAGTAATTACATAATACTATTATAATTTATTTTCTACCCACAGGATGTCCACTTATTACAGTTAATGGTTTAAGACATTTAACATCGTGCCAACAATTGGAGGAAGTTGAACTGACCAATATCTCAGCAGCATCACCAGAAATAATCGCTGAACTTAAAGACAGATTACCTAATTGTGAATTCATAACGTGAAATTGAGCACCAAAAATTAACTGCCCACCACAATGATTACGATTTGAAACAAGATATAATCAACTAATGACAATACTCAACATTATGGTAGGAATACCATGGAGAGTTTGATAACCAATTGGAAAAATTTGACATAGAAAAGGTTAAATAAGATAAATAATAACTGGTCAATGGTCAACAGAAAAGCACATTTATATTAATATATAAATACACATTCACCTTGATCAACTGCAAAGTTGAAATTTACACCTTAATCAATTAACTAGTCACAATCTAGTCCAGCTCTTAACTAATATTTACTTTCCGATAGCTGCTCCTTTAGTTATATTAATCCAATTATTAATATTATAATCAATATACAGATATCATATATCCTTTATATTAATACTAATAATAAGAACCCTTCACTCCCTCAATCCAATTATATCAAGATAATTAGTTAATCAATAACATTTTTGTTAACTAATTGATCAAAATGAAGGAAAAACAACCCAACTAAATTAATAATATAAAGAGTTTCAAATCAGCTATCAATTCAAAATTGAGATAACAATTAATCCAATTGATACTTTATTTGATCCTCTTTCTTTTATGATGATAATTTTTGTTTTAAATCAATTTAATTGTAATTTACTTTGAACACAACATACACACAACACACTCACACACACACAAACTAAATCATTCCAGTAATTTATTTTTTATCATAAAATAAACCTTCAATTATGTGTATTACATTGTATCAACATCTCTATTAGAAAATTGTTTAACTTGATTGTCATTTTATCATCAATTAAATGATGCATATTTTTTTGCAGCTTCAATCAATTAAATTAATAATTTATTTCCTAAAATCTCATATGGATTGTAATCTTTATTATTTCTTTCGACTACTTCATGGCTTCCGAATAATATGTTCAGTTTTCTTTAAATTAGTTCGAGATCATAATAAGCAAACTATTAATTAGTTATTAATATTAGTTAATTAACTAATTGTCGATTACAATGTCGAGTGCGCCATCTATTGGCTCAGTGGAAAATAATTTTCCTCGGCTTCGAGTCTATAAAATTGAGCTTTTTAAATCAGGTGTTGTCTCAGATTCTGTCATTTAAATTGATTGTTTTACTTAAATGTTTTTGCTACAATCAACAAATTGTACGATTTAAAGTGGATAGTGATGTCAACACTGTTACTTTCTTTCAACAATTGGTCAACTTTTAGTTATTGACTGTCTCAATCTCAGGTAAGATGTTTGAATCTTTTTCTTTGTCTTAATGTTTTCATCTTTTTGTTGTTATTTTCCTTTAAGGTATAAAATGACCTCTTCGGGCTTTTTTTGTTTCCGTCATTTTTTTCATTTTTTGGTCATATTAAGAATCATTTTTAGTGCTTCATGAATGTCACTAATCTTTGTAGATATTTATGTTCTTTTTTATTTTCTCTTTGCATTGATTCTAATTCACTTTTTCTGTTTTTTTTCTCTTCACTTTTTTCTACTTTTAGAAGCTGGTAATTCATCGGTATTACAAGAACGATGGTCTGGTTTTGACACACGGATTTTGGTTCTTTATTAAATTATTATAAACAAAGCCGAGGAAGAGAGAGAGAAAGAGAGAGAGAAATGAAAATGTATTTTGCAAGTCTCTTTGTATTATGTTTACTCCTCCATTTTTCAACTACAATTTCATCGAATCGAGTAATTGAACTTAATGAGAAATTTTTAGATATTTATAAAAGAGATGGTGCTAATCCATGGTTGGTAATGTTTTATGCACCTTGGTGCCATCACTGTAAACAATTGGAACCTACTTATGCTCTTGTAGCACAATCAATACACAATGAAGACATCGGAGTTTTAGTATCTCGAGTTGATTGTACTAAGTACACATCAATTGCCACTCATTTTAGTGTCCGAGGTTTTCCAACGATTCTTTATATTCACGGAAATCGAATAGTTGAATTTCTAGGTGACAGAACACTCGATGATATAGTTGATTTTGGCAAAAGACTTACAGGGTAAGTAGAAAATTAACACAATCAATAGAGAATCAAATTGTAATTTGTATTTATACTCTTTTCTTCAGACCATCTTCCCGCTTTATTAGAAATTGCAACGATATTGATCGACTTCGTAAACAACACCAAGTAATTGTCACTCATTTCGGACCAAATCCAGTTTGGTCTAATTTCACAGAAATGGCCGATTCTCTACATTCAACTACCTGGTTCTACCATTCACTTTCATCCTGCGAAAAGTATTCTGATAACTCTATTTATATACTTAAATCTTCAAGTTTAGGCCATGAACTTAATCTTAAATATGGTAAAAGCGATTATAACGATTCTAATAATTGGACTGAATTTTTCTAACTTTTTTCTAACTTTTTTTCAGAAAATAATAGTGATAACTCATTGAAGGAATGGATTTATGCCAATAAGTTTCCTCATTTCGTCAAAATCTCTCACGCTAATCTCAATCAATTGCTACACTCAGGTATTCATAAATTACTAGATAATAGTGTAAACTGATTGTTTAATTGATATTCTCTATTATTTGTAGGTAAATTATTGGCCATTGCAATTGTCGAGGAAGTTAAATCAACTGGTAGATTGGCAACTCAACAACATGTTAATTTCAAAAATATGATTGAAAATATTGCTCATTCATTTGATGATAAAGATAAATTTATCTTTTGTTGGACATCTTTCCTTGAATTGATTAATTCAATTGCCATGCACACAATTGAACCAATTCCTAATTTCATAGTGATCAACTCAACCACTTTACAATATTATCGAGTTGAAGATGAACCAAATTCCCAAAATATTAAAACTCTTCTAACTAAATTAAGAGATGGAGATGTCAATTTAAGAGTAAGAACTTTTTCTTCATCCTTTCAACTGTTAGTCCAATCTAATTATGTTTATACCTTTAATTAATTTCAGCCATCAGGAGGGGACAATTATCATCATCGATTAATCCGATGGGCATTTGATGGTTACAGTTCGTTATCCAATATGTACAAAGGGAATCCTATTCTTACAGTTTTGGTCTTTGGTCTTCCGATGATATTTTTATCGATAATTATTTACTCTTCCTGTTGTTCTGACGTGTTTGAAGCAAGAGACGAAGAGGAAGACGAAGATGATGAAGGTAAAATCCTTAATTGCTACAAAACAACGATTAAGATTATTAACACTCGTTTTATTATTATTTTTCCCTTCTCATTAGATTATAGTCATGATAAACAAGACTAACGAATTAAAATCAAACCTTAAATCGAGATGAAATTCACTCAACATTCAATTTGATTGTTCCATCTACTAATGTATTCCATTGATTGATTTTGATCAATCTTAAAGTATAAAAAACCATCTTTATACTTATTTGTCTTAATCATGATGCTTAATTGTCTTTCATTTAAACTCAACAATTATAAGCAATTCAACATTTACATTACTTGCCACTTAATTTTATCCAAAATCATTAATCACTTTGGCCCAGTAAAATCTACAACAAGATGATTGGATGATTCCGTTTGGAATATGATTAATTTATAATTAATCATCAACCGAGATTAATTATAGACCAGAACTTTGAGTTACGATTAAAAATTAAATCGTAACAATATCGATATCGGCAAGATTGAGTTTCTTTCAACGAAACGAACTCAGATTCCATAAGAAATTGATTGTTTCATAGTATTTTCTATTAATTATCAGCAGTTAATTTAGTAAATCGTTAGTTTTAATTTTAAATTCAGTTGACAATTAACTCCAATTCATTTATATTTCGACCTTATCAAGAAAAGGCAAAAGAAATTTTATCAAGATGATTATGATTCAAATAATTTACTTGGTTTATTTTAATCATGAAACGATCAATATTAATTAATCACTTTGATTCAGTAACGTACACAATTATTTCTCAATGATATTAACTCTAATCTTTTCTTAATTATCTTGATTCAATCCATAATCATGAAGACTCTATGAATGATAATAGTTATCACTAATTAACTAATGATAAAAACTCAACAATGAGATATTGATCATTTTATATGATCAAACGATTTACTTAATTGCCCAAATGTATCAATTTAAATGTTAATCTATTGAAATTGATAACTCAAGTTAATTTTTACTCTCAAAAACTAATCTCAATTAGTTAATCAACTAATCAATCCAACGATTAATCAACAATCTACTTTTTAACAATAATCAAAGTCAATTCTTTGTACAGATTAATCAGAGTATCTTTAGATTGAAATTGATTTGATAAGGAGAAAGACCCAAACAATTAAAGTGATTTGATGCGAATTATTATCATCTCATCATCTTCGTCTTCTTCATCATCTCTGTTACCAAGAGATTTTTTCTCTTCTCTTTCTTTTTCTCTGTCTAAATTTACCTTGTAAGTTGTTTTTCTGTTGGTGAGGTTATTTCATTTTCCTCTTTCATAGTAAATCAATTGGTGTTAAATTGTTTCTCTCTCTTGTTGACGTTTTCTTAATTTGTGATTTTAATCGTAATCATGTCTCCATATTTGAATAATCTCGTTCAAATGAAACATTTAATTAAACCTCAATGTTACCATTTGATTAATCAAAGTGTTAAATTTTCCTCTGCCCGATCAACAACAAAGCTTTTCATCAATGGTCAATTTGTTGAGTCCAAATCGGATAAATGGATTGATATTCATAATCCAGTGAGTATTTTGATTTAATTTAGTACCTTAAATCTTGACGATTACCTGATTGTTTGCGAAAACAAATGAACAAATTCATTTTGTTACTATTTGTTTTTCTTTGCGCAATCATTATTTGGATTACGGATTAAGACCTGAATTTGATTGTTATTTTTTTTCTATTCTGATTAATTGATCAACAGGCTACAAATGAAGTTATATCAAAAGTACCTTTGTCAACTCAACAAGAAATGGACGACACTGTTTCTGCTGCCAAAGAGGCCTACAAGAGTTGGTCTCAAACCTCATTAATCAGTCGACAACAATATTTGTTTAAATATCAGAATCTTGTTAAGAGTAACATGGTGAGTGAATAGAAATGATTGATTGTTTCCAATGAAATTGACTTGATTTTGTGTGTTAATTGTTTAGAAACGATTGGCTGCCATCATAACCGAGGAACAGGGTAAAACAAAGGCCGATGCGGAGGGCGATGTGTTCAGAGGATTACAGGTAATCGAAGTGGCCTGTGCTGCTCCAAGTCTTTTACTTGGACAAAGTTTTGAGTCGGTGGCCAAAGATATGGACACAATTAGCTATCGAATACCTTTAGGTGTTTGTGCTGGAATAACACCTTTCAATTTCCCAGCTATGATTCCCCTTTGGATGTTTCCAATGGCCATTGTTTCCGGAAACACTTTTGTGATCAAACCCTCTGAACGTATTCCTGGTGCTTGTATGATGCTCATGGAGCTTTTGAATGAAGCTGGTGTCCCACCGGGTGTTGTTAATGTTTTCCATGGACAACATGATGCAGTTAATTTTATCTGCGACCATCCAGCAATCAAAGCGATCTCATTTGTTGGAGCTGATACAGCGGGTAAACACATTTACGCTCGAGGTGCTGCCAATGGAAAACGAGTTCAATCCAACATGGGTGCCAAAAATCATGGTGTTATCATGCCAGATGCCAATAAGGAAGATACTCTTAATCAAATTGCTGGTGCCGCTTTTGGTGCCGCTGGCCAAAGATGCATGGCCTTGTCAACCGCAATATTTGTCGGTGAATCAGCCAAATGGATCCCTGAACTTATCCCTAGAGCCAATAAACTAAAAGTTAACGCGGGTCACATTGAGGGTGCCGACATTGGGCCAGTTATTTCACCTCAAGCCAAGGAAAAGATTTGTAATCTGGTTGATAGCGGAGTTAAAGAAGGTGCCAAATTAATTCTCGATGGTCGTGGTATTAAAGTTCCTGGTTTTGAGAAGGGTAATTTCATCGGTCCAACCATTTTAACCGATGTAACAACTTCCATGAAATGTTATAAGGAGGAAATTTTCGGACCAGTTTTAGTTATTCTGACTGTTGACACTCTCGATGAAGCAATTAACTTGATCAATTCCAATCCCTACGGTAATGGTACCGCTATTTTCACTCGTAACGGAGCAACTGCTCGTAAATTCACCAACGAAATTGACGTTGGTCAAATTGGTGTTAATGTTCCCATTCCAGTTCCATTGTCAGTATTTTCATTCACTGGAACTCGAGGCTCTTTCCATGGAGAAAATCATTTCATGGGACAAATGGGCATCAATTTCTACACTGAAACCAAAACAATTACTCAATTGTGGAGGAAATCAGATGCTACCGGTTTCGAATCAACCACTGCAATGCCAGTGATGAAATAATTAACCAACAATTAAAAATGATATTTTTTATTTACATCAGTTGATTAAAGGATTCCCAACAACTTATACCGAATGACATTAAATGATTTCTAATTTTTTACGACTCATTTACCAGTTAATTGTCAAGGTTTCCCATTCGCTAATTGTTATTGTAAATTAATTTAGTTATTTTCGCGAATTAAATATTCTAAATCAATTGGAAGTAATTCTGGAACCAATGGATTCAATAAAAGTGCAATTCTCGTAAATTTTCATAAGATCACTTAATCGAATTTCGGATCGTCACCAATTAACCTTTTCTTTGACGAAAATCGTTCGTTTCGTTCGTAAAAAGTTTAATTCTCTCATCATTTTGTGTGTCGTTCTCTTCTCATCTTATGAACGAAGTATCAATCAAGTAATTAGAACTTTTCAGAATTTCTTTTCTTTTTTTTCTAATTATCATGGTTACATAACATTTCTCTTTTTCTCCTCAATTTCACAATTTTCTCTTTCTTATTGTCCCTTTTTCTTTATTTTCTTTTCTTTTGATAATTTACCTTGTCCTTCTCTCTCATTCTCTTTTGTCTAATTTTCAATTTGATCTATTTCTCAATTTAATTGTTGCCAAATTTTCACCTCTTTCGCCACTTTCGTCGAGGTTCAAACTGAATGATTCAGATTCGGCTGAAAGTGAGTGTCCCTTTGATGCGCAATCAGATGGCGATTGTTATGAATTCCAATGGAGTCAAAGGAGCTCAACTCAAATCGGTTTTCTGCGCAGGGGAAAAGAAAAATTCTCCCCACTGAGTCGAACTCGACTAAGAGCTTGTGACTCACTTGAATGGCTCAACAATCATCATCATCGCTGTTTCTTTCATTTGTTTACAAATAATCCATTTTAAATTAAGTGAATTAAATTATTCACAATGATTTGGGAAAGACCGAGATTAGAGTTTTTTAATTTATATAATCAACTATTCATTTTGATCTCATGTTATATGTGCCTGGTTCAATGTATGAGTCAACAAGAGATGCAATCACTCAGGTTGGTTGGAACAATTTTCTTTTTCTTTCTTCTTCTTAGAAGTTCTAGTTTTTGCAAATAATTTGTTTTCTTTTTCTCTTTCTAATTTTAGGGATGAAGTCAAAGAAATGTTTTACCATGGGTATAATTCTTACATGGAGAAAGCTTATCCTGCTGATGAATTGATGCCTCTCTCGTGTAGAGGAAGATATCGTAACTCTGAGCCCAATCGAGGTGATATTGATGATGCCATGGGCAATTTTTCATTAACCCTTGTGGATACTTTGGATACTCTTGTGATATTTAATAATATCTCTGAATTTGAGCGAGGAGTTGCCCTGCTCATTCGAGATTTAACTTTTGATACTGATGTTGTTGTCTCAGTATTTGAGACCAATATACGAGTATTAGGTGGTCTTCTTAGTGGACATATTTTCGCTAATTACATTAGAGATCGTTGGAAAGATCACCTACAATGGTACAAAAATGAACTTCTTTTATTAGCTCAAGATTTAGGTTATCGTTTATTACCTGCGTTTAATACATCGACTGGGATACCACATCCTAGGGTAACTATTTTTTCAACCATGCTAATAACAATCATTGGACCCGATTATTAATCCTTGTTTTCCTTTATTCTTTTAGATAAATCTCAAGTTTGCAATGAGATCACCGCAAATAATTAATGTCAGGGAGACTTGTACTTCTTGTGCAGGAACAATGATACTCGAATTTGCAGCTTTAAGTCGATTAACTGGTGAACCAATTTTCGAGGTAATTTTAATAATCGTTTTTCTCTCTCACTCTCTACTTTTTCTACCCTTGAAATCTATTATTGAATTTTTCAAAACTATTTTCCTCTCTCTCTCTCTCTCTCTCTCTCTCTCCAGATTGCTGCTCGAAAAGCAATGGACTACTTATGGAATCAGCGACATCGATCAAGTGATCTTGTTGGTACAGTGTTAAATATTCACAATGGAGATTGGGTTCGTCGTGATTCTGGTGTTGGTGCTGGTATTGATTCATATTATGAATACCTTTTTAAAGGATACATTTTGTTAGGAGATGAAACTTATCTTCAACGGTTTAACCAACATTATAAGGGTATAATGAAATACATTAGTCAAGGTCCGCTGTTGGTTGACGTTCACATGCACCGTCCAAAAAGTAATGCAAAAAATTTCATGGACAGTTTGTTAGCTTTCTGGCCTGGATTACAAGTTTTGAAAGGTGACATTAAACCAGCAATTGCGACACACGAGATGTTATATCATGTTGCCCAACGTCACAATTTCTTAATACCGGAAGCATTTTCCATCAATGATTTCGAAGCTCATTGGAGTGGTCACTTTTTACGCCCTGAATTCATTGAGTCAACCTACTTTCTATTCAAAGCAACCGGTGACCATCATTACCTTGAAGTAGGTAAACAAGTGATGGAAGGTTTACAAAAATACACACGAACCCAGTGTGGATTTGCTGCAGTTAAAGATGTTCGAACCCGTGCAAAAGAAGATCGAATGGATTCTTTCTTCCTTACTGAAACTCTAAAATATCTTTACCTTTTATTCGCCTCCAAAGATGATCTAATTGTAGATTTAGATCAATTTGTCTTCACAACAGAAGCACATTTTCTACCTTTATCTTTATCATCTATGCAACTTGATGGAGTATCAAAATGGTCTTCAGACAAATCGGCTGATTCCTCTTCCTCTTCTCAACCATCACCACCGATTTCATCAAATTTACTCTCACCTTCAGCTTCATCTTTTTTGACCTTTGTCGATGAAAAGAAAGATGGAAGTTTGCAATATTTTCGTCATTGTCCAAATGTTAAGTATTTAATCAAAAAAGATCGTAAAGTCGACTATGTCCGTGACATTCGTGAGACATTAAAAGACTTCATTTCTAACCGTCGTGATGCTAGTTTAAAATACTCTCGATCATCGAGTCAATCGTCGTCATCCTATTCCTCATCTTCCTCGACAACATCTTCATGTTCATCAGAATACAGTGATAGTGTTGATATAAGTGAAAGACCTCTAAGTCTACAACCGCAAGATTTTTCGGCCTCAAATAAAGAGCATCTTGAGCTTATAAAGAAAATAGGAATAACTGTTGGTTTCACTTCTGATGGTCGAATTCAGTTAATCCATTCGGCCGCTACCGCTGAAAGTGTCGATCGTGGTATTGAAGGGGCACTTTTCATGCAGGAAATGGTTCGATTATCAAAACAACAAGTTAATCAATTCGTTTCAAAGCATCATTGGCTGCAATTTATTTCACCGACAACCGATAATCTTGTTACATTTAAATCTGGAATAGCTCAATTTGGCTCCCAGTTGAAAGAACCGATAACCGGATATTTATCGATTGCCGATCCAATCAAAGCATGTACAGAATTAACACCCGAATCTAAGTCATCTTTACTTGGTAAAATCGCAATTGTTGAAAGAGGTGAATGTACATTCGTCCAAAAAGCTCGAGTTGTCCAATCAGCAGGAGCAATTGGTTGTATAGTTATCGATGACCTGGTCGGTACAACCGAGGAAACAATTCCAATGTTTGCAATGTCCGGTGATGGTACTGATGATGTTAACATTGCGGTCACTTTTCTCTATCACCAACAAGGCCATTCATTGATGTGGCTTCTTAAAAAGAACAGCGATTTAATAGTAATTATAATGTCATCCGCTTACGCTGACGAGCATAACAAAGATGAAACAATTGGCAATAAAAACACCGATGAATTATCGTCATCATCAAACTCTGATCAACGTGATTCTGATTCGCGAGTTGAAGGTTTCGCCGAAATCACTGATATAACTCAACAGGTGATTGGAAATCCAAGTGATGATGAAGATGAAGAGAAAACATTGAAAGATGTTAACAGTGTTGTAAATAATTTCCATCATGATGTTACCTTAAAGTATCAACAATATTTCCAAGAAAATCTCAATTCAATCATCGAAGCATCAATTTTACAAGACGTTCTTTCCTCCCTGCAATCATCACTGAACATCATGAAAACAGTTTTCTCTGAGAAACAACCTAAAAAACAACAACAATTAGTCAAACAATTTAATGATGATAATACTAGAAAATATTTAAGTCCCTCTCGTGATAAATTAACTTTTAACCAACTAATTGAAAGCTATTCAATGTGTCCCATGGAATCAAGAAACTGACATTGGTCAACAATCAAAAGAAATCATGACAAAGACGAAATTGAATAATTATATTGTGTAAATTAAACTAAAAGGAATAACATCAAAATCATCACTACCATCAAACACTATTACAACTACTTTAACAATTAACTTAATTGTGAAACGCAAACAAATAATGTATATCATCTTTTTTATATATTATGTTGATTCAAATATAAATTATATTTTCTCTTAACTAATCACAGTTTAATTAACGAATTTCATTCAAGGGAATGACAATTAAAAAAGAGAGAGAGAGAGAGAGAGTAGTACAAATCTTTACTGTATAAGTTAATCAGTTAATCACAATTCGGGACAGAAATTAATTGAAAAGTTAAATCATTTCGCCTTTTGTATTAATAATACCTTGAACTTGATTCTGTTTATTTCACCAAAAAGCTAATCCGATTGTCACTAACTGTAAACAAGTGACAATATCAAGCGAAGATGATCTGAAACGAAATGCCATTGATATCGCTCGACAATTGCAAACACTCAAAGGTCTAAATGACGAGGAGAATTCTGAAGATGCAACTTATGGAATAGCTGGAAGAAAGACTATTCAAAAGCTGGAGAAACGCGCTAGACAAAAGCCTCGAACGGGAACATTGGACGTTGGCTTCCGACAACGATTCATGAAACTTTCAGCCGCTCAACTAGATGGAAGTAAGTACTTTATTAAATGTTTTGATCAATACTAATTCATGATTATACTCAATTTATTTCAGTTGCAACGCCGATTCTTGGAGGTATCCGTCGTAAGGAAACACTTAAAGCATTAGAACGTCGAAGTAAGGAAGTGATGGGAGCGAAGTCTGATGATCACGGAATGCAAACTCTTGGAATTGCTAATGAATTTATTCGTAATGAAATAGATCAACATTAGATTCTAAACAACGTCGACCACCAAATCCATATGGAGACAATGGAATGATCAATCAAGCCTTCGATTTATCTTCCGACGAGGAAATTGGCCCTTCCAAAGTCGCTCTGTCAATGTATAGAGGAATATACATAATTTTTGAATTTTTAATAAACGAACAAATTGTTGAAAGAATTGGTTGATCAATTTGATTAAAGGAAATTGAATCAAATCGATTTTCATAGTTACTTTTGAACGAAAACAAAAACAAAACAAAAGCAAACCTGAAAATTAAGTATCATTGACAAAGATTAATTTTACACATCAACTAGTAAATTGTTGTCAAAATTATTATCAATTAATCTCAAATCTAATCAGTGATTTAATTTTGACACTTAAAAATCAACTAAATGGTAAGTGATTAAACAAATGCAATAGACCGTTGAAAATGAATCTCTAGTACTAACTGAATATCTCTCGAGTCTAGTGATTATCACGATGATTAAACTTTCGTCTCTTTATTAATCAACTAATTGTTATTGTGAATTGTTTAGTTATTGTAACGAATTAAATCCTCGGTATCTTCTAAATCAATCGCAAGTAATTCTGGAAGCAATGGATCGGCTAAGAACGTAATTCCCAATTTATAAGATAAATCACAACTAAATCGCCTATTCAATACATCGCTCATCAATTATAACACCATCAGAACCTCAAAACGCAAGCCATACACACACATAATACCTTATTTATATACAAATATCATCATGATAAACATGATTCATTTTAATTTTCTCTTTGTTTATCCGTCGTGAAGTAACACTCATAAGGATGTCGAAGTAAGGGAGTGATGGGAGCGAAGTCTGATGATTATGGAATACAACCACTTGGAATTGCTAATGAATCTATTCGTAATAGATCAATATTGAATTCGAAACAATCACCGTCGACCATCAAATCAACATGAAACCAACAGAATCGTTACTAAATCTTGCGACGAGGAATTTGGTTCTTTAAAAGTTACCTTGTCAACGAATAATTAGTCCATCGTATAGAGAAAACTCAAACAACAGCAACAACATTTCAACGGGAACTCGAACCATCAACTTTAGATACTTTATATTTACAATTATAATTCTTATTTTACCTTCCACTTCTAATGGTAAATTCGAATCGCACCATGAAGAAGCACCAGAACAAATTGAATTAATGTAATAATCTTTTCTCGTTTTCTTTTAGGTTTTAAACAGCTAATGAAATTCCGTGATAATTTACTCAATTCAAAGCCATTCGAAAGTGAAAGGAGCGACTATACCGAAAGTAATTTACCCAATGTGACAGAAAATGACTCTTCAATCAATCAAATAATCGCCGAGAATGAACGTTTGAAGAGGCAAATTTACTTTATTTCCTTTCGATTCCCTGTATGTATCTACTTTTAATGATCTATTCTCTCATCAATTTGAACGTTGTTACCTGGGGAACTCGTGAGGTACAAACAAAGAAAACGAAAGCCGAATTGGAGGAAGAAAAGAAAGCGGCTGAAGAGATTAAGAAGGGCAACCTGTTGACTTTTCTTAATCTTAACTCAAATGGTAAAGATGAAGATGGTTCAATCGAATTTAGTTTGGCAAATCTTTTCCGTTGTTCTTTCTGTACATACCGAATGATGAGAAGATCCATTTACTAAAAATTAAACAACATCTCAGTGAAATGACGGAGAAACTTTCAAGCCTCGAGAAATATATTGACCCTTTAACTGGAGTTAAACAAAAGGTTCATCGATTGGTCGTAATGCTCGATTTTCAGACAATTTATCCACAGTGACGGAAGACGAGGAACATGAAGACGCTGAATCAATCGGTTTAGGTTGCAACAGCGATGATATGTCCATTAAGGATATCGCTGAAGCAGATGAACGCGATGACTTGACTAATCCATATTGGATTGAGGATAAAGATCTAAGAGATGGTGAGACTAAATATCTCGCCGATATTGAGGTCGCTTTTTGGAAGGAAATGATCACCAAGTATCTTTATCCAATCGATCAAGACAAAGAGCATTAGGCTCGAATTGCTGCTGAACTGAAAGAATTAAGAAATCGTGTTGTTTTCACATTCTTTATGTTAAATGCTCTTTTCGTTCTCGTGGTACTTATTCTACAATTAAACAAGGATATTCTTCATGTTGATTGGCCTTACGGTGTCCGTGAGAATATTACATTTGTTACGGAAACAAATGAGATACGAATTAATTTTGGTCATTCAACTGGTCGGTATGCTTTTCCATCGTTTTGGAATATTATCTCACATGTTGGCCTCCGTTAATCTGTTTCAAACAAAACGTGATGACATTTCTGGTGAATCGATTGGTATTGTTTTTGACTGTCACCGATTCAAGAATAAGAATATACAATCAACTACCAGATAATGGGACTGTAATTGTATTTAAATTGTGATTAACTTTAGTTGACATTTTGGATTTAGTGTGGGCTGTGAAGATGAATAATCTGTTACTATTGTTATGGTGTTTCATAGATCAGTTGCATTTCCATTTCCGCCAATTTAGTCGATTGATTTGTCCTTTTATCTGGGGATACGATTCTGTTGTGAAGTAGTTGATAATTCTTGTAAATGATGTAAATGCATATTATTGTGACTGCTATGATGAAGATAATGAAAATAATAATACTTATAAATGAATTGGTTTGAATGATTGTGAATCCTCTTTCTTTTTTAAATCAATTAACAAAATCTAATGGAAAACAATTAAAACGATTGATAATAATTGCAAAATTCACAAGGATTCTGGTAAATGGTAAAAACACTTTTCAAATTTAATCGTTTTCACTTATATTGAATTTTTACGATTTGAAGATGAACTCAGGTCAGTATTTATGGTCAAAGTATCGACAAAAAAATCAAATTTTCAGTTGAAATTACTAATAAATTGACGTTCAAACTTCGCGCATCAAAAATCAGAAAAATTGAATCATCTTGAGATTTGGGTGATTATTGTTTTGTTCAAGAGTTACTATTGTGAATGTTTCGCCAAAAATTCAGAATAAAACTTCTTGAGACTCTTTCACTTCAATTCTAATTGACGGTGATGAATTTTGGTCCGTTTTTGCTTATTTTCGTCTTTTTGTCTCTTACCAAAGAGTAAAAGTCCCACAAGTAACCATAGCAACTCATCAGCTGATTTTGATTCTTTTGTTAATCAATTGAGATGAATTGTTTTTCTTTCTATTTAATTGTAATTTTCTAATTATGTGTTTTTATTTATCATCTACTAATTATTATCTGGTAATTATTGTTTAATGGATCAAATTATTCAAATGTTCTCTTAGAACATTTTATTCTGATTGATTTTCTATTTGATTTTTGTTCTTCCTTCTTTGTCTCTTTGCTTCTTCCCCATTCAAAGGTTTCCAATAGCTTAGAGATTTTCTTTTTATCTTTTTAAATCTATTCTATGTGATTTCCAGTGCTTGATTATTTGAAGAATTTATTTATTCCTTATATTAGTCTCAAAATTATAAAAGATTCAATATACATATGATGTTGACGTGATTCTGGTTCATAAGAAGGTAAGAGTTACATGTTAGATTATATTCTTCGCCATGGTTGTTCATTGACATTTGTGTTTTCTTTAAATGGTTTACTAATTGTTTTGTTTTATTTTCTATTTCTTTACCTTTTTTCTATTCTTGATTTATTTTCTATAGAATGTCATCATTTTTTATAAGCCATCAATTCTATTTTTTGTTTGCTCTAAAGTGAATAAGATTGTATCTAATATCATGTCCTCCATTTCTTTCATTTACTTGAAGTAATCAAAAGGAAACAGTTTTAGTTTTTAATTGAAACATCATCATCATCATCATCACCATGTGGCACGAAGCTAGAAAACAGGAGAAAAAGGTTCGAGGGATGATAGTCGACTATAAAAGGCGAGCTGAACGTCGTCGAGAATTTTATGAGAAAATTAGACGAGATCCTGCTCAGTTTCTTCAGATTCATGGATCATCAGCAAAGATTCACATGGATTCCAGTATTTCTACTGCAGCTGAAGGTTGTCTTATGCCTTGGAGAGGAGATGAGAAGAATATGATTGACAGATTTGATGTTCGAGCTCATTTGGGTATGTAATTCGTGTGTAAATCTTAGCGATTGTAGTTTCCAGTTAGCATTTATTCATTCTTTTTATTCTTAATTCTATTCTTTCATTTCTTATTCATTAGATACCATTGACTCTGAAGATATTCCATCAACATCTAGACATGATAAAAGTGAAAGTGAAAAAGATTTAGCATCCGAAAGACAGATAAATTACGAAAGATGGAGAACTCTAATACAAGATGAATTTTTATCAATACCTGAATCTAAGGCATTACATCAAATTTGGTTAGAGGAAAGATACGGAATGAATCAACCTTCTATGACTGATTCTCCTACTCAACAAAATGTCAACATGAAGAAAAAATTGGCTGATAAGAAGGCGAAAATTGGTTTCAACTATGATAAACTAGAGGATAAAAATTTACCTGTGAAAAGTGTAAATGAGTCTAGTTCATCGGAAGAAGATTCTGATTCTGATGAAGAGTTTGATACAACTATTAACATCGAAACTTTAACCGGAGAACAAACTTGTCGATTAAACTCTATTGGAACTAAGTTTGGTTTAGGCTCAGATGATTTTGTCATATTCGCTGAAGAAGATCTTGCAGAAGCGGAGAGAATTCGAATAGCTAAAGAACTAGAGAATGAAAAATCAATGTTTTCTGGTCGAAAATCTCGTCGTGAGAGAAGAGCTTTAAAAGAAAGACGAATGCTTATCCTACGTGCAAATAATCCTGAAGAAAATATCAAACCCATGGCTTCCTTGAAATCTTCAAACAGTAATGAGATAAAATCTGGATCTACCTCTGAATCGTCTGAATCAGAAGTAGACGAAGCTAAGATTGAGTTCATCACGTCTTTTGGTGGAAGTTCAGATGAAGGTCAAAATGAGGAAGAGTTGACCAAGAAAGACGGTAAAGGTAAACCAAATAAAAAGAAAGATCATAAGAATTCAAAAGTTAATGTTGCCAAAAAAAATGCTCCAATCGAATTTGGACCAAGTCTTCCTCCCGAAATCGAACAGAAAATGAAAAACAACATACCGAAAATTTCTCCCTCAAGAGGTAATTGTATTTCTTTTGATTGAAGAATCGATTTGTTAGCTACAGTTCTTTAATTTAAATTATAACGATCTTTCTTTAGATATAACTCCTCCACCAAGGCGAAGTCCTAGTGTTCGAAGAAGCCTTTCCCGGTCTCCTGATTTTGTCTCTCGAAAATGCGACTTTCGAGCAAGAAATTTCAATTCTAACCGAAGTCGAAGTCGTAGCCCAACTTCTAAGAGATACATGGGTCGGATTAGAGAGAGAAGCAGAAATCGAAGGCGAACTAGAAGCAAAAGTCGTTCTCGAAGTCGAAGTCGAGGTCGGAATAGATCCTGTGCTAAGATTCGCTCTTACAGAAATACAAGTAGAGAAAGGTAAATCAATGCATCATCATTCATTTTCGTTGATGAAGTAATTATTTCTGAAAAATATTTCTCACCCAGACGAAGTTATCGTAAAAAATCTTGGTCTAAAAGTAGAAGCCGATCTTGTTCTAGAAGTCGAAGTCGAAGTCGAAGTTTCAGCAGATCAAGACATGGTTTCCAATCTCATAGGTAAAACTTTATTCGATTTATAAATTGTTAATTTAATCTTTTCATCTCATTTATCATATTTAAGAAGACGATACCGTCGTGGAAGAGGTAGTCGATCTCTTAGTCGATCTTTCAGCCGATCTCCTAGAAGAAGAGTCAATCGAGAAAAAGGAGATCGTAATCGAGGAAGAAGTAGAAGCAGAAGCAAAAGCAGAGGTCGTCGTTTCAAATCAAGGCACAAGAGTCGAAGTTCAAGTCGTCGTCGTAGACAAAAGAAAAGTCCAAGCAGAAATCGAAGTCTCGTCAGTAAAGGATCTTCAAGAAGAGAAAAAGATGAAAAGAAACCATCTCAACCAAGTTCTCTTAATTCTGATAAGACGAAATTACTCACAGAAAATTTATTATCTGTGGAAAGAAAGTCTCCCAATTTACCAATTAGTATTTCTAAAAGTTCAGAAACAATTTCGATAAAACCTGAGCAAATTCTTCCCCTAGATATCCCAATGCCAAGTGTAACCCTTGACCCCATAAAAATTATAGATAAAATCGAAACAGATGAAATTACAACTAACCAAGACGATGGACTCAATTTACCAGCGATGGATATTAGCCCAATAAATGAGCAGTTGGACGACCAGGATGCTAAAGATGCCAACGCTAGTATCCAGTGTGAACGAAATGATGAAAAATCTGAAGCTTCCTCATCACTAGGAGGACAAAACTTACCTTTGAAAAGTTATTATCGACATGATTTAGTCGATGAAAGTAGTGGTCCTGAATTAGATGAGGAAGTGGAGGAAGAACCATCATCCACTGAGAAACTGTAAGTTAATCAACTAATCTATAGCCAATTTGATCTAATCCTTAAATTTTTTTCTCCATTTTCCCAATTAGAAGCCCGAAAGTGGCAAATAGTGTGAACACTTGTGTTTCCAAAGTCAGTAAGAATTTACTAATAAATGAAAGTCATATTTCGCGAAAAAGGAATCAACCGTGTGGACACACAACTATCATTGCCTATGGATAATCGTGGATTTAAAGTTACATTTTATGTTTATTACAGGCAGGAAATAGTATCAAAGCGTTGACAGATAAAATGAAGAAAAAGACTCAAGCGCTAATTGAACGACAATGTAAATATTGTGTTGAATATTTTCGATATTTTCTTTGTATTGATTTTAATCGATTTTCTCTCATTTTTATTGTAGACAAATTGGATAAAGCTGCTGAACGTGAGAAAAGAGAGAACCGTGGATCTGATAGACGCGAGAGAGACTCGAGACATTGTCGGTCAAGACGTCGAAGGTAAAATTTTGAATTGATTCTCGATTTTATTATTTCCCTTATTGTGGAGAAAATTTTTTTTTCCAAAAATTTTGATTTTCTCTCTTTTTAATTTTACTTTTAGTCGTTCTCGCTCGTATTCACGAAGTAGCTCTCGATCAAGAAAGTATCGCTCCAGGCGACGATCCTCATCACGATCTTCGAGCTCATCACATCGAGGTTTCACTCGAAGTTTTTCACGATCTAAATCTCGATCAAGATCAAGATCATCATCATCATCATCTTCCAGTTCATACTAATCAGGTAGTTCCATGGCTATACTACCTGTACTCATTTAGATAAATAAATTTTCAATTAAAGAATTGAAATGTTTTTTATCTTTCTTTTGTTTCAATGATTCCTCAATATTTTTAATTCAATCATCATGAAATCATTATGATTTTCATGTTGATCATGTTTGAAAATTTAATTCATCTATGGAACCAGAGACAAAGAAATTATATCTCTCTGATCATTGTCGCTAAATGAGCATCTAAGTGAATTGTGTGAATTGTTAATCATCGCAATTTATATTGGCCATTCAAAATTGTGAATCGATAAGAGGCTCAAAAAGCTAAACAAGTAAATCATTGATTATTGGAAAAGAGAAAGAAAGAAAGAAAGAAAGAAAGAAAGAGAGAAAGAGTAAAAAAAATCTTTACTGTATTAGTTAATCAGTTAATCACAATTTGGGACAGAAATCAATTGAAAAGTTAAATTATTTCGCCTTTTGTACCTTGAACTTGATTCTGTTTATTTCATCAAAAAGCTAATAAAATTGTGACCAATTGTATACAAGTGATAATACAAATGTATCAAGTGGTTGATATTGTTTTTGATTGTCACCGATTTAAGAATAAGAATCAACTTGTATTTAAATTGTGAAGAATTTTGATTAACTTTAGTTGACAAACATTTCGGATAATCGGCTTGACGAAAAAATGTTTTTCTTTTTTTCTCATTTAAAATCAATTAGTCGATTAAATCAATTTGATTTTGTTCATCTTAATCATCATGAGTTGTTTTGTGAAAATTGTTAATCAAAGGTCTCTCAAGCACTTCAATTAACTTTCATTGTCTCAGGTGAATACGAACAGTTTCAGATTTTAATCATTTACCTCAATTCATTGATTGCTAACCTGAGTTGTCAATTTTATTTGACAATCAAATTCTATATTTGATTAGACGATATTATCAACTAGTTAGAATTGCAAATTGTTTCATTTCAATCAAATGTAATAGTTTTTCAATGGTTCCATTTAAATCACCAACCAAAGAAGAAGTTAATTGTTCAGATTTCGCCCAATTGTTATAAAAGTTTTCGCTAAATTTCAGACAATGAACAAAGTTCCACGTTTCATATTAACCAAGGAAAGATGATAATTGATTAGGCTTCAAACACTGGAACGTTATTGCAATTAAAACAACAATTTCTAATTTCCAATGATTTTCGGTGATGAGTTTTCATCGTTTATCGTTTAATTGTTGGTTAAGATGATTGGACTATTTACCAGTGGAAAGGTCATCGTAATTAACTAACTATCCCTGGTGTTTTATTTTGAGAACAGGTAAAGATTATCATTTGGAACCCTAATTGTGGATTGTAAAGGTTTGTGAGAAAAAGTAGACTAGTCTTTTCCCTCTAATTTTTTCTTCTTTTTTTAACTTTTCTTTTTATTCTATTCTATTGAACAAAACAACTAGATGAACAACATTTTTACCTGAGAATGTTGTTCATCTTTGAGGCGAAAAAAAGAGATAGCAAACGATATTTCAGCCATTCCTTGAGTGAGAGAACTTGTTTTTTTCTCTCTTCTTTTCTTTTCTCTCTATCTGATTCTTTTATCTCATTCTCCATATTAATACCCTGTAAAAAGAGAGGGAGGGAGGGAGAGAAAATGGTTGTTAATTAATACAACAGAATAATAGAAACAATAAAAATACAAGAATATGAGTTACTTTTGATTTTATCGGAAATGATCAAGTTGATGATTAGTTATTAGAAGAACATTTTTTTTCTTCTCTTTTTTTATTGATTGGCAAAGCACTTTCTTTCTTTCTCTTTATCATTTTTGTCTCCTTCTCTCCTCTGATTGAGATAATTTTCCTCTTTATGGTGTTCCCAGGGTGGAAAAGATGAGTTCGATGATGATGGTGGGTAATGATAAATAAAAATGTTCAACAGGGCAAGTGTAATAATGAACCTTACGAAACAGAGATGATGATGATGACGGAGAGAAGAGGAGGTTTAGAATGTCATGGAATTATTTTTGAAACTCTACATTCGATATTTATCCAGGATGGAAGGAGGAAAATCACCAAGTCAATAGGAGAAAGAGAAAAGAAAGAGAGAGAGAGAGTCAAAGAAAAAACAGGTAAATAAAGAAAGAGAATTAAAAGAGAGAGAGAGAGAGAAGATAAAAAAGTGAGAGGTTGTTTATTGATTAATACAGATTAAAATGAAGATGAATTTTCAAGAGAACAAGTTGGTAAACCAACAGATGTCACCACTGAGTTTCTTTCTCTTTTTCTCTTTTCTCTGTCTACTTAATATACTTGTAACTTTTTCTCTGTCGGTTTGTATTTTCACATAATATGAATGAGAGATGAGAATGAATGTGTAGTTGGGAGAGAGAAAGAGAGAGAGTGAGAAAAAAGAGAAAGAGAGAGAAAAAGAAATCATCTTATCACAGAGGAAAAAGAAAAGAAAGAGAAAAATAGAAAAGAAAAATTCTCTTGAGAAAAAAGAATCAAAAAGAAAGAGGAAGTTCAGATGGCGCTGATTTCGCTCAAACTCTGTTCTCAATTCGGTGGAGATGCGCATGCGCAATGGAACAATTCTTTGTCTGATTCCATGTTTTTTCTTCACGATCATTTTGTTAACATCACATTTTGCAAAGTTACTTTTTAATTCACCTTAATTTTTATTAAATCACTTTAAGTAAATCGAAATTATATAATCGTAATCATCAACAATTAACATTTTCTTTTGAGAAAACGTAACGTTTGTTATCGGAAACTTTTGTTCGCCTCTTCTTTTTAATCGAACATTGAAAAGTTTTGTTTTTCTCTCATTTTGTGTGTCCGGTCTTTCCTCTCGTTTCTCTTATTACTTTGTTCATCTGTAATTCGCATCAACTTTTATTATTACCTCTTTTCTTCTGTTTTTATCCGTCATCATCTTGTCATCTTTGTAATTTAATTTTAAGAAAGAGAAAAAATGTCCGAGAAAGAAGTGATCACCAAGAATGACAACAATGAGAGTGAAACCAAAGATGTAACATCTCATAAACGAAGTATCAATGAGGTGAGTAACTAGACTATGTCAATGTCTTTTTTGTTTCTTCTCAGTTTTTCTTCATCACTATCATAGTTTTATGTTCATTTTAAAGTTAAAAATCTTAGTTATTATTTAACTGTGACGTCACATTGACTCTCCGTGCCGTTGTTAAGATTATGTTGGCTGGAGCATAGAACCTAATCTAAAGTAAAGAAAGAAAGCTCCTCCTCCAGTGCAATCATAACTAGGATCTTTCTTTCTCCTGGTTTTCTTCGCTTCTCTCTCACTTTTGTTTCTATTCCTTTCATTTCTCTCTCCCTCTTTTCTCATCTCTTTATATCAACCATTAGCATCATCATCAGCATAGCATCTTTTTCCTCCGTTGTCTATCCCTCTTTCTATCACTTTCTCTTCTCTCTTTCTCTCTCTCTCTCTTCAATCTCTATTTTTCTCTTTCTTTCTCTTTCTCTCTCTTTCATTCATCCATCCTCTTACTTTTCGCCGCTCTTAATTTTCATCCCCTTCATTCATTTATTCGCAAAATTTTATTTTATCATTTTGCCTTCTCTTTTTTGTTGAATTGTTAAAATGACAATTCGATCGTCCAATATTTTGTAAATCGCATCTATTACAATGATCATATTTTACTATTTAACAAAACGAGCGGTTAAACCGTTAGATTTTGCTGATCTCTTTTTCTCTGTCTTTAATTCTGTCTACGAACTTGTCGCTCATTTTCTCTTTCTTTTTCTCTGTCGTTTTTTAAATGTGAGAATGTTCAATGTGGGATCAACCACTGTTCATCTCATTCATTCAATGTCATCAATCTTTAAGCCGCCATATTGGCCTTTGGGTTTCTCTCTTTTTCCCCTCTCCTCCCTGCTCTCTCCTCCCTCTTCTCTCTTTTTTCTTCTAAAGTTCAACCTCTTTCTGTTCCTGCGCAATCCTTAAAGAGAGAGACAAATAAAGTAAAAGCCTAATGTTATTCCATTGCTAATACAATGTCGGCCTTTTTCCATCCCCAGTTCACTATCCCTCTTGACTTCTCTCTCTCTCTCTCTCTCTCTCTCAGTCTCTGTCTATCTCATATTTCTTTTTAAACCAAGCCCATTGCTTTTATCTATTCTCTTTCTTTTATTCTTCTACCTTCTCTGTCTATTTTTCTCCTCTTCTGTCTTCCTCTTTGTTCTCCTCCTGTCTATCTCTATGTCTGAAACTCTGTCTGTATCTAACTTTTTTTTCTACTTTGACGAATTGTTTCTTTATCTTTTTCTCTCTCCTATTGTTATTAATTATTGACATGTTCTCTTTTTTCAATTTTCTTTTTTTTTCATGTTTGTTTAGGTTACTTCTGAAGACTCTAACTCAGCATTGGACGGTCTTGATGATGATTCCAATTCCAATGTAGCTCAGGGCAAGCTCAGTAATAATTCAAAGAGTAAGAAACAGAAAACTAAGGAGCATGAAGAGAATGGAGAAGATTCCGGTAAGTTACTTAAAAATCTATTTAAAGAAAAAACGAAAACAAAATTATCACATTATCAAAATGATTTAATAATATACACCGGCCTTCGTAATCCTCTCCCGCCTTGATGAAATTGGCGCGCAAAATCTTTAAGGTTAAATGGTTTTTTATTTTTTATTTAATTGTTGGTTTTGTGTATGTATATTAATTTTATGTATAAGTATGTTGAATGTTGAATGTTAATTATTATTTTTGGTTGATTATGATTATTATGATATTTAATTATCATGGATCGATTCCACAACAATCATTGTGACCAGCAGATTCTGTGATTGATTGTCGTCTTCGTCGATTTTTCATAGCAATTTGAACCAAACTTTCTGCTGTTTTTCCACCGGTTGCTTGAACCATTGGATAAAGATGACCCAATTTATCCTCTATTAGATCAGCGGGCTCACCAAACTGGACAACTTGTCCACCGTCCATAACTAATATTTTATCTGAATCCATAATTGTGTGTAAACGATGAGCAATCGTCAATACTGTACAGCTGTTGAACTTTTCACGAATTGTTTGTTGAATCAACTCGTCGGTAGTTGGATCGATATTCGCTGTTGCTTCATCAAGTACTAGAATCTTATTTCCAGCCAAAATTGCTCTAGCAAGACAAACCAATTGTCTTTGACCAACTGATAAATTAGATCCTCCATCGGTAATCATAGCATCCAATCCACCCATGTCATTAACTGGTTTTCGCAATTGTACTTGGTCAAGTGAATCCCACAAATCGGTGTCATTTCTTATTTTGAAAGGGTCTAAATTATATCTCATGGTTCCAGTGAAAATAACAGGTTCTTGAGGTATAATTGAAATTTTACTTCTTAAATCATGTAAACCAATTGTTGATATGTCAACACTATCGATGAAAATGTGCCCCTCTGGCTCATTAAGTCGAAACAATGCTGACATAATAGAACTTTTTCCTGCTCCAGTTCTACCCACTATTCCAATTTTTTCTCCTGGCTCAATTCTGAACGTAAGATCACTTAGAACAGGCGCTTTGGCTGGATCATAGCGAAGGGAAACATGACGGAATGTAATCTGTCCTTGTTGGGGCCATGCTGGTGGAGGCTTCTTATCATAACTTGATTCCAATTCAGCCTCTGGTCTAACATAACGAAGTTCATCAACTCGTTCTACTGAAGTTAACAATGTTTCCACTTCAGTTAACTGACGCATACCTTGATTTTCAAAGAAAAGTTTTCAATTTCTATCCTAGCTTATTTTTAATCTTTTTGATAAGTAACTTACCCCATTGAGTTAAACTTGCAATACCAAAAGTTGAGGTAATAATTAAACCAACAGCACTTCCCGTAAGTGAATCGAGAGCCATCAAAACAGTCAATACAATGAGTCCAGTAAAAATGACCAGTAAACCATTAATAGCAGCAACAAAGAAACGCGTTGACGCAAGCCATGTAAAGTAGGCCGAAGTGTGTTCATCTTGATACATATCAAAAATCATTTTGAACTTTTCCTGAGCCCTAAAGGCACGTATAGTACTTAACCCGTAAACAGAAGTTGATAAATGTGAAAAAACAGGTGATTTAGTTACACCTTCAAGTCGTTTGGTGTCAAGTGCAATGTTAACATAACGAGATCTTACAAATGCACATGCGATAAGTAAAAGAAGAGCAGGTACGAGTAACCATGGATTAACAACTGCCATTAGAACTATGGAAGCTGCATTATTCGAGAAGATGTAAATTGTATCAAAAAGGGATGATGGAAGAAAATCGTCGATAAATCCCATGTCACGAGAAATACGATTAAGCACAATTCCGATTGGATTAGTATCGAAGAAACCAATTGGTGCTCTTACAATGGCTTTGAAGAGACGATCATGAAGTTTGACTGAGGATCTCATGCAAACTGCAAAAAATGCAATATTACGAGTTAAACACCAGATGAAAATTCCAATTGTCAAAGCGGTGAAAAAGTAAATGTTATCATCACGATTAAATCTATCTACAAAATTGATTGGTGTAAAAATGGATTCGGTGCTATTAAGTCCTTTTTCAGCGGCTTCATCAGCAGCTCTCGCCTTCCGCTCCTCTGAATCTGACCACAATGAAAAATAATACTCAACAAAGCCAATCAAGGCTTGAGCGCCTATTACATAAAATGCTAATAACGGGAACAGGAATGCATGAATACCGGCACGAAAGTATGTCCACAGTGGGTGCTCATTACCCCTTACACCAGCCAATTCTTGAATAGTTTGATCGGCCAAAGGAATTTCATCTGAATCGTCTTCCAATGGAGCCGGTGGCTCGTCTGGCATTTCAGGCAAAGTCATAACAGAACCTGTGGTAATATCGCTTAGACGAGATGATTGTCGACTTAATCGACGTAAAAGTGGTATTGGTGGACCAGTGAAGTTTGTATTATCTTGAGATTCCAGCTCCAAAATTCTACTCTTACTGGTAAACTCTGATCCATCTTTGAGGAAAGAATTATAATCACCAAAGCAAACTTGTTGACCACCTTTCAATAATAATATTCGATCAGCTGATTTAACAAATTGTAACTGATGAGTTACTAATATTGTTATCTTATCTCCTAAATAATTTTTGATACTTTTCTCAAAAATATGTTTAGCCACCGGAGCATCAACAGCTGAAAGTGGATCATCCAATAGATAAATATCTGCTTTAGCGTAAAGACATCGTGCCAAGTTGACTCGAGCCCTTTGACCTCCGCTTAAAGATGTACCCTTATCACCAACCAGTGTCTCATCACCCAACGGTAAAATGGACAGATCACGTTCCAGAGCGGCAACTTCGATAACTCGTTTATATCTTTCCTCTTCATATGCTCGACCAAATAATATGTTTTCTTTAACTGAACCTAAAGTTGTTGATTGAAAGGAATGATTTATTAATTGTGATCTTTTGTTGATCTATTTTCTTTTGAATATCTTACCTTCAAAAATCCATGATTGTTGACAAGCAAATGACATATTGCCTTTAACTTCAGCTTTACCAGAGACAATTCCAATCTCACCCAAAATTGCCATAAGTAAAGATGATTTACCTGAGCCAACAGTTCCAACAATGGCCATTAATTGACCTCTACTAACCTCGAATGAGATATTGTTCAAGCATAATTCATCCTTTGAGTCTTTCCAACTTGCCGATACTTTATCGAAAGATAGTTTTGTTTCTTTAGTTGAGCAAACTGATCGTCCAATTGATGATTCAGGTGATTCACGTTCAGGTAGAAGTAGAAATTTGTTTAACCTTCCAATTGTAATCCAAGATTCACAACCCATGGTAATAGCTGCAGGTATGAAAACAGTGATCGATTGTTGTAATTGTCTGATTAATGCCATCGAGACGAAAACTGTTTCAGCGGTTAGTCGATTACCAAGAAGTACAAATGTAACCAGTGTAACGAACATGATCAATTTTTCTGCCACAGTACCAAGACCAAGGTTCAAACCTCTAAGAAAAGCAGCGCATCGAACACAATTGATCTCACGTCTTCGAGCTCTATCAACTAATCCTGCGAATGATTTTTCCCATGCGTACATTTTGATTACTCTCATGGCGGGAATAAACTCGTTCATCAATCTAATACGTTCATCCATACGAAGAGCTCCCCATAAACGTAGTTTAGCAAAAGCATGACCCATAATTGATTGAAAGGGAACATAGAAAAGGAAAACAGCCAAACCTACAACCGTCGAGACACCAAGTAAAGGCCACATGATGTAGATACAAACGAGCGCTTGAATGGGCGCAACAATCAAGTAGAAAGGATATTCTGATGCAAAGTCGAATCGAGTAATATCATTTGTGAGAAGGTTGACAATTTGACCTACGGTTGTTTGTCCTAATGCTTTTTGGGACAATCGAATTGATTTCCGATAAATGAGAACCGAACATGCAACCCTAACAGCGATACCAAATTTACGTGCCAAGAAAAGATACAAATTTTGTACAAATGATCCCAAAAATTGGGTTAAAATGACCCCGACTCCCGCTGCGTAGATGCGTCTCTTGACCAGGTCAGGTTTTATATCGTGAAGGGTCAAGGTGTAAACATCATTGATCAAACTTCCCATGCAAAGTGTTTGAATTATACTGCAGGCTGTCTGTTGGTTAATTAAAGGAAAATAGTAGTAAAATTGATCAGTTAATTAGTTGATTAATTTGAGTAAACACGTTTCTTTTTACATTAACATGCAACCGATTAATTTTGATCAATTTACTAATTAATTTCTCATCTTTTCCATTCTACAGATAGAAACCAAATATTTAATAAGACTTTTTTTTTCGAGTTATGATTTCGCTCTTATCACAATTAATGTTAATTATTTTACTAGTTGATTATCTATCTATTTTTGATTAATTAATTCTTGATTGTTTGATTTTATTATAATACTCAAAGTTATTTGTTGTTAAACTCTAGTTTTTTTCATCTGATATCTTTTACTTTTGCAATGATTACTTGATTATTTTATAATACCTTTGATTTAATTGTTACTTTTTTATACTAATTAAGAGTCTAGTTATTATTATTTAATCAACATTATCTGCTATTATATTTATTATAACAATTAGCTTTTATTTTATTACTATTATTTTCAATTGAATGATTAGCTGTCAATTAAACCGATTCACCTGTTAATTGTTACTTTAAATTAGTCTCTATTTGTAAGTCTAATACTGTTACTTCACCCTAAAGATATTAATAACTCGTACCTATCTAATTGTTGATTTTATCAAAAGTAATTATTTTGATGTTAGCAATTGAATTACAATTTACTAACTAATCTGGTGTTGAATTAATCATTTATTATACTGACCATGGCAATGATATATTAACCTTTTTTTAATAGTGTCTGATTATCATAAAAAATTGAAACATTTGATTGATACTTTGTGATGATTAATGATTTTTTTCATAATCATATTAACATCAAACCCTTGCAATTATCACGTGTTGATAATATCGGGATTCGGAATTTATTCAATTTCTGATTTTTGTTTGTTTGTTTGAAGTTTTGATTCATTAACGCAACGAATTTAACCTCAATAATTAACTTTACATTTCAATTGTTATCCTTGCAATCGATTAGGTTGATGGTAGAAATTGAAATTGTTTAACTTACCGAGAAAGCGAGAAGGATGAAGGTAAATGAATAACGAAGACCGAATGTTCTTGTAATAGCGAACCCAAGCCTTGGTTCTCGCCCACTTTCTTTGGCTCGACGAAGCTCTTCGTTCCACTTCCTAAGTTTGTGGAACGCGAAGTATAACATAGATATAATTTTTCGACACAACATCAAATCAACAAGTTTCTCTTTAGCTACTTGCAGGGGCGAATCTTTTTTTTGGACATGAAGAAAAAAAGAAATTGAATTCTTACCTTTCAAGAGTATCTCCGATTCGCTCTGATTCCTCGTTTTTTGGACATTTCTCCAAATCACTAGTCTTGAGCTTCTTGTCTTGAAACTCGACGAAAAATTTAACCAACCACCTGAGAGAAACAAAGGTTTTCACTTAGAATTTGACTGAGGAAAATGTTTCTTTATTCGAAAACTTACCAAAAAGCGAATTTCGAAAAAACATTCGCTTGTTCGTAGGATGATTTTTTATAAATAATCGACCGAAGCCGAACCATTTTCAGTACAACTCTGTTGAATATCGAATTTTATCCAAGAAAAGAATTGATTTAGATTTTTATTGGAAAAAAGAGTAGAACTTGAAACTTGTTGAATTTTTCTTCTTTTTTTATTTCAATACATTCGTTTGATAATTGAAATGTTTTTTTCCGATTGGCACAATATCACCGATGTAAAGTGTTTGATGTTTTGTTATCCACAATTATACTGTTAATTAGTGGTTAATGTTGATGATTAAACAGCAAAAGTATCAATGTGTTACTTTGATGGTTAGTTCTTAAGAAGCCTTTAAATAAGCGTCATGAGTTTGCTTTTTTATGATCATTTGCCAGTGAGAAAGAGAGGGAGAAAGGCGAGGGAGAAACAATTGAGAATATTACAAAGAAAAAGTGAGAGAGATTCTCATGAATAACTATGGTGTTTAGTGTGATATCAATTTTCTTCATTCATGAGATAACATGTTGATGAAAGATGAAGAAGAGATTGAGAGAGCATCAATTAACAAGTTACACCAATCAATTAGTGGGCCAATATCAATTAAATGATTTTCTATTGAATTAATAGAGTGAGAGAGAAAAGGAGGAAGATCGATAAAGACAAATGATTTTCCAATAGGACGAGAAAACCTCCTTTATCTCAATTACTATCAACATTTACATACACTTTTCGCTTTACGTGTTAATATAAAGTTGCAAATGTGGATCATTTGAGAGTCATTACAATTACGTCAAACATTTAGATCTTTCATCTTGATACACAAATGAAAAGACAAGGAACAGGACAAAGTAACAAGGAACCTTTATTATTCTTGATAATTAGTTGATTGTTCCATAGATTTCCCTTTGACAGAGTTCATCATATGATTTTTTTGACTTAATTAATTAAAAAAAAGTTCATCTCTAAGTGTTGATGAATTTAATCAGGAAGCATTTTTTTGGATATTTACTAGCCTGGTGATTGAGATTTAAAGTTTTTTGTTACTTATTATTAGTTTAGTACTCACAATTAAATGAATGACAACAATGAGTTTACAATCATTGACAATGTAGATAAAATTTTCTCGTTTAAATTAATTGTTGCTAATATCTCATCATCAATTTAATGTCTTTATCAGTTAAGTTTTGTGTTCGTAATTGTTTCAGCTCTGCGTAAGTTTAATTGTATCATAATTAACCTTTTCTATCATTTTCTCAGTGGATGAAAATGTTGACTCGAACACGATTACAACTGATTGTTGAATTTTGATTTGAATTTAGTATAAATTATTTATCCTTTATTTTCATGGTTAATCGTTTGTGTCTATCCAATGATTAGGCCTCAATCAATATAACGGTAAACCTTTGATATCTTTTTTTTTGCTTCATCCTCCCAAGAAGGTTAATTATTGATTCAGTTTTATCAATTGCTCCATAAATTGGTATCCAATTAACAATATTTATATAATAATGTATCTTTGATCAACAATTTATCAATCGTTTAAGTCACCAATTATTAATTATTATAATCTCTTAATTAACTCTTCTGATTTCTGGGTTAAGGTTTCGGTGCTCTGTTTAAGTAAATTATCATTAATAATTATCACAATAATAATAGATGATTTATTTTCCCACCTAAGACCTGAGCAAAATTTACTCTGATTAACCAATCATGTCAATCAAAAGTGTAAATTATATGACTTTAATTAGTGTCAGGGTAAGGTTATCAATTAAAATGTAATTGTTATCCATTAACTATCTGTATCCAAGAAAACTTTTTAGGATATGGTTTTAGTAATTAATATTGTGATTATTAATTGGTGTTGATGTTTAAATTGAATGAGTGGTTCAATTTTGAAGTTCATTGAAAATTTTTTTATTAATTGGCCGATATTATTTTTAAACTTTGATTGATTTATGTGATTATTTTGTTTGAACATTGATTGTCATCTAATGATTTTTTCTCTCATTTTTACTTTTTAGTTTCAAATGATGTCCTAGACGATGATGAAGATGATGAAGATGACGAGGGTAGCGAAGACGATTTGGGACCCGGTGACGGAGATTATGATGAGGAAGATGGTGATGCCGGTGAAAGTAACCAGGGTGGTAATGATGGCAACGATGATGGAGATGACGACGACGAGGAAGATGAAGACGATTAAATCATTTAAATAAATAAATTCATCCCATTACTTTAGACACTTAACAAAACCAACAAAACAAATACAAAAAAATACAAAAAACATACACAATTCACACTAAAGCAAATCAACAACAAACCTCCATCACACAACCACCAACCACTCAACAAACAAAAACCACCATCACATTTTATCCTCTTTCTTTCATCTCTCTCTCTCTCTCTTTTACTCTCTCTCCTCTTAAAATACTATTTCTTACATCTTCTTGTCAGCTTCTTTTCTCTTTCTTTCTCTTCCTTCGTTTTAATCAACGTTCGATGAGCATTAATCAAGGTTTGATCACTGGGATCGCTTGAGAACCAAAACTTCAGGACAATGATCAATTTTCTGTCAGAACTAATTGTAGAAAGCAGAGCTCTCAATAATATAATATAACAATTAACATTAACATACAACCACAACCACAATCACACACACTCATCAAATCGCAAATAATCAATTAATCAGCTTTTCCCTTTTCTCTGTTTTCTCCTCAATATACCTGAAGCTTTGCTCTTTTTTAGTCCAATTTATTAAGCGTTTTACCTTTCGATTAGAAAACTAATTAATTACCTTGATCGCAATTAGATGACCGACTAACAACATGCATCCTCTTTTGCTCTCTGGTCAATTTGAATGCCTCCTCCTTCCATCACCATCCACACTCACACACGTACACCAACTATAAGTTAACTGTAAATCAATTGTCGTGTTGCAAAAGCAAAACAATCAAGATAAAAGACAAAGAAAGAAAAAGTTAACATTGGCATTACATTGACAATGATTACGGTTAATGATTCCATTTTTTTCTTCTTTCTTTTTCTCTTTTTTTATCTTTCCTAGTTCTTCCTCCTTCCATCCCGTTAATCTCCAATCATCATCATCACATTTACACACAAACTCACACATTAATTATCATCAATCAGCCTTTTTGCTCCTTCTACCTTTCGATTCGTAAACATTTAGTAACAATCGTTTCCAATCAACTTGTCACTCATTTGAAAAAAAAGACAAACAAAAATACAACATATGAGATCAACTCCTTCCCTCCTTTTCTCTCTCTCTCTCTCTCTCAATCTTGACCACAGTCCAGAATTATAATTTCCAATTTTTACTTGGATCAACATCTGATGTTAAATAATAACACCATCAATTTGAGAGCAATTTAATTAACTTCTAATTTATACAACCAGTACTTAGCCACAGTCCACTTACACTATTCATTTTACTTTTCGCTCTCTCTCATCATCTTTATCATCTTCTCTCTTTATCATCTTGCCTTTCTCTTTCTCTTTCTCTCTCTCTCTTATATCTTTCTGAAAACAATGAATTGTCATCATCATGTTTTTAGTTATTCCGATTTCACTAAAAAAAAGTCCAATTGATCAACTTTTTTGTCATTGATTTGGATTCATCTTATTCATAACAAATTTTCACGTTCTTTCCTTATAACAATCAATTTGATCGCGACAATTAATCACTCGCTTATTATTATTATCTACTTGTTGATTAATTTGTATCATCACTACATCTTTAATTTATTTATCGTTAATTTAAAAGTGGTTCAATATTTGATTGTTTTACAATTGAGACTCTCGATTAAGACAAACAAAATCTCCAGCAATTAAGATAATTATTGAATTTTCTGTTAAACAATCAATAGTTAATATGAAATTATTATTTGATTAGAGTGAAGTTAATGTTAGGCAATTTAAAGGTTTGTACGTGTTTTTAATTTAACGATTTAATCCAATAATTAAACAATCTAATCTTTATTTTTTGTTTTGTTTCAGGTTTGAAAAAGTTGCTTAATTAAATCAGCCAACAATCAAGGAGAACAATTAAATTTAAAGATACAATAAGTTGATTTAAAAAGCTGATTATTGATAAACTACATTTGGAGTTTAATTATTTAACATAAACCATAGATTCAATTGATCATTGAGAGGAAACAATTTAACTTTGAAGGAAGAAAATAATAGTAAACAATTTATTAATAGTTGTAATAACTACAATTAATCAGCGATTTATAATCAATGTGTTAAATGTTTCAGATGAAAATTGATTGCAACTAAAAAATCAAAGTATTTCTTTGAAAACATTAAATTGTTTTTCCACAATTTAACACAATCAAGATAATTGTCTCTCGTCTCCATGGAGAAGCAATTTTTTTCAACTCTACAATGTGATCAATCAAGTTAAAATTCAACAATTAACACGTTTAATTACTTGCGGTTGTTTATTGATGTTATTAATAAATTAAACCCACGATTTAATTTTTGTTGGAAAAAAGTGAATCTTAATTGTTAATCATCTCGATTCATTTCTTATTGCTCCAAATAATCTGTTTGTCCCATGGTATTTTCCTCTGAAGCTCAAACTCAGACTCTATTTCAAGTAATAGTTTTCATGGTAACTCAATCTGATTGAAGATGAAGATGAGGTTTAAGATGATCAAGATGAAGATGATGATGATGATGATGATGATGAATGATACAAAACTTAGCTAATATTATGTTTGTCTAATTCAATGAAATCATTTATTGTTGGCTTGGATTCGTGAAACAATTAACTCACACAGGGAATCGATATGTTAGAAAATGTTAATCATTAGTAAACTAATTTATATTAGTTGAGGGTTAATTAGTTGGTATCTAGATTAATTGATCCAGTTAATTTTAGGGATTGTGATATTTTTCTTAACTTTGTTTCTATTGTTACTTTCGCTTAATTGTTTACTTATTGTTAAAGTTTATCATCAGGTATTCATTTGAATATTAATACTTTGTGTATATGATAACATATCGATAATCATTGTACATTAACAACAATTAGCAATAAAATATCGTGATCATCACTTGATTAGCTCGAGTTAGGGAAACCCAATTTTGGTTAAGTATCAGATTTAACTAATTCAGTACTTAAATCAATCCATCACATTGATAACAAGTATTGTCGGATTATTATTAATGAATAGATGTTATTAATATCACTTTTTTCATATTGTTGATTATTTTTGGTTTTGCTTGTTCATTCATCGTGAAAATAAATAGATAACAGCAAAGAGAAAGTAAAATTGGTTCCAAAGTTATTTTGTTTACTGATGAGCAGCACTTTTTAAGGTTCCCAATTAATCAAACCATTTTTACCTCTCCTCATCTTCACATCATCATCTTATCATCTTTTATCTCCATCGTTGTCTTCCCCTTCTTATTTCGCCATCTTCCTCATCCTTTTTTTCATCTCTCTCATTATTCTGTAAGTTAATTTAGAGTCTGGGCCAAGTTGTAAATATACCCGATCATCAACCAGTCGATCAAAAATAAACGATAATCTGAAAAGAAAGGAAAGAAAGAAAAGAGAGAGAAGAAAAATATAAGTTTCTTTAAAGAAATTCAGTGGAAAATCAGAGTGAAATTATTCGTATGTTTTCAAATTTAAACGTAATTAGTTAGAATTGCAATCATAATCAACTGTGTTCTTTTTTCCACCCTCTAAGTATCTTCTTCCTCCTCCTTCTCTACACTAATATCACCATTTTCTCATCATCCGCATCATCTTCTACTCTCACTTGTTTCATTAGCATCGTACACTTTTATCTTCTTGGAACGATTCCCTATTTACATTTGATTCCCACTCATGTCAATAAATAGACTTTTGGGAACAAGTTCAAAATATCCTAAAATAATTTCCATCCCTCGAATTTCACCCCTTCTCTTCAAATCATCTTCACAGGCATCAACTCTCTTTTCATGAAACTTGCTAAAGATAAAAAACCACCGAAACTTTCCGAGGCAAGAGATTTTCTCTCTCTCTCTCTCTCTCTCTCTCTCTTTCTCTCTCTCTCTTTTATCTCTCTCATGAATTCGCTACTATGTGACATACATTACATCATTAATACTTCGTAAACTTTGCTACTTTTTTACAGAACATGTAGAAACCCCTACACCTTATTCATCCATCGTCGCATAACTCCATAGACTCATTACCTCTCTCTTTCTTCCCTCCTCATCTTTCCCACCCTCACTTCTGAAAATATTATGAACCCACCGTTTGTACGCACTTTCCATCAAAAAATAGAATACTTATCGTCATCCTCAATAAGAAATATTCACTTGTTTCTTTAAGGATAAGTTTTGTTTTCTCATCATCTTTCTTCGAGTTTTCCAGTTGAGTCTCATCTCTTCGCTTGAGGTTTTTTTTCACTCGTTCTCTTAGTCGGACACTTCGTTCCTTTCAAAAGTTGTGTTAAGTTTCTTCAAATAGGATTATATAAGAATCATGTCTTCAATTCTTGCCAATGGTCCTGGTCTTTCTTCAGGTAAAGCAGGTGAACCCTGTAAATTTACCATTCTTTCACCTCCTGGATCAACGAAATTTAATCCTGCCTCTTGTTCCGTTGCTTTCGAGGGTCCGTCAAAACCTGAGATCAAATTTGTGACCAACAAAGATGGTACCGTTGAATGTACTTGGACACCAAAGCTTCCAGGAAATTATAAAATCTATGTACGTTATGAGGATAAAGAAATCGCTGGTTCACCTTTTCTGTGTAAAATAACTGGAGGTGAAGAATTGGCCAAACAACAGGTTGGAAAGATAAAGTGCTCTGGTGCCGCATTGAAAGATGGTAAAACTCATGTAACCAATGAGATTGTGGTGGATACAAAGGAGTCAGGAATCATTGGTGGACTTAATGTTTCCATGGAAGGTCCTGCTAAACCGGAAATCAATTTCAAAAACACTTCAGGAGGCATTTTGATTCTTCAATACAAACCAACCCAACCCGGTAACTATAAGCTTCATCTCAAGTTCCAAGAGATTCATGTTCCCGGTTCTCCGTTCCAAATCAAAGTTACCTAAACACCAAAAAGAACAAACAAAATAACCAAACATCAACAAGAAATTATTATGAAGGAAATTCAGCAAAAAAAAATAAAACAAAGAAAAGGAAAACAAATTAACCAGAGAAATAAAAAACTTACCAATTGTAACTGAAGATCAACAAATTATCCAACTAATTGATTAAAGAAATTGTGATGGTCAACAGAAAGAATCTAATCTATGGTCACTAAACAATTAAAAAAAGAAAGAATTAAGTTAATTTTCAACGAAAATTAGAAAGAAAATGTAATCAAAGACAAAGAAAAACATCAAATAACCGAATGAGTCACAAATTTATTTGTTCTTTTCCCTCCTTTTCTTTTCTTCTCTTTCTTCTTCTCTGTCTAATTTTCTTTTTTGTTCTTCTTGACATAAAATTGACATAAAATTGTTGTTCAAAGTGAAAACTGTTTCTATTAATCATTTTACCTAATTAACGGATTTTCCATCTTAATTGTGTCTCTTATCCATTTATCCTTCTAATCCAAATGATGTTCAATTTAATCGTGCCAAGGATTATCTGTTTTCCAAAGGTAAGGTTACTTGTTTTAATCCGATGATCAATTAATTTACTACAAATTACTGTGATTAACAATTTATTAGGCAAAAATTGATGAGGAAGGTCCATGAGCTAATTTAACCTGATAACAATCAACAAGGTGAAAGATATAAAACAATTAATATTAGTACAGTATTTGAGTTAACAGGTTACCATTAATTAGCCATTAGCTTTTTTCTTTCTAAACAGTTGATTATATGGTTTGGAAACACACACAGAGATGAAGATACAATACCTGTAATATTCAATCAAGAGAAAAAGTCTTAATTAATTAGGTTATGTATCATAATTAGAAAAATAATTTTATCTAATTAATAGATTAAAACAAGTAAAGGTAAATATCATTTGATTTACTTACATACGATAAATAAACAAAGATAAATAGGAAGTTGAACCGATGTAGATTTAATTTGATCAACTAATTTAAGTCTATCAAGGTAGAGGATAAGGGAAAGTGAATTATTTATACACAGGTACGTATAAAAAAGGATGGGTCATCACTCGCCTCCCACCATCTCAAAGTTTATCCACATTACCGGTTACCGGTTTACAAGGTCAAATGGAAAAGGTAAATCCGGTTGACTTTCAATTAAGACTTTCTCCTTCTTGTTGTCTCTCTCTCATCTCTATCTTATTACAAAGGAAGATGCATCTCTCATCTCTCTTTTCTTATGATACATTTTAGCTCATCTTTTTGTTTGTTTTTTTGGAACCAAGGATTTACTTGATTCCATTATTTTTGCGCCGATTAATTTTGTCCAAGAAGTTGAGAAATAGGAAGATGATTTGATCTCTAAGTAATTCAGCTGATAATCGTTTGTTTCCCATGTTAATTAGATTAACTCTCGGCCGATAATTGAGAAAGATTCAACTTTCAACAAAAAATCAAACTGTAAAAAGCTTTATATCTTTACTATTTTATCAAAAAAAAGATTTTCTTTGTAAATATTTAAAATCAATTCTAATTTGGATCAATTTGAAGCAAAAACACAATCATCTGTGCAAATTTCCAACTGATTCCAACAGTTGGCCCCAAGATTTGCTTTAAATCTATTGCAGTTATCATAATGGTGACACTTTAACTTAAGTGGTTCCAGGGGTCGGACTAATGAAGTGCAAAAAAGGCCTTAAGGTGGAGTCCTTGGTCCTTGTGGAAGTTAATCTACCTCCAAGAAAGATTATTGATCAGTAACTGGTGTTGGCCATTAATACAATTGTCATCAAATTTAAAAGTTCAGCGTTTTTTTTGGAAAATATTTCTTATTCGTCTCATTCTAAAATCTTTGTTTTAATTAATAATTGTTGTCATCTAATTGTGATTTTCAAATAGCCGATAATGAGCAAAGATATCAAGATAACTGCTATTGGACACAGTGGCGCTGGTAAAACCTGGTAAGTTGTTCATGTGAACGATTTTCATTCCAAATTGATTAATGTAATGAATAATAATGTAATCATTGAGTTAACTATGATCGATGGAATATGATTGTGATTAAATTTTCTAATTAGCAAAATTTATTTAGTTTTATGACGCAGGAGCGATTTCATACTTTTCCATCCGAGACCATAACTGACATCGGTATGATTTTATCAACTATTTCTCGACCAACAATTAGCTTTTTGAACAATGAGATTTTACGATAAAATTAATCTTGTCATTTCCAATAGGTGTCGATTTCGTTAGATTAAAGTATTCAAAAGACGGAAAGCAATATAATGTCCAATTATGGGATACTGCTGGTCAGGAAAGGTTCCGATCAATACCTAAGACTCTATACCAATCAGCTCATGGAATTCTTTACTTTTACGATATCACGAAAAGGAAGAGTTTAGAGGCTCTCGAAAAAGTTTGGCACGAAGAGGTAATGATCTATTCTAACCGAAAAGAGCTGATTAAAGTTGTTGTTGGAAATAAAAGCGACCTAGAAGACAAACGACAAGTATCAAGAGAGGAAGGACAACGAATGGCCACCAAACTCTCAGCTTCATTCTTCGAGACAAGTGCTAAGAACGGGAAAAATGTCTCTCGTGCTATTTACGATTGTTTCGAAAGAGTAGTGGTAACTGCTGAACATCAAGAGGAAATCGCTCCAGAAAGGTCGAGTGAAATTATCAATTTGACAGAAACCGAACCAAAAGACTGGTCATGTTGTCCTTGTTGAATCAGTTTGAAATTAATCACACAATTTAATTGAAATCAATGCTTTCTTTTCATTCATTAATAGCATCGAGTAATAAGATAATTTTATTGAGGAATCATTGATTTCACTCCATCACAATCAGACTTGATAGGGAAAGAAGAAGATGAAGAAAAAGAAATCAAGTTTATTGTATCTTCTTTGGTTCGTAATTATATCAAATGATGACACTTAATTTGTTTATTTGTTTAATTATTTAAATAATGAAGATGTTTCTGAGAAATTGATTCACCCAATTAGTGATTGTCTTACAAATCTGTATCATACCATTGGTCATTAATGGGTCAAAAGTAACTGTTGACTCCATGTTTGGATTTGTTGAATAATGTCCTGTTCTTATTAATGTAGTGGTCATCAAATGCAAAGAGTAATAGTTATTACTCTTTGATCAAATGACCAGAATTACCTACTGGTCCACCTCCAGTGGTGTAATGATTTGATCGAGATAAAGTTGAATGGACTGAAGCTGAACCCGAATTTAGGATTGCCTGATGAATTCGATTGATTCAAGATCTAGAAATTGATGAATTTCTAAACTTGCACCAGAAATTTTTTAATTGGATTTCGAACTCCCAGTTCCAAGTGACTTTTGCGATAAACGTTTTTTTTCTTCTACAATTTTCATTTTTGACAACGTTTATGGAGAAAAGCTCAAATGCTAAAAAATTAAATTGTTGACCAAATTATCACTAATACGAATCAATAGACTAATGCCTTTACCATTGATTAAACCTCATAATATTGTTGAATTTTTGGAAAAAATAATAACTGATGCCGATTGTGATGAAATGGAAAAGTTATGAGAATATTTTTATGATAACTTTTATAAAACTGATGTAAGGTTTGAATTATCGCTATGGAACACAGCTAATCTGAACGATAAATGTTTTTTTATCCAAAGTTATGGATTTTCATAGAGAAAATAATTAACCAGCAAATAGTATTAATTTTAGAGACCATATTATCAACCCGAATTTGTAACAAAGTAAATGGATTCAAAGTAATCGCAACAACTTACAATTTTTCTGATTAATCTGATTTTTAACATTTATCCAATCGGCTCTTTTTTCGGGTCAACTAATTTTGACCATTTTCTATTCGGCTCTTATTTTATTGGCTCACCAATCAATTCACTCTTTCTCTCTTAGGTAGAGAACATTGTAAATAGGTATGGAATTGACTCCACGATTAATTGTTAACTAACTATTGGTCTCTTTTTTACAGGGAGGTCAATTATTATCTTCGTTTATAATTAACATCATTATCTTGATGAATTAATGTCAAAAGGCAAGTTATTAGGATACAAAGCGAAACCTTTTATCCTTGTTAAAGTACAGGTAAAAGGTAGGGCTCGGGCAACAACAACAATCATTATCATCATTTTCTGGTTTATCATCATCATCATCATCATCATCTCTCTCTCTCTCTCTCTCTCTCTCTCTCTCTCTGTTAAATTAATAATTTATATTAGTATCATAACATTTCAATTCAGTTAATAAGTGTGTTTCTGTCTGAGTTTTATCAACAATTTAAGGATCTGTACCAAAGTAATCAACATGTTGCATAGATTAACCTTAAATTTTTTCATTTATTACAGAAATCAAATAATAACCTTAAAGTGCATTGGCCGAAATTTAATCATTATTATCCAATCAAAGACTGATGATGATGATTAAATTGATTACCGGAAATAGCGATCATCATCATCATCATCATGAAAATGATAAAGAAAAAATTTCAAGGTTATTGAAAAGTTACAATTGTTGATGTTACAGTTTCTCTCTCACTGATCATTTACAATGTAACAGTTTTTTAATTATCAATGATTACTTTTCATCTGATTGTTTTGAGTATCTGTTAATAAGAGTTAACATCTTAATTGTAATTCCAACTTTGATCATTATCAATGATTAACATATTGTTACAGTAGTTGATTATTCCCACTGTGATTCAACTAATCAAAAAGTTATTGATGATGATTAACAGCTTGAAATTTAACTTTATTAGAACTTATTAATTTACATAATCAATTGCGGTAGTTTGATTTATATTTTTTTACCTTTAAATTACTGATTTAAAGTTCACAATCAATTGTGTCTATGATTGTGATTATTTTATTCAATTGTAAGTGTTGACTTCATTTATATTAGTTAATCAATCACAGTTTGATATTGGAATCAAGTTTAAGATCAAAATACCTCTAAAGTTATAATGGATAAATTGTTTTCTCAACAATTTATATTCTCATTGATTTAATAATAAAATGAATAAGAATATTTTTCAATCACAATTAATGGAAAATGTTCAAATAATCAACTAACGAGAAGAAAAATAATAACAGTAATAACTTTAATTCTCGATCTAATAAACCTCTTTTCAGTGCCGATACCATATTTAATTTAATGAGAAACTAAACAGCAGTTAACTAATTGTTGTGGAAAATACAATTAATTTAATTGCGCCAACTGACTAATACTTCATATATTATACATCAGGTTGCGCTGAAGGTCCGATTTGACAATCAACCAAATTAGTGACAAAGTTTTTTTGAATTACATATTGATTGATAATCTATACATTTGTAGTAATAATTAGTCTTAGATGATTGTAATGACGATGAGAGAGTGAAAAGGGAAGGCCAATTGTACTCGAGTTTCACAAGGAAGGATAATTTGGACATTAATGTGACAATAATCCTGTTTGAATTTAAGCAAGAAAAGAAAATGGGTAAAGGTTATGTGGTTCGGACCAAAGGTATCGTCCAGTATCGTCCAAATTCACCAACTTTTAAGCTCTTAATCCTAATTCTCACCTTAAGGCAAAGTGTTAACAATCAGAAAAACAATAGATTTCCAGTGATTGTCAAAGAATTGATTACAATTGATAGATTCGGTTTAGTTTAGGTGCTGTTGAGAATGGTAATTTTTGCTCCGATTAGATTAGGTTAAGTTTGGTTCGGTGTGAGATGTAATTAATAACAGCAATTAATGGCCCGGACAATCAACCTATCGAGCAACAATACCTGTGAATCTTTGATATTTTAACTTCACTCTATCCAAATCAACAAAGACAAAGGGATTAGCATCAATATTTAACTAAGAGCTTAAAAATTGGTGAATTTGGACGATACCTCTTTGTTTCTGTTTTAGAATTGAGGGCGGAAGAGAAAAAGCCATAGGGAGGATAAGGATGAGGATGATGATGATGATAAAGAAGGAGAAGAAAATGTAAAAAAAAAAGGTGAAGGGGAAAGAGAACGGAAGTAAGGAAGAAGAAAGATGATACTTTAACTTTTACTTCCCTTTGAAAAGAATATTTTTTTTCTTCATCTTCATCATCATCATTACATTTTCCTCTTTCTTGTTCGTCATCTTCTTTCTCCTTTCTTTTGATCTTTTATCCTCTTCCAAAGTGAATTGATAAGCACCAGGCTCGTGTCTCTACGCGTCATGTCACTTGACCTCGACCCGTAAAACCTCATTGACTGTAGCTTTCACTCGAGATGCAACTTCGTCATCATCTTCTTCTTCTTCCTCCTCCTCCATCATCACACCCTCTCCTTCTTCATCATCTTCACTGATTTGACAAGACACGCGAAAAGAGAAAGGAAGTGAGGATATAAAATAGACGAAATTACTCAGCTTAATCTCTCTTTCTACTATTAATATAATCAACTTTTACTATCTCTCAACAGGCATTCCTCTTGTAATCGTTATCCCCATAGCCAGATGATTTTGGTGACCCAAGGACCTTTTCCAAAGTTTATACTCTGTGACCTCAACACACACACGATCCAATGAACAGTTACATTTGACTTTTATATTAATAATATACAAGAAAACCTTTTCTCTAAGTAGATATCTTATCCCTCGGCGACTTCCTCCCACTCCCTTAATGAAACATCTTGGACTTTGGTTTAGCTTGAATTAACTTTCCAAACAAAGAAATTGATTGTTTTAATTATTGTCACTCTCCATTATCCTTACATCATAAATTGTTGACAATATACTTTGTTTTTATGTGTCGCAATTTCATTTAATCATCCATATCTTGAGTTGACACAATCCAATATGAAACTGGCAAGAAACACCCAAATTTATCACAGTTATGATTGTCCATCAACAATCAGATTAATCCAATAACAATTATCCAACTTTAATAGCATCAATCAGAGTAACAATCAATCTGCTATCTTTTTTTTTTCATTGTTAATCTGAATGAATTTTCAATTTAGTTTGAGTTTACTAATTTCTACATACAGATTACCTTTGATTTAGTTAATTGTCATTAAATTGTCACTTTTCATTTAATGAAAAGATTAATAGATGGCACTAATGTTGTTAAATTAAATTGTAATTGAATGTGATTTCTTTTGTTTTGTTTTCTTGATTGTTGTACTCAACTGAACAATCAGTCAACTGTGAACCTGGTTAATGTTAATTCAGTTTGCAACGATGTGTGATGAGGTTAACACCCACCATTACTATTTCATATTGTCAATTGATGATAATTCATTAATTGTGACTTGGTCTTCGTACAAGTTTCTCAATATATTCATTTACCTCCATGATAATCATCAAAAATTTCCAACAATTAACTCACGTTCCAATATCGAGAAAGCATCAACCTTGATTCAATATGAATTCCATTGATTTGGATCGAGTCAATCTATTAATTATTTGATTCTCTTTAATCCTTTAATAGTTATAAGGTTAACTAGACACATTTCAACAAGCTAATTGTGTGTTGATTAATCATTTCATCAATTAAGAATCTCATGTTAATGATAAACTATCAACATAATTTTGGAGCCAGAAATTTGATCACTTTGGTTTAATGAAAGAATAATTTTCTTGAGAAATTTAAATTGTTTGACATTCTAAATGTTTATTACCGAATGTCAACTCTCTCTCCTATTACAAGATAATCTTAATCTTAAATCTGCTTTTGATTTAATCTAATTGTTGTATAAGAAAAACAATATTTTAGCCACGTGATCAACACCAATTTATCTTCACTCTCTTTCCATCATCTGCATCATCATCTTGTTTCCTCTTCAATATCATTCTCCTGAACTCTGTTTAAATTACTTAAGATGACAATCATCAAGATGATGATGATGATCCTTTATTTTTACAGAAAAAAAAAGACAACACATTACAAGTCAATAGATGAAGACAAAGATGATGAGGATGATGAAAGACACAACATTTGGTAGACTTAAAGTGTATCCCTAGATGTTGTTTTCTTGCGACACCTCAAGAAAATCGTTTGCCTTTCTAATATTCATCTTCTCTCTCTCTCTCTCTCTCTCTCTCTCTCTCTCTCTCTCTCTCTCTCTCTCTCTCTCTCTCTCATGTTTCGGATGGTTTCACCGTCTTAAATACAACCTCATGTCTCCATTTGCTTTTTCTTGTATCTCCTCAGGTAAACTCAATACCCTCTCAAGTGACATGGCTTCAAGATGTTGGTTTCAGAATCGTAACCTTTTTTTTACCTTAATTTGTGACTGTTTGTTTGCTTGTTTATGTTGTCGTTGTTGTTGTTGCCACTTTAGCTTTTGGGTCCAACCCTTGTAAACGCATGATAATAAAACTGTGGCACCTTTTTTATGGTCTCAATGAAAACAAACTCATTTTTTACCTCATTCACTTTGAGAGGTAACAGAAAAAAAACCCAAAAAAAAACACCAACAGTTTTTGAATATAACGGACTTTTCATTTTAATATATTTGCAATTGTGATTAAGGTATTGATTATGATGCAATAATAATAATTGCATTTCAATTGATGGCAAAGTAAACAATTCGATAACAATGAAGGGCAATATCGCTTTCGTCCATTGATTTTCCAACTTTTCTGGCCCAATTTCA